GTGTATGCGTATTTTGTTGAACACTCAGCTCATCCATGGCTTCCCTGGCTTCCCTGCTCAGCTGTAAGAGTGGTTGTCATGGACGACGTGGAGCCTAAGGTCGTGGAGGTTGACCTGGCAGCTGAGGAAGAAGAAGAGAGCTCCTGAAGCTGCGGGTGTGAGTTTCAATCTATGGTGCACCATCGATTGAAAATCCATTCACGAACTTGGATGAATATCTGTTGACGAGCTTCAGTTGATTTTTACTGCTGATTGATGTGAGGCGATAAACTTTTGAGAAGCCCTCAGGTGACGGCAGAAGGAAGTGGAAAAGGAGACTCAACTCGCAATTCCTACGAAATCTACCAAAATAAATTATAAAGTTACTTTTTAAATCCACATTAGAGCTTAAAATTTTATCGTTCAATTATCTGTATACAAGATGTGCAAAAAACTGTCAATTGACCTTTTGTACCCACACCGTATGAGATTTCTCCTAACAGATCAACCACAAACTCCATACATGCAAAAATCAAGATTCAAACTTTTCTTTCTCCCAAAAAAGGGTATGAAGGGGATTATCTACAGAAGTCAATCGAAATAAAGACGCCTTGATTAAAGAAATTATATCTGTTTGATAAGTTATTATTATTCGTGGAATGCTCTTTTCATTTGTTGCATTCTAGAAGAAAATAAAGTTGTAAGTGTTGAAATAGAGGTTGAAAGCTCTTGAAGGATGATAACTTACATGAACATGTGATTGAAATTTTGTCCAGAACAATCTTAAAACATTGTATAAAATTTGTTACTCTAATCTGAATGTCCTCATATTATACTAGAGACTTCGGAATTCTATCGTTGCTTAAGTATATTTATCATTAGTAGTATTGCTCAAAATATTCAGCAATACTATTTGAGGCTGTTCTCATACCCTTATCTTATAACTTGTAACAGTTCTATTTCTTTCTGACCGGGGTGGCCTAAAAAGCAGCCGACGGCCCCAAAGGGCACCTCGGCTCTGTGTGTCGTAGTGCCACATGGCATGCATTTGATTTGACAGACTATCCAAATATACCGTAATTTTTCGCAGCTTAGAATCAAATGATATACACTACTAGTTCAATAACTATGGAGTAGTTTAATTTATTATGATATGATTTCTACTGGTTTAACACTGGATAAGTTTATGAAGTTATGTTATTTAAGTTATGAAGTAATAAATCTGGTTGGAATTTCACGAGTATTGACTTGCATGGTTCATTTTTATTCAAAGTATAGAAATTTGAAAAGATAGATGATAAATAATTTTGTCGAGAGTTTGGCCGATGAAAACTATCTTCCGCTTGAACCTATGCTCTGTTTGAACGTAGGTAAGCTATAACTTCTTGTGCCTCATTTGATGACGTTAATGAGGTATGCAAACTGATGAATTGTATGTATTTAAAATGATCAGGTCGAATGGTTAAGTCATTAATGAATCCCTTATGGAATTCATTCAGGATGTATCTAGGAATGTCTTATTCCTGTATTAAACTATAGTGTAAAATGAATTGTATCTGTGTGTAAGGTTTTTTGATCTGTACAATTCTCTTTATTGAAATGTATAATCAAACTTTAAAAGACATGATTGTAATATATATGCATATATATACATACATATGTCTCATGAAACAAATTATTTGAGATACGTAAATCAGTATTTTTACCTTGTAATGAGGTACATGTTATAAAATATCGTAAGGCCTCTTTTACTTGAACAATCAATGGGTTTAATTTATTCACGCAGAATGCACCTCCGATGAAATAGGCAGTACCAAAAAGCTCCTTAGATTTACTGACAAGCTCGATCCCATGAAAAAACACGTTCTATTTGTCGTAAAGATTGGGCATGTATTATTTCTATTCGTCTGAAAAGGCCGAAAAGAGTCTTCTCGTTTTGTATATACACATAAATATCTAAATGTACATAAATCATGAATCGTGGAAACTTTATTCTGATTGGAATTGGAGACACTGGGAGTGGGCAGTTGTTGTTTTGTTGTCCCTTTCTCATGAAGAATGTGAAGTCATTTCATGAGAATTTGTAAGTTGGAGGTTTGCTGTAATACATAAGTCTGTAATGTATATGAGATATATTACAAACTTAGATATATTAGATTAATTAGATATTCATTATTACCATTTTCAAAGTAACATTAGCACTATCTAGTCAACGAGATGCAATGAAAGAAGTCTTCAAGACATAAAGCTCCAGAAGATCCCGGGTCAGAATCTGATTGAGGGCCTTCAATCTGCTTGTTTCAATCGATGGCATTAGCGCAAGCCATAAGGAAATCATTGGCTTCGACGTCCAGGAGCAAGTCGTAAGTTATGGAGATCCAGGTTCCATGGGAGGGCCCAGACCTGTCGAGGTAAGTTTGGGTTGCTTAGAAAGAACATAAAACGAAGTGGGAATTGAATTGTGGATGGACGAGGATTGGTGTGCCGTAAACAAGGATAGGTGCGAGGTTGATTCACCATGAGGATTTGGTGGAGCATGGCTGCACAGTGTGCGATCTTTACAGGGCATCCCTAAACATGTGAAGCGCTTTTGGGGTCTTTTGGGTTGTGCAGTGGTGACTAGTCCATGAAAGAGACGGCGGCAGCGCCAATCGAGCCTGGCGATGGAGGTTCTTTGTAGGCCCGGGGCCTCGGGCAGGTCCTATCGTGTGCCTGGTCTCCAGCCTGGAGAGCAGCACTCGCTCGCATGCCCCGCACTGCAGACAGTACTCGGGTGCTGACATCCGTGCAGCAGGTCTCTCGCATCATTCGCGCTAAAGAAAGCTCGCACTGCAGATCCGGAAGTTGTAAGAATCTCTGGGCTCTCCCTACCCTCTCTCCTGCAACCGCTAGCATTCGTCGTCCTCTGCTTTCTAATAACGGAACCCCAATTTGCTTGAATCCCAATCTTTTGCTTCCCTCGCTTCCGATAGGTCGGTCATGGCGCTTCTATAATGAGACTAGGTTTCAAATTTAGAAGGGCCAACGAATTGCACGTAGTCTGCTGCCTATTGTCGAGCTCTCATTATAATGTTGGCCAGGCATGGGATGATCGACCCATGCCGTCTAATTTTGGTCGTAGGCGGTGCGCCTCTACGATCGCTAATTGGTAGGTGGGCTTGACTCATGACCCTCCTAATTCAAGTGACGGAGAGAAAATCTCTCCTTCACATGTAGCTCGAGGATTTGATTGCAAGTGTTTTCTTCTTCTGATCACAGCCAGTTTCTCGCATTTTATTTCCTTCTTCGCTAGGAACTTCACATTCCTCTTTTCTGGTACATTGTATGACTTCTCTAAATTTTTCTTCTTGGCGAGGTCCACCATTTCATTAGGAACATGCAACTGTGCTATTAACTTCAATACATAGAGGTTCAATCAACTCGTGTTTCATTTATAGTATAGACACCCATGATGTTATTAGACATATCGTAAGTCGAGCAAAGGAGGAACAGTATGAAAAGATTTCAAGAAGCTGTCTTAGTAAGAAATAAAATTGAAACTAGAGGCTATATAATGTGAGGTCGATAATAATCGTTGTGATGCCCACAACCTTTCCAAGAATTTAGGCACACCACATAAAGACTCTGAAAGCATTGTGAAACTCCATGGTCGCCTCTTGACTACACTAATATCAGAGGAGATGTAACCAGGACTAGCAGAACATGGTTTTGCTTCTTCTCTAAAATACCTTCTGTTTCATTTCCCCAAGTTGTCTAATGATCCCGAACTTTTATTGGTCCCGTGATATGAATATACACGGTACGGTTTCCTCACGAGAAGACAACTTTATATCTCGAAACCGGAGACTACACCATTACTGGTTAGAGCATCGAGTGGTATGGATTTTCTGACCAAACGAGGGTTCTTATCCAAAGCAGTTCTCGGGAGCCTCGGAGAGAGCTTGAAGCTTCAATTTTAATAATAGTCAGCGCATTCATGGTCCCGGAACGCAGATATATGATTACCTGTGATGAAATTTATGAAAGTGTTCAGCAATACTTTGCTAAACACTTCAGAACCTCTGGATTCGATGCAAGAGTATCTTTCAAGGTTACAACGAAAACATCCAACATGTCAAGTTTTCTTCTTGATATGAGTTAGCAATTGAAGAAGTAACGTGGAATCTAGTGTAATCTGAGCTAAAAGTTCTAGACTATTTATCAAAAGTAGCACATGATTGAATCGTTGGATTTGATTAAAAAAAGTCGTCACATTAGGATGATGTCTATCACAACGACATCAACGTAAGTAACTGAAAGTTAAAGTACCATCCATTTTGATTTCTTTGAAACGCTGAAACGACTGTTTCCAAAGTCCGTTGAACCTTTTATTGTTTCTCAAGTTTCAAGTTTTTCAAGTAGAAAATCAATCAACCTTTTATTGCAGTCGAAAATTGAAGAAGTCCGTCCTATCGAAACCGACTTCTTTATTTCCGATTGCAAAAGGTTGAGTTTCTGCTTGAATCCTCTATCAAGAGATGAATCGTATCCGACTCCACGATTGCATTCTATGAGCAACAGTTCCAGCTCGCTCATGTACATTCTCTTAACCTTGATCTCACCTTTGTGAATGCATCGATTTTGAATGATCCAGTCATTTCCCATTGATTAATGATACTCGAGTCTTGTGCGCGTAAATCTTTCTTCGATTTTCGTCATCTCTTCCGCGCTCTAATCAGAGTCCATGTTCAAGAGAAGAATTCTAGTTTGCATGCTCTAATGGGAGTGGAGAATTATGCTTCCCATGCTCGAGGGGAGCCTATCTGGGTGCGCAATGCCAGACATTGCGCACCCAGACAAATAACGAAATGAAAGGGCCGAGGGCTGGCCCATTCTTCGGCTTTGAATGATGAAAAGCAAGCAGAGGCGGCAGCGGGGCCCTCCTCCGGGTTGGGCTGGCTGGCTGGTGCTCCTGCGCTGGGGCCCATCAGCTCCCGCTGCCCATGTTCTGCTGCGCTTCCCACTTCCGCCTCGGGCCCAGACCGAATGCTCTCCGTCACGTGTGCCCTCGACTCTGCTTTCGCTCCGCTCCTGCAGTAAGCTCTGGGGTGGCATGGATGCGGAGTGTGCGCAGCTTTGGTTGCTGCTACGGATGTTGCTGCGCTGCAGTGCGCAACAGAGCACATCGTGTAGTCGGGATTTGTGATATACGCTTTATCCATTTCCTTCTCCGTCAGGAGTCGGCTGGGCTCTCCCACGAAATCCAAATTTTCCATGGGCGGGCGGATACTATTTCTTTGCTCGAGAATGTCCGCCTGGCGTTTGGAAAATTTTTCCGCTTCGTGTAGGAGTAGTAGTAGTTCTGCGTGATGGCAGCCGGCGGTATGTATCATGAGCTCGTCTTCTTCGGGTCGCGTCGTGGTTTGCTCGTCAATCAGTTCGTTCAGTCAGTGAATTGCAACCTCATTCCATTCGTGTATGTGGCTCCGGGGACCCAACTCAGGACAGAAGGTACGATAGAGTTTCGAGAAAGGTGTTGTGGGAGAGAAGAGCGCTTGTGCTGCAGCGGTGGAACCTGAGTTTTTTTTTCTAGCAAGCGGGCGCCGACTGTCTTGCCGCATTGTTATCTCTGTCTTGCGTTCCCCGCGTATCTCCTTATCTCTTCCTCGTGGGCGTTCAACGAACGCCTACGAGGAAGAGATAAGGAGCAAGACAGTCGAGTTGAGTTGTCTATGTCCTCGGCATTGTTCGCGAAATGTCGGATGGTCTGGGTTCGCGCTGTCAGTCGGTGCTGTTGCGAGTGATTGTAGCCTTGGAATTTCTTGGTTACGAGGCAACTGATGGTTACTTCTGTCGGAATTGTGTGTGGCAGCCGCGTCGGGAAGTACCCGGCGACGTATCAGGAGGTAGTCAGTGGACTCGATTCTGTACATTAGTATAGAATACGAGCCACCAGCGGTGCAACCTCCGGCCCTCAAGTCCACCGTCGTCACAGGCTCCTCTCGCTCCACAACCTCCTGGGGCGTCTCGAAGTCTGACATTTCTCGAACGACTCTTTAACGCCACTTCTACTGGAACCGAATAACTTTTAACTGGCAGTAGAGGAGGGTTTATGCTGGTCGTGCGTTGATGATGCTTGAGCACGAGCATTGATTCCGGTGAGGGGCTCTGTCAATTGCAATTTACATGCTGCCGATTCCAATTTGTGTTTTCGTTTGTTCAGTTTCTTTCATGCGAGCGCAGTCTGCTTGCGAATTTGGACTTTTCGAGGATTTGTAGGATTTGTTAGTGTTCACAAGACCGAAATCCTCTTATTTTAAGAAATTTGGAGGGACGTTGTGTTTGTTGTATCCGTAACATAATCGGAGATGAGTATCTAAGTTCGCTGGTTATGATCCGTAGGGAGGGATTTTGCTGTCGAGGTTTGCTTCGCAATTTGGCTAAGAAGCAATCACCGGAGGAACGTTCTCCTGTGGCAAGTTACCGAGCACATATGATTTGGGACGGCCTTCCATATCAGAGTTAAGTGCACAACTCCACACTGAAGGTGGTACTAGGTGCGGCTGTAAGATCAGGGGTTGGTGGGATCTGCTTAGGTGTATGGGAGTAAGGCACAGTCAAGAAAGGAATAAGAATTGGAGCTGCACTTGGGTCAGGGCGTAGGATGATGAAGGCCCAGCCCTTTGGACTTTTTATTTCGAGCTCTGAGATTAGGCTTTTCTCGTAGACAGGGCATTGTGACTCTCATAAGAAGCCTATATTTTCCTTTCCTCTGATCTTGAAGTTATTCACCCGACGTCAAGCACAACCATCAAGAAGGTAACAACCACTGTCAGAGGCGGTAGCTGAAATGTGGGATATAACCTCTCAGGCATCCAGAGGGGTTGGGACTCGGAGTGATCGTTCGAACACCATGAGAGGGACCAGCCTTCCTTTGAAAAGAGCACAGTCGATTACTCCAGATCGCACTACAGAACGTCCTGGAAAATCAAATGGAGTTTCAAATGTGGCCGTTCAGGAACATGGAGAAGGGGTGGCATTACTATTCAAAGGAAGAACTAAGCTTGAGGGAGGATATTTTTGGAAAAACAGGCTGGTACTCATCAGAGTACTTATCACATTCATGGCAGCATGCTGCCTAGCTACTACGCTAATGCAGGGTTCCATCGTGAGGTTGTTAAAGCACACTGATTTTTTGACTTTACCTGACGGAAATTACATCAGAGATACTGAAAGCGCGAGGGTGTCACCAGGTGTCTTTCCTCATTGTGAAAGAGCCGTGTGGATGGCAGCTTCGAGTTTTAGAGCTCATCTCCCGGACAAGCCCTCTCTTGAGGAGCTTGAGAACTTGGGCCGATTTTCCCGACGTCCCGCTCGGCTTGCCATAGTAATGTCGAAACCCAGTTTCTGACTTTCTTTTGGCGTTTTGGTAAAGCCATATTGTATATATGTATTGATATCTTGAGTTTGGCTAATGGACGATGGCCTTGAATTTGGCTTGCAGATATGTCCTAATCTTGGGTCAGTTCCAGACTCCCTTTACATGATAACGATAGCCAAATTTCTGCATTTGTTGGGATATGAGTTGGAGGTATTGAGTCTTTTCCTCACAAGATTAACTTTATTGCATAAAATAGCATGTATGTATGGAAAATAAAGAGTAGGTTTTGGTGCATTAGTATTTGGAATTCGTTGTTCATTGTGGATTTAGTGAGCTGATTGAGTAGAATGGACTTTACTCATGCAGGTTTATGCTAGGAAAGATGGCCACCTGCGATTCGCATGGGATGATCTTGGCGTTCCTGTGAATCTTCTAACAGTCAATGAAAGTTATAAAGTTCCCATTGACTGGTCAAAGTAAGTAAAATGCAAAAAGCAATGGTAAACCTTCGTCACTTGATGCAGTTTTGTAGGATTGCCGCAGAGTTCCAACAACACGTTCTTAAATTTAACGATCGTTCTGTGGATGAGTTTTACTTTTCGTTGTTTTCACATTTGATATTTCTATGAACTCAATTCCAGATTTGAAGGAGTCATTGCAGTGTCTCTCGCTGCAAAAAAAATACTTAACAGGTGAGTAAGAGTACCTAAAATCTATCATCTGGGTAGGGATGCAATATCTCTCTGGATATACTGGCATGCTTTGTAGATGTTTTGAGGATCTGCGGAATAAATCAAATCCTTGAGAAACTATGAGTTAGTTACAGGAAGGAAAATTCGTTCACGTAAAAGTATTTTGATCTGTCTCATACATGATACTGATTTTTGCTTAACACCTTGTGATATCAGTCTTGTTGAGGATCCATTCGTGGATATACCAGTTATCTGGATTATACCGGAGAAGGTTATACTGAAGCAAGATCCTGGATTCAATTCATCGGTTGACTTAAAGAATGTATTGGATAGTTGGCAAGAAGTTTTTAACAGAACATCTGTCGTTGTATTCCCAAACTACTACTTGCCTGTAAGTAACTTTGATTGTGTTATTTCGTGAATTTTGCCAACATTCAAATCTTGAATTGTATCAGAGGTTGACTGTTTCGATTCAACTGTGTACTTTCTGGAGTCATGCTCATATTTAACAAGTTTAAAATGTATTGATCATGGGATAGCAGATGGCTTACAGAGAATTCTTCAACGAAAAATTTTATGTTGTTGCGGGGTCTCCTTGGGACGTGTGGGAGTCAGAGCATTACATGAAGACTCACCGAAGGGAAGATGTGCGGTCCAAGCTAGATTTGAGTTCAAAAGATTTTGCATTGGTCGTGATAGGGAACCCGTGCGTCTATAATGGCGTCTGGAAGGAGCATGCTCTGGTCATGAAAGCAGCCGCCAGTCTAATGTCAGCGGGCTACAGTCTAGATGACGCCACGTTTGGACCAGTGAGGGTGTTTGTACTGGGCCATGGCAATTCAAGTAGTCCCTACAAGGACGCGTTACAGGTATTTTGTTCTAGCCAAATGATTGAGATGACAATACTTAGCAGCAGCATAGGTCTGACGAGTGATCTTCTATTTCACATACGCATGAGTAAATATATTTGATATTTTCAGGTCATGGCCCAACACGTTGGGTTGCCAAGTGGACTCGTCCAGCATGTGGGTGTCGACGAGGACATCCACGGTCTGCTTTGGGCTTCCGACGCGGTGGTGTATACTTCTGTAACGGAGGAGCATGGATTTCCACCTATCCTCGTACGATCCTTGACATTCCAACGTCCTGTGATTGTACCTGACATCGCGCCCATGAACAAACATGTAAGTAATCCGCCCATTGAGATTGTTTGTTTAGTTGGCCAATATTGTAAAACACCAAGGCTGGAGCATAGCTCTTTCAGGTCATTCATCTCTATCGTGTGTGTTTTACAGATCTCTGACGGTCATAATGGCTTTCTTTTCCCTCCTGGAGATGATGAAGTACTCACGCAAATTCTCTGGGATATCAAGAATAGTCCCTCTCGAACCAACGACATTGCTGCCGAGGGAAAATTTATGGCTGAGGATTTGAATTCGCGCGATGCCGTTCTGGAGTACGGGCATTTACTGGAATCACTCTTGGACTTTCCGGAGGACTGTATACTACCGCGTCCGACAGACAAAATACAAGGTTTGGTACCGCGAGGTTGGAATTGGGACATACTCACAGAATTTCCTGAATTTCCTGTAGCAGAAGAGAACTCAACGGTCAAGGACCTGTTCTTTCTAAAATCCGAAACTGATCTCAAGCCTATAGAAAACGAATTCGATACAATGGATTTCGATAATAATTCTTTGGAGGAGTGGGATTTGCTGGAGGATGAGGAGCAGCAAAGAGTTGCCTTTGACTCAGATTACAAGGATGAAATTGAGGAGGATCAGGTAACCAACTCAAGTGTACATCTGATGCATATATCGGAATGTGCGATGTGCTATGTATTGTGTGTGCTGACACTGGAACTTAAAATCCAACAGATCACCGATCGGCTGGAGACACTTCGGACTTCCTTTGAGGAAGTTAGCAAGTTCGTCAAGAAAATGGAGACGAGGTGGCAAAAAGATGACCACCGAGAGAGAGAAAATCTTGAACTGGAACGGGTTGGTCAGCCACTTGTGATTTACGAGACGTTTCGCGGCTCTGGTGCCTGGAGCTTTTTGCACCGTGAACATCTGTTATACCAGGGTCTGAGCCTTGTAAGATTCTAGGACCTGTGCCTCATTTCTTTCTAGAGCATATGGAGATGCAGATCTGACGCTGTCTGCTTGCTACACGCATTAGATGAACAGGGAATCTGCTGCATATGAATATTCTGTATGACACTCCTCATACGTATTGACGGTGTCTTGCAGTCAACCAAGGGAAAGAGACCTGATGCGGATGACATTGACGGACAAGCTCGGTTACCGCTCTTGAACGAATCCTACTATCGTGACGTTTTGTGTGAATTCGGTGGTTTCTTTGCCATGGGCAATTTCATTGACCGAGTACACAGAAACCTGTGGATCGGTTTCCAACCTTGGCGTGCCGTCAGTCAGAAGGTGATTGGGCAATATCTCCACGATTAGCGCAGTTCCCAGTTGAAATGTCGAAAAGTAGTGGTAGTGGTATTCAATCATTGAAACACTATCATACTACTACCACTACTTTTCATGATAGAAGACATCTTCTGGTCTGCTACCTTCGGTAGCTTGAGAATTTTGTCCATATGATGCTAGGGCTCTTACTACACGCAGATTCCTGATGTTCAATGAAGCAGAAATTTGCTCCGTTCCGCGAGTGTATCTCCTAATGCAGTAATGTTTACAGGTCGCACTTACACAAGAAGCCGAAACTAGTTTGATCCGTGCAGTAAATTCAAGTGAAGACGGCGATGCACTGTATTTCTGGAGTCAGTCGGATTCTCAGCTTCCTGAGGACTTCTGGGATATGTGCGATGCTGTCAACGGGGGCAACTGCAGGTATGTCATGTCTGAAAGACTGCTGCTTAACCAGGTTTGAGTCCTTTCTGTTCCTTAAAAGTAAGGAGATATTCTTTTGGATATCTCGCTACTTTGCAACATAGATGCCTACTGTTCGGCCCTTATGGGCACATGCACCATTCCTCTTATGATGTACATATTTGTCCAACTTGAGGCTCAACTTATCCCTCAGCATATTTCTCGTATATTTCACCATTTTTATTGGCATGTTTTTGTCTGAAATGTCACCGAGAATCTCTTACCGACATGTAATGTTCACGTTCACCCTTTTTAAACAGGAGCGTATTTCTAGAAACCTGGAAGCAGATGTATGGGCTTCCATCAACTTGGATGCGGCTTCCTCCTATGCCGTCACATGGTGGCACATGGTCCACTATGAATTGTTGGGCATTGCCCACATCGTCATTCCTGGAATTTGTTAGATTTGCAAGGTAAGCGTGCTACGATTTGATGGATCAATTCTTCGTCAAAGATTTACAACCTGCAACATTGTTAAGTAGTTTTACATCTACTTGGAAACTCATCTCATGTGGTCCGTCAAGGATATCGTGGTTGTATTCATGCTACATTATACTGTGTAAGGGCCGTTGTCTGAAAATTATCGTGGATGAAGACTGATCCTTTCCAATTTCTGCGCAGAATTTTCGTTGATGTCCTGGATGCTCAACATTATGTTGAACATCATGAGGAAGGGAGATGTTGTTTAAGCAGATCGAAAGCGGAGGTAGGTTTCAACTGCACTTTTGTAATGTGTAACGAGCCGAATGATCTCGACGTGAGTTGTAAAGCTTCGTCGTGGCGAATGATGGCCACCAGCTCACTGTCATGTTTCTAGCTTGTTTCTATTGTAGTTGGGTAGACGCCTCTTATTTCATGGTCCACTATATATGTACAGTACTTATAAGGTCTGACACTGTCAGTTTGCTCATCGAAGAATGATCGTATCGGCCTGTACAGGGGCAGCACTGTTACTGCCGGCTTTTGGAAGGACTCATCAACGTATGGGCTTACCACAGTGCCCGGAAGATGATATACGTAGACCCCAACTCCGGAGCCATGCGAGAGCAGCACAGTCTGCAAGACCGCAAAGGAATCATATGGGCGAAGTTTTTCCAACCGGATTTACTTCAGAACATGGACGAGGATCTGGCGGAAGAGTATGATGATGAACGGCCAAATAAACGTTGGATCTGGCCGCTGACTGGTGAGGTCTTTTGGCGTGGGTCCATAGACAAAGAACGCCAAGAGCGATACCGGGCTAAGCTGGAGAAGAAACGCCGGCAACTCGAGCGGCAGGCTCGTCAGAGCAAGTACAAACAGAAGCCCATCGGCAAGGTGTTGAAGACCGAAAGCAAGTCAGGTATCGTGATGAGAAAACTGCGTCATCATCAAGTGTCTCCCACTTCTCTTTAGAGACCTTGTGTCATTTCGAGCTCTGATGAATGAGTCAGATGCTCTGAGTTGAGAACGGTGTGTTGTGCAATCGTCAGTAAACCTACACTGGGGTTCCACAAACACAGAATTTTTTTATTTGTGCTACCTCCTAGGAGTTCGCCGACCGCAATGATGACCATAAAGAGATAATGTAGAACGCGAACGCTTCTGACAGCCAACTGTGTAGTGTGCAACCAACTTGAGAGCTGTTCACCGCTACACACTGAACATCATTCCTCGCGTTTTACATCCGCCCCCTGCTACCAGAGAGTGACCCTGTATGGTTGACTCTGAGTGAGTGTGGAATGAAATTCGACAGTGAACTCAAACAGTGCATCTACACACAGAAGATATTATAGATTTCGTGTTACAACCGGGTCCAGCTACTTCATAGTGAACATCGGAATTACCAGCTCATTAGAGTCTCATCGCAGAACTTTGTGGTTTGCTATCAACAGCATAGCCCCCCTTCCCCACACACACAGAAAAGCACTCCTCTCTTCCTAAGGGCTCCCTTCTACCAGAGAATACCCCTGGAGGTTCAGCTGCTATATTATGGTTGAGAGTTTGAGTGCAGAACTGTGGAGTATGGAAGCAGTGGAAGTCAAGCCGTAAAAGCTGCTCGGACACTCAGCATTTCTCCGGATTTTTGTTGTTGTTATGGTCTAATGTTACTAAAAAGTGGCCATGAGGAGTTCCAGATCGTTCATCTTAAATTAACAGTGAAGCCCACAAACAGCACAGCACTTCTCCCGTGCCATTCCGGGCTCTCTGCCACCAGAGTGGTCCTTTAGCATGGTTGAGTTGCAGTGGAGAATTGTTTGGTGTGAAGTCAACGGTGAGGTCCTGTGTTTTTTATGTTCGTATGTTACTACAATGTGTCTCTTTAGAGTTCCAGATCTCTCATAATCTGTGAGTTTTAGTGCGGAAGTGCAGAATTGTGTGGTGTGTATTCAACGTTGACTACCCGCAACACATAGTCAGAAGATTCCCTTGTTATTGTGAGCTTTTAGCTACCAAAGTGGCCTTTTTCATGGTTGAGATTTGGTGAAAAGTGTGTGGTGTGTAGTCTACCGTTAGATCACACACACAGAACAATTCTCCCGTGTTATTTCAAGCTTTTGCCACCAGAGTGGTCCTTTGTAGTGGTGTCATGTGTAGTCAACAATGAGTCACAAGGTTATGTAGAAAACTCTGTTGTTATCCTGAGGTTCTGCCACTTCAGAGGCAAGCGAAAATCCTAGATAGTTTATTATAGTAATGATGTACCCCATTTTTGCCCCCTCGCGAGTCACTGTAGAGAATTTGCGGCATATCTAGACCGAGGAGGACTGGTGCACATTGCTGATTGTAAATGTACATATTGTGCAAATATTAATTCTTAAATTGATCAGAGCAGTTCACCTGTTTAGTTTCCTGCGTATGCTTCTTTTCTCATTTTATTTCATTCCAATTTGCCAGTTTCGGTAATCAACTTGCAACCTCACGAATGTTTCTGACCACATAAATGTTTCTGACCACATAAGTTACTATATTCTAGAGAGCTGGAAGCGTCCGTGCAGATCCAGAACTTTTGTGGTGTCTAAAGCAACCGTAACAACCGCAGGGTTGTTAAGGTTGATGTGACTGATGAGATAGCGTGACCTAGTTCTTCTAAAGTGGATTTTGACTGTCGTGAGTGAGGCATAAGGTTAGCCAGATGTAGATATTCGCGGTTTTGATAAAATGACTCTCATTGATTCCACAAGCTCACTACCAGCTAGCAGGAGTGACAGTGTAATGTTTGGTGTCTTCTAAAGTATATGAATGCCAGGCGGAGCTACTGTAAATGGATAGACAGACGATTTTGTCGTCACATGTTAAAAACCTGATGCCAAGACAGGTGTTTAGACAGGTTGTCTGAAACTCTGACATTGCGTCGGATCTGTGTTGCCGCCTGTGACCTGCATCGTGCTAGTCGAAAGCAGTAGTAGTGCTAGAATGCAAAAGTTAGACGATTACATTTGTTTAGAGTGATTCTGCGCATAGTCCTTCTGTCTCTTCTGAAATGGTGGAGGTCGCCCAAGCGGAAGACAATGGCAGATTCAAGCTGGAGAGAAACTGAATCACAACAGCTCACTCGCTTCATTCATATCTCAGCCAATTCGTGCCCCAAGGTTGGTAGGTACTTGGAAAACTTATCCCAGTACATGAACTGCCGAAGATTATTATTGCGGATAGGAGTCTGGGATCGTCACACTCGCTGTTTGCTGTCACCCGATCCCTCTAGAGGATGTGTTTCTTGAAAACTCTAATCCACTCATGAATTGTGGATATATACGAGTCTTCGAAGAACTTGGAGGTTTGTTTACAAAGTGTCACTCGTGAGCAATCATATGCATTTAGGACAAGTATAAAGAGTTAGGACAAATTTGGATTTGTATCTTGTCGTTTGTATCTTCCGTGAAGACTAATGGAGGTTGAACAGCAGACCTCATTAAAAGTGGCATTTGCCACTTTTGCCACCTTTAAGTTAATTGTGGCACCCAAAATTTCTTAAAAGTGGCATTTGTTGCATTTGTATTGAAAGATTTATGCAACAATGTTGAAACCAGACAGATTGAGCTTATTTCTGGAGAACCTTAGGCAGGATTGTTTCTCCGTTGTGGCTAAATCAGGTTCCGCCTCATGTTATTTTCAAGGGACCCCAAAACCATCGAAAGCTAACGAGAATTTAGAAGAGTCCTGTTCATGGACTCTTCTAAAGGACGCCTGATTCCTCACCGGGGGGATATTCAAAAAGAGAGCTAGTCCTTTGAGAAGAAATGAGTTCAAGGGTCTTGACTCTTACATTGAGTACATTAAACTTTATCTAAATAGTGACAACTTCCAAAATCCAAGAAACGTGAATTGTATTACTCCTCAAAACCGCAGCTGAAGATGAGTAACATCACCTGTCTTCAATTTCTAGGATTGGAAAGAAACTTGGTTTCATCACCAAAATATTTTGGCATTAGAGTTTTAGAAAACCTTCGTGGTGTATGTACAAAAATACATCCATTAGGTGATCATATGTTACTTAGATTTTTGACTTTGCTCTAAAACACAGATATAGTTATTCTCTTTCCAGTGGTCTATGGCAGGCAATGAGGTCTAATGCTTGCTTGGTTGGGATAATAACATTTTTCCGTTGTCAACCGCGCATTTCATAAATTTTAGGCAGTGCTTGCAAACTCTAAAAGGTTTAGAGTTTGCAAGCACTCTAAAAGGTTAACGTCGTAAAGTTCAATTGCAACCAAATAGCAACTATAGAAAAAAGCTTAATTGTGTCATCGGCCCAATTTTAATTATGACAAACGCGGCATTTTTTAATAAAATGCCACCTTGTAAAATGTTGTACAGTATATACTAAAAGCTCGATGAAGAAAAGATAATATATATGCAATTAATCTACATATAAAATATAAATTATGGTATTTTATGATTAAAAGAGTAAGCACTTGTTTCACCTCTTTAAAAGTTGTAATTAACTTATATTGTAATGATGGCTATTGAACATTATTGTACATATCAAACCAGAGATGATATATTCATCCAATATATATGTATAAAAAATGTGTCATTACAATCCAATCACGAAAATCAAATATTGTAGAATAATGAAGGGATAATCCATTATATTGTAGAAGGAAGAAATTATTTATATTTTTTCCTTTGAAGCCATAGTATTAGGCTCCAATTGCTTCAGACTATGAAATATGTCATTAATTTGGAAGCACAGCGAGCGGCTTAAGATTGTTGTCCCTGTTGTACATCGAAATCTGTTGTGTTTGACAGTTGTCGGCTTTCTCTCTTTGTTGAGCTTTTGCACCTTGCACTGTATATAAAGTTTCACGGCATTTGGGGACAAATCTTGAACTTCACATTGATCCTCCCATGTAGGTTTCCCTCTCCTCTTGAGCTTTGTCGCCAAGACGACTAAGTCTGTAAATTACGAGTCTCAACGTTTAGCTACCGTGATGAATAGATTTCATACTATATTGATAATTTGTGAAGTAAACATATTTTATAACGATATAATTATTTTAAGGAGAATTTTTTGATGTGATATATTTACATTGATTATAATGTTTTTAAAATTCAAAAATTTGAATGGATAACACATTGATTTACATCAATTTTTTGTTTGATATAAAAAAAAATATTTTGAAATGTTAGTATCTAAATACATTGAGTAAATTTCCAAAAATAAAGTCATTGAGGTGAGATAGACAATGAAACTGTTATTAGAAGAAAAAAACATATAATTATAAGACCATGGACTTCGCTGCAGCGGTCAATGAACTTCCTACGGGGCTTTTCATCCGACCCGTCTTGAAACACGGATCAAGGAGTCTAACATGCATGCGAGCCGGTGGGCGACAAACCCACTTGAGGCACAAATAACTCAACTGGTGTGATACTCTTTCGCGGGGTGCAACATCGACCGACCATGGGACCCGAAAGATGGTGAACTATGCTTGAGCAAGGCGAAGTAAGAGGAAACTTTGGTGGAGGCTCGTAGCCAGAAAAGTATGGATGACTTCGAAATGGAATTGTAAAATTTTGACCGTTTCCATATGTTTAAGACGTCTTGAATATAGTATTTAAGACATTTAGAGTGGCGTATTCGTATAGAATCCAAAAACTTAGGAGCACTTACGTCGTTCGCTAGCTATTCTTTTGCTCGCTCATATATTGCTTGGTTGGAATGCAATTTCTTACCAAGTATTGATATTACTCATCTACATCACCATGCATGATTGACCCGACATTCATGTGATAAATTCATATTACAAAGACAGCCATTTTGGTGTTCTACCGAGATGATTTGAAGCATCGGAATATTTTCTAACCCTGGTATTACTTATAGAAATTAGAAAGTGATTGAAGAAAATAGAAAATATTCTAAAATAGAATTCTAAAATATTCAGAATTCTAAAATAGAAAATACTGGAATCCGTGTAGAAAAAATAGAAATTATAGAAAGTATAAAATAGAAATAGAAATAAAAATTTTCTAAAATAGAAAATACTGGAACCGGCTTCCGTGTGAATCTCCCCGGCATGTCGAATTACTCTGCAAAAGTGGTTTATTTCTTTCACAAATTTTGGTTGTAGAATTTTATCGCTTGCAATTCTTGCTTGGCAAATGAGGAGGAAGGGAGGAGAAAGGAGGAAAGGCCATTGCAATTGAAGAATTGCTTGTGCCAGTCGCAGGCAAAGGAGAGGATGGAACATGGTTCTGACTGTGATGAATGTTGTGTTTTATAAGCAAATGCACCATTTGGCTTTTTTTGTATCCTGTGGCACCAAATCTGACATTTCGCAAGTTGACTCTTCATCACTTCACGAGATGAATATCGTATCAGATTCTCGTGTTGTACAATACATCACAATATAGTATAGTTTGATATATCACATTACTTAAATTATCTTCGGCTAGAAGAAGGAGAAGGCACATTTCCTTGACTCCTTCACTCTAAAATCCTTCCTTCTATTATCACGTCTCCATGGAAATACGATATCTCTCCAATCATTAGGCTTGGCCATAGTCCGGACTAGCGGTTAACTGTTCTGTTTAACCGGTCTCAATTTTCCCTGGGATCGGTTAACCGGTCCAAGGAAAAGGTAAAGTTTTTGCATGTTTTGCTATTAAGAAACGTGGATTAACAACCCAGCCGGAGTCAACTCTCGCTATCCTAATGTGTGCATAGTCTACTAAAAACCAACATGAAAGGATTGTTGTGGATTTGTGTATCCGTTTGGGAACACCATAAGACTTACAGTGTGAATTGTAGACAATACGTGTTAAAAATTTGGATGCTAAGGCGCCTATGCAACCCTACTACAAAGCTTGACCATCCTAATAACTTCTGCGCACTATAACTCAATACATATGAAGCTCTAATAGGAGATGCAGACTCTCACGAGTGTGCATGTTAAATACCCTTACGACATGGACAAAGTAAGTTTTTTGCGAAATCTTTCGATCCTGCTATCTCCGACGTAGGACATATAAACTACTGCATATAACTATTCTCCACTATCAAACGAACGGAGTGAGTCTTCAGAAGCTTCACTACTGCCTAACATTCAAACCACACTTATAGCAAAATTCACACAAAAAAAACTCTCCACAATTTATTCTGTTGATATACTGTTCTAATCTCTACAAAGGTGTTGAACCAAATCGGGACGGATGGTTCGCGATTCAAATCCATGAAACATTTAGTATATAATGTATATGATACAATCCCAAATCTTTCCATAAGTAATTATTGGAGAAATTAGTGACACTGTTGACTGTTCTAATCTCTACATAGGTATTGAGCCAAACCGGGGTGGATGGTTCGCGATTCAAATCCTTGAAACATTCAGTATGTAATGTATATGGTACAATGCCAAGTCTCTTCTAAGTAATTATTGGAGAAATTAATGGCACTCTCGACTCTATCATTCTAATCATAAAATCTGCATCCCACAAGGTACATCCGAAAATGATGTTTCTCCATGCAACGAAGGTGAATATTGAATATGTGAGCAATTAATCAATGCGGTATTGGATTCTTGTCAAGCCACAAACCATAAACCACAATTTCTCTCTTTCCACCTCTTTACATGCAGATCATTGACCTCTACCAGCCTCTATACATTCTCAAAACTACATTCCATCATCACTCACTTGCTATTCCATGAGGGGTAATCCACACTCAAGAAAAGAGCAAGGTTACTCTAATGTCATTGTAACATTACAGTTTGCAGAGAAACTCATTCAAAAATGAAAACATGAATTCTGAAGATGAACAATACCAACAATAGTTCTACTCTCCTTTATATAGCTCTCACCAACAACAAGAAGATAAGATCTTATCCCCATCATCCATCCCACTCATAGTGGATAGATAAAGTGGCGGATAATTTTAACAGGCACACAGATTATTGACGTGAAGTTTCCAACTAACACACTAACTAACACATTCAATACTTAACTAACAAGCACACGGATTGTTGACGTGGCACTGTCAACTAATACATATACTCTCTACTTACCAAGTGTGCGGATCTTTGACCTAACACGCTAAAGTATCTATATCAACATTTATAATAACCTCTATTTTAATTTTAACTAGCTAAAGATGGTTACACAATAATAGAATTGATTAGTTTGACTTACTGTATGGAAGAACATGGATTACATTAAGACTATTGTTAACTTAGAGTCATGGAAAGTTTCTAAAATTTTGAAAATCTTCTATGATTTGTTGCTAACTCAATCTCGGGATTGAAAAGTTTCTACAAAGTTTAGATAGATCAATGACATATTACCATGTATGGAGAGTTAGTCAAACTTATCAAAGTTTATCTTAGTGAAAGTAATCTTAAAGATAATTATTACATGTTAATATGGTAATTTATCAAGTAGCATAAGTAAAGAGGTAGAAGAAAGACTATCAAACAAGTTTAGAGAGTTCGTTGTGTACAGAATTGTTTCATTCATGAAAGAATGAGGTTTTCAATATTTTGAAGTGTGTGTGACTTGAGTGATGAGTGGAAAGATTGCATGAAAGAGTGTTTGGAATATGAATATGAGAAAAAATCTTTATTTTCTAGTTATATGATGAGCTATCAAAAAACCATCAGAGGTAAATCTGAATGAAATTCAGCTCGGAGATTATAGTACATCGGTGTATGATTTTTGTAAAATATTGTAAATATGAATTCGTTTGAAAAATACAGCTGAGATCCAACATGCAAGCTATGAATGTTATGTATATACTGTAAATTTTTTTATTTCTTAACAAATGGACAAGTCATTCTAAGTATTGAAAGTTGAAGAATTAAAAAAAAAGTAGAAAAGTTGGAATTGTGTTTACACGTGAGTGTCAAAGTAGGCTCTATGAAAGTCAAGTAGGTATTTATATGTATTTGCTGCTTTAAAAGTAGCAATTAAATCTCAAGATGGAAAAAATTTCAAAATAATGAAATCAATGCATGATATTGCAAATTCTTTACATCTGAATATGTTGAAGAAGAATAGAGTAAAACATATAGACATGACATACCAATTTCATAGAAGATGTGTATAGTAAAACTTATTAATTAATCAAAATTCATTTTAAACTACTCTTGAATACAATTTTGATAATAGAAAAATAAATCAAGATGTACATGACATACCAATATTTCATAGAAGATGTGTATAATAAAATTTTTTCAATTCATCAAAATTTATCTTGAACTAATTTAGAATACCATCTTGATAATAAAAAATTAATCAAGATGTATACATACCACAACATCGGATAAATGACTAGTAAATTTTTTTTAACTATATGGTGTGGTGTAGTTTAATTAACTCTATTTCCAAAGTGAACTAATTTATATTTAATATTGTAACTTATGCTAAAATGATTAAATATCTAGTAGAGATTATTTTCATTAATATAAAATTTGATGTAGATGTATAATATGTACTTTTAATATATCAATTAAAATAAATGTAAAAAATAACATAATATAAAATAAAACTTCCAAAATTATTTTATGGATCATGTATGTTAGTTATATTCAACAAAATGAATTAAATCTTTTGATACGTTTATTATTGTAAATAAAAATATTGATCTATAATTTGATGTTTAAAGTAAAAAAAATTTCTTCACAAAATAAATAAACATGATCAATCTAATGTTTTCATCAATAATGGATCTATCAAACTAAATATAGACATATGTATTAGATAAATATATTAGTTAATAATTGCTAGGTTCATATTGTTGTAAGGTAACTTACAAAGATAGATGAATGAATAAAATCTTCTAATCACCTTGGACAGTGTGTAAGCAGAGGATGAAAGGAGTAAGACAACACCCAGTTGATGATAGATGGACTGGAGTCAAACAACTCAAAATTGAGAACATGTGCACTGGAGTTAGATAGCTCTATATTTAGTGCATTAGAGTCAGACCACTCCAAGATTGATAACATGTGCACTGGAATTAGACAGCTCTATATTTAGTGCATTGGAGTCAGACCACTCTATATTTAGTGCATTGGAGTCAGACCACTCTATATTTAGTGCATTAGAGTCAGACCACTCTATATTTAGTGCATTGGAGTCAGAACACTCCAAGATCAAGAACATGTGTACAAGAGTTAGACAACTCAAGATGAGGTACACTAGAATTAGATTACTAAGAGTAGTGAATTATCTTTACTCCAGATATAGGAGTAAAGAAGATGGGAAGATCTAAAAAAGTCTCTGAATTAAAGAGATAGAAGGATCTAGAATGATCCATGGATTATCTTTACTCCAGATATAGGAGTAAAGAAGATGGGAAGATCTAAAAAAGTCTCTGAATTAAAGAGATAGAAGGATCTAGAATGATCCATGGATTATCTTTACTCCAGATATAGGAGTAAAGAAGATTGGAAGATCAAGAAGAGTATTTGAGTTACAGAGATAGAAGGATCTAGAATGATCTTTACTCCAGATATAGGAGTAAAGGAGATAAAATGATCTATGAATAGGCTAGACTCTGGGACATAGTCTGAGATAGACTCTAGTTCCTTTTGGGAAGGAACTAGTATATAAAGGCTCGGGGGTGAGACATTTCTTCTGTTAATCTTTTGTCTATGGTTGGGGGTGAGAAGGTGAAACTTCTTTTGTTGATCTCTTCTCTATGGTTGGATGGTGAGCCTCAGTTAATATATTTTGATCTTTATAGTTTATAGTTAATAATAGTTTATTGGGTTTTATATTTACTTTGTCTTTATTTGAGAGTTGATGTCAAACCTGTTGGGAGTTTTGTTACAATTGTACACAATATATTTTGTATAACTCAAAAATTTATTTCAGCTTATGACTATCAAACCTCATCTTCCAATGTTTTATCATTAAAAAGTAAATGTACAAAATAAATGATAATTAACATAATTTAGATAATCAAAATACTATGAACTAATAATTGATATGACATCTCTTAGTCACATTGTCAATGGGGTTAGAGCCCTCCATTAACTTTTTCTCTTAAATGACACCACTTAGCTGTAAGTACGCGGATACTCTAGCAGTAAATTTGATGTTATTTTTTCCAGTGTTGCTTGCCTCTCTACTTCCATAATTCACAATTACTACTCCTTACTTCTGTATCTCACTTGATAGAAGGATACACATCTTTGGACATCATGAGAACAAGAAGCCTTTCATCCTGTAAAATCTTAGTTAAGAACGTTAAGGCAGACTTCACTCGAAATAGAACTATTTTGTGGATGATAGTCCTTATTATCTGTGGTCAAGTTTGCATTCTTGATTTCTTGGTAATGCTCTAGGTTTGAGAATATAGAAGATCCAGTCTAGAAATGTAAGTCAGATACTTGTACAATGTAGTCAACACGTAAACTTTCCTCCTCATTTTCTTTGACCACCAAACGAATAGAATGTGTTACTCCCCAAGTAACTGTCTCCGCAAGCTTTACATTCTCTAAGTAGATCCTCGTCACCATAGGGCCAGAGTCTACGTTCAGTGCTGAGTAAGTAAAACTAGGGACATATAAACTCAGCATTTTAAGCTAATGCCGTCTTCACATACTCCTTGAAAACCGCTCCTTGCAGTTTGTGATGTCTTTTATCACACACTAGTACATTAGGGCCCACATACGCCACTCGAGAAACTTCTACCTTCACAAAATTAGTCTACATACACTACACTCACCAAATAAAATGGGGAGGGCTAGTTATACCTCACTTAGGGCTAATTAGCCCTCACCCTAGTATACGCGATTCTCTAATTGGTCCAACACCCTACACCCTACCCTGATTGCTACTCATCAGAGGAATCTATAACCCTGCATCTACCAATGAGAGAAGAGGTTGGAGTAGAGTGAGGGCTAATTAGCCCTAAGTGAGTGATCACTAGCCGCTCCCAATAAAATACACAACACTACACTACAGTCGGCAGTAGCATTCAATCACCATATACAGACATACACTTGTGGAAGGGTTTTTCCTCGAGAAGAAACAAAAATGTTTCAAAAAGTTTCTTGGAAACGACTTTATTGAGGAAGGTATAAATCTTTTCATCTCCAACGTCGAAATCTTTCGAACAGATATTTTCATGCATTCTCACCACTTGCTACACCACAGGACCAACGTCTTTCTTCACATCTTCTCACCTGCCACTTCGCAGATTTCAAGTAGACTTCTCCCGACCTGAAACGAGGAAATTATTTGACAGGTTCCAAATAACCTACACCATCTGAGTGGCCACAGAAAAAGGAGGACCAACTCGGGTGCACCTACCATATTCACAATGTCGTGAGGGACATGTTATGGGCTTCCCAGTACAAAGATTGGCATCAACATCGGCGGATGTTGGAAAAAAATACAACCTGCGGCGACGGCAATCTTCTTACAACGGGCACGACTACTCAGTATTTACTGGGAGCATAATGGGGACACACTCGTCCCTCTCAGTAAGCCTTTGTCATATCCATGGGAAACTTCGGAGACAAAGGATACACCAGTCTTCTTCGAGATTACAGGACTGGAGAAAAGAATTGCTGACTAAATGCATAATAAAAGGCATCAGCTTATGTACATTGTACACAAAAAAGAAGGGAAAGACAGCAGAAGGAGATACTCTGTCATCGGTTCCTACACTGAGAAAGTAAACTTGATTTTGGGACATTGTCTAGGAACTAAGAACCGGGATCTAGAAGATGGTAAGACAGGTGTAGACGAAAGTATTCGTAATCACAATGCACTGCCGTTCAAGGCTGGACCGGAAGAGGAACTGCAGACATACTGTAGCCAAAACGACTGAGAAATGAAACAGCAAGTATGTACTGAGTGACATAGGGCACTGTGGATGGTGACTCTGATCCCACTAGGAGACACGAAGAGACGAGTAGAAAAATACAGCCTCTCGGTCAGAGGGGTCAGAGAAGCTGAAGAGCGAATCCATCAGAGTCTTGTCTTAAAACTAGAGACAATGGAACTCGTTTCCCAAGAGGATAAGGCTGGACAATGTAGCAGAGAAGTCATAAGAACTGCGACTCTTTGGTGAACTTGGGTAAGATTGCATTTCAGTGATATGAAGACATATCACTCCTTGGTAAGTGCCTGCCATAGCCAAGGACCATGGACCACGCGTGCCTGACAGCCAACGCTGAGTGGAAGTCAAGAAGAGAACGACATGACAAAAATGCCGCGACGTTGAAAGCCAGGTCTACAGTTCTGCAGGATAGGCTGAAAGACACGTTGAACAAAGTACCGAAAGAAGAGAAAGGATTGGTGACGTATTTAAACAGAGCAGAACAGAAGGGGTTGCCTCATTAGTACTGATAAGTTGGAATCCAGGGAAAACTGGGGCCGGATGAACCGTTGCCCGCGGTAACCTCAGACTCTATTGGTAGAGGTAAAGATTGGAAGATTTTCAACTCAGGGTGGAGCGGCAGCGTTTGAATCTTGACTCTCGTCGAGCCAAGAAAGACGCATGCTCAGTTTACAGCTGTCCGAGACAAGTTTAGAGGCTTGGCAGGAAATCGGAAGTAGAAGACGGGATACTGGGTTGTAGATACAGGCAGAAGACTTAACCAAACAGGTGGGCACGAATTCAAAACCACAGGGCCGGCACAGGCTTTAGTGCGCTCAAGTTGCATAGGAGCTCACGTAAAGTCGGACGGCAATATCCAATGGTCGACTCTCACCACCAATAGCGTGTATCGACACTGGAACTGAGGAGAACCAGCGTAAAGTTAGTGGAAGAACTGCGGGTTCAACCTCCACTTCACTTCCACTATCCTCCTTTTCTGTTGTCGCATACTCATCTTCTTCTGTGATAATTTTCCCAGCAAGTCGATCCTCCACCTCACGAATCAAGTCTTCATAACTTTCTTGTTCTGAGTTCGATGAAATCGAATCTGTTGGATTCACCAACAATGCCACATCTGCAACAGTTCTGTGCGGCCTCCCTCTAGCAGGACCAGGCTTCCTGTAGGGGACTTTCTCGGAGCAAAGGTTGAGTACTAATGTGCCTGTGGCTTCAAACCATTCAGCATTCAGACCCTCAATTTCATCGTAATAGATGCGACGTTCCATCTGGCCGAACAAAAGTAACAGTCAGTTTGTGAATGCACACTTTACGGGCGAAGCGGCAGCTGAGATTTAGTCCTTGTAATGTAAAGGACGAATATCCCTGGTAATCACAATCCAAGTGAAGCAAACGTATAAAAAGTAGGACATAAAGGTTGAGAGAAGTCCATACCCCAATCTTGCAGACATAGAGAGACATGAACTTCGGACCCAACGCCAAGACCCTAGCATTTGAGAGAACTCCCTGTTCACCACGACACCCAAGTACGTCTTCGTAAACACATGTACATCTGAGCATTCTCAATTGGCTTCATATTGAAAGACCCAAGTACGTCTTCGTAGACACATGTACATCTGAGCATTCTCAATTGGCTTCATACTGAAAGAGGTGCACGAAAGAACCTTCAAACTGTTTGAAATGTTTAGGACTGAATACAGAGAAAAGACCACGTTGCTAATAGCTACTTAAGGAGGAAATGCATAGTAGCGATGTCGGGCATATAGGGAACAACGACTTCAATCGGAAGAATGATGATAAGTGAAGTACTTACTTGCTTCTTCTTGACCATTGACCATAGGTACAACTTATCACTGGCTTCTTTCACATTGCGGCAGGCCATCCTCCTCTCGTTGCAGTGGGCAGCAACCAAAGAAAGCTCTGCAACTTCAGGGATCTTATGTCTCTCAGCAGCCACAACTAGAGCCTCCTGCACTGCATCTGAGTCTGTCATGTTCCTATCCACTTTCGGGCCTGTAAAGCAACGCAGGGAAGCTCCGTCGGCGTTACCAAGCTGATTTTCTGCTTTACCATGAAATACCCCATCTCTGGCTAAAACCTTTTCAGCTTCTAAAGCTGCAGCGAGTGTCCGATGCACCACAAGATCTGGGTATCTTCGGATGGGAGAAGTGAAGTGGGTGTAAAGAGGAACTGCTAGAGCGTAGTGCCCCCAGTCATCCTCCTTGCCCTTCAACTCTCCCGTGCAGAAGTACTTTGCAAGCTGCATGGGCTTCGTAGCGTACAACATCAGAATATTGAATAGCACAGGATCGTCGTGAAAACTTTCTCGCATGCTTTCCAAGGAAAGATGGAGAGCACCAGAAGAGGAGGTGTCCAACTGAAAACCATTTTTGTTGCAAAAGTCTTCAAATTCTTTCAGTTTCCGGACACTGGGTTCCGGATGCCTCCTTAACAAAGCGCGCTCAGGAAAGGCACCTGAAATCACTCTGGCGACTGTCATGTTCGCTAACAGCATGAATTCTTCCACCAAGAAATTAGAATCTTGATGCTGATACATCATGCTATCGCAGGGTTCACCATCGTCATCAAGAAAAAATACTAGCTTCGAGTTCTCCAGCTTCAGCGCCCCGCCATCGAAGCGAGATTCTCTTCGCCTCTTTGCGATCTCATGAAGGGTTCGCACATCTTCCACGACATCGGCCCAGCTATGCTCTCCGTAGAGAAGAGGAGCGGAGCCTTCGAAGCCGGAAAAACCAGGACCCCCGATGCCTCCGTCACTCGAGGAAAGGCTGTTATCAATCATCTCCTGGGCATGCCCATATGTCAACTTCGCACAGGAACAAATGATGGTCCTGCCTATCCACTGATCCAGAACGTTCCCAGAGGAGTCCATACTCCACATCACCGAAAAAGCTAGGCGATCAACCCCCGGATTTAGAGAACAAAGTTCCTCGCACAAAAGCGGAGGTAACATTGGCAATACCCTCTGAATAAGGTACACACTAGTTGATCGATTTTGGGCTTCCTTGTCAAGAGCCGTGTCGGGCCTCACAAAGAAGGAAACATCAGCTATGTGTACACCGATTCGCAGAACCCCATCACCCAGCTGTTCAACAGACAAAGCATCATCTAAGTCCTTTGCTGTAGGAGGATCGATGGTAAAGACTCGGAGTCCCCGCAGATCTTTCCTCTTTCTCACCTCCTGCTCCGGTATGCTCCAAGGCACTTCAGGTAAACAGGCTAAACAAGACTGAGGAAAGTCAGCACTGTGGATTGCGTTTTCAAACAAAATAGCTGCTGTCTGAGCTTCAATGGTACCTCCTGGACCCAAACTCTGCTTGATAGAAGCACGAGGAAGGGCACTGTCAGCTTTCCATTCCTCCACTCGAGTGACTACGAGCTCACTGCTAAGAGTAGGGTCTCCTTCCTTCTGTCGTTTGCTTAGATGCTCTGGTATACCACTACCAAAGATTATCATCTTCGGAAAACGATTGTCAACAGGTACAAAAGTCAAGATACTTCCAGTGCTACGAGCGGACACCTTCCTCCCTGACTTTTGCGAAGTACCATCGCTTCCAGGAACAGAAGCCCGAGCTCCAGAGTTGTGTCCCTGGACTTCAAGAAAACCTATGACCGCTTCTCGACGCATAGACTTCCCCAGTATTGCCACGACTCTGCCCGTGGGTCGTTTGCTAGGCATCGATGAGACCATCGCTGCGATACTCATTAGGGAGGCACAAATTTGCGCTCCTCCGCAACTATTCTCGGGCCCGGCAACGATTTCTGCTCTTGGAAGGACTTGAACCTTCGAGCTTTTATTCTGCTTCCCATTCATCTCTACTGATGACGCTGACGCTTGGAAGCTTTCTTTACTCTCACTCGCCTTCGATGTTCCTGATGATCTAAAGTCTTGAAGCGAAATGAGGTGACTGGTCCATGCCGACGGATCGACAACGTCCTCTGGGCTGGATTGAACGCTTGCATCCCAACCATTTCCTTCGAACACACCGGTAGCAGAGCTAGAGGTGATGTCATCACATACTCCAGAAACATGCTCTTCAAGGAAGATTGGGTTCTCTCTCGTTTGTTGATCATCCGTCTGAGCTCCCGCTTTGACCGAGGACTCCTCAACCACTGAGCTGCTGTTCTGCTGCTTGTTGGACCCTTTGAGCCGAGGCCAAAGAGAAGAAGGATTCAGTTGCACTGCAACCACATCACCCTCCATCTGCACAAAGAAATATGAATCATGAAGGTGAGAATAACCAACGAGCTAGTTTGAGAAATAAAGCAACCTTCACCTCGAAACACAATCATGGTATTGGAGTAAGCAAATTCCAGCAGGGTACAAATTGGTACAAAGTGATTCATACCCCTCTGTTTTGTGCACAAAGACCATCAATTAAAATGTCCAGAGGAACTCCTTCGAGCGTTACGTATGCCTGCAATCCAGCATGGGTATTCTTTAATGACTAGATTCCACACAAAAAAAATCCTCACAGGTCCACGAAACGTCAAAATCAGGTTCTTCGCGTATCTGAAAGAGCCCATTAGTTGCTATGCAGCCTCGTCTAGTATCAGCAATTTTTTCCTTTCAACTTCCTGGATTTGTAACAATACACGGTACACGTCAAGTGATCCACAACGTTAAGCTTCTCACCTCACTTCTGTAGTGCGGATTCACACGCAGCACTCCTCTGAAAGCGCGTCCAGTCTGTTGAGACAGGCTTGTCAAAAAGTGCATGACAGCTTTTTCCTCAAACAGCAAATGGTGGAAGAAAAGGCCTCTCAAGGAAAAGAGCTGGAACTTGTATCAGTTCATTGATTCTCACGATCAAGGCTTCAGTCAAAGAAGCAGTGTAAGCTCACCTCAATGGCATGTGCGGCGTCTTCGCAGGAAAGGTGGTCACTAAAATGACTAGATCGAGACGTACTTTGTCCATTACTCGTCCCATTACTGGCACCATTTGAAACTTTACCAGACGGCATGTGCACAGTTCTACCCGGTGAGCCCAGGACACTAGAACCTGGCCATGAGTGTGGGTTCTGTAAAAGGCCTCCGTCGGAATTGCTGCCAGAAGAAGGGGCAGATCCTGACTTGTCCACTGACTGAGCGGAATTTGCAGAAACGTGTTGAGCTTCCAAACTTCCTGTACTGCTTGAGGTAGTGACTGATGACGGAGACATTCTCCAACCTTTGTGAGCAGGCTGCTTAGAATCTACTAAAGAGGCAGACCTTTTCATACAGGGGCCACCCTGAATCTTCCCATTCTTACTTCCGTCCTTCCCTCTCGCCCTCGGTATGCCTATTGGAGGAGTCTTCGGTTTTGAGAAGCCTCCGGAATCTACTGCCGCTGTTGTATCTGAAACTAAAGAGGTCGATACAGCAGCGCTTCTTGACGCGAAGCTACTCCGATCCTCGCTCTGAGTCGACTTAGTTGGAATGAGGTCGTGGTACACCGCATCGCCGTTGCTAGATTCCGCTGTCCCGTTAGACTTCGAATATACAGAGGAAGACATGTCGTGGACAGGCTTCACTCTGAAGCTGGGACTGGGCATTGAGACTGGATTCGGGCTGGAGCTTGGCATATGACTACTCGAAACTGCGAGTTTACTGAGTTCTTGAGAAAGCTGTCCTATTGGGACATTCCCATCACCTTTACCTGCAAAAGGTGAACAGAAACGTCATAAGCTCCTCGACAGCATTTCGCACGACAAAGGACTCAAGCTGGTCAGAGAAGGCTCGATGATACGATCCACATAAACAAGAACGCTAATCTGACGCTAAACATTGAGTGGCGTGCAAGCAAACAATTTGACATTGAAAACTGGCACGAAACATAAGAGGGTCTATGAGAGACTTCAGTACGTTGCAGCAGATAGTCAGCCGTGTTAAAGTTGACTGCAAGCAAATTTACTTCAAGTATTTGGTAGCCCCGCAAGCCATGAGTTTTTCTGTCAAATGTACCACTCCGAGAGGAGCTATAGGTCGGGACAGATATGTAGGCGAGGTCCACAAGAAGCTTCCACACTTTTAGTACGCACACTGAAAAACCGGACTGGCATCGTTCATCGGCAAGTCGGACTGTACGAGACTAGTGATAGTAAAATAAGACAAACCCGAGCTATCAAGGCTCACCAAGTCCGTCTCTAGCATGATTTAGACATAGATTTTGTGTTAGCAGAATTAGCAGCGATTCTCTGACAAACGGTTCCCCACGAAAAGCATTCACTCGAATCTCATATGCATCGAAAAAGGAAGCTCTAAAAGTACTGAGCTCAGAAAGACGTTGTCGTGTAACAGAACTTCCTTTCGAAACACACAGTTTGAGAGAAGCGATAATACGGCACCACGAGACCTTTGTGCATGCATGACCAACAACGATGAAAAGCAACGTCCGGCATACGATAAGCCTCAGAATAGCTCCCGTTTCTGGATGGGCTTGCAGAAGCTCATCCCCGTGATACTGTAGTTATCCCTACGGTCAGGGCCTAAGGTGCATAGTACATGCGAACCAAAGCTAAAAGTGCTTACAGTACAACAACGCCAACCCCAGAAGCAGGTGCAGAGAAGTTGCAGCGGAACAACGAGAACAGTACCAGGGAAAGTATGACATACCTGGTGCGAGGGATGCTTCGGAAGCGCTGGTAGAGGTGTAAGAGCTCGAATCGGCGACCTGTCTGGATTTGCGGCCTGGTCTTCTTCGGCTTTTCTTCTCGACATCGGAAGGGTTTCCAGTTCCATGAACAAGACCCTTGACCTTGTCGAACGAAACAGAAGGCAAGGACGACCTATACAAATTAGGAGGCGGTGGGCACATATTATACGAAGGCTTTTCGTGCTTGACAGACACCGAAGACGAAGGAACACCACCGACAGACATAGCAGTCCCATTCCTGCTCGACAGAGCGTCGGGTGGCGGCACCGTGTTGTAACAAACCATCTTCTCTTTCTTCCTATCGGGCCTCATCCTCGCAGCGGCAGACAACCTTTATTCGGCCCGATTCAACCCCGGCCCTCGCTCCGCTCCGAAGCGCGAGACCTCCTCCGAAAATTCAGACAGGTCTCTCTCTTCCGTTCCCTTTCAGCCAAAGATTCTCCGCCGATATGGGGAGCATCATCCGCCGGCTTGATTCTCTCCCTCCCCGTTCCTCCTCCTCCTGCTCCTCAATTGCATCGCCCTCCAAGCCAGCAACCGACCGCCCAACCAACCAACCAACCAACCCACAAACCGACGACCCCCTCTCAATTCCTTCCCCCCCTCCCTCCCTCCCTCCCTAACTCACTTCCTTCCTCCCTCCCTCCCCCTCTCTATATCTCTCTGTCTGCCTCTCTCGCTTCGTTCGAGAATGAGGACCGATCGTCGGCTGTCTGATCGAGAAAGCACCGAGCTCCGCCCTCCTCTCCCTCTCTCGTGTGCTCTTCTCTCCCTCTCCCTCTCCCCTTCCTCTCTCCCTCTCTCCCTCTCCTCTCCTTCCGCGCTGCCTCTGCCTCTGCCCGCCCGCTCTCGCTGGTCGTCGTCGTCGGCTGGAGCTTTCTTGCGCGACGCCACACGGCCGAAGTGGACGTTACACACGCGGTAAAACCGCCGGTTGACGCGACCAATCAAGAATCGTAACGTTTCACCGCGAGATAGAATTGACGACTCCACGTGGACCCCGACATCGTCGGTCGCCCCGCCCCCCTCCCCTCCCCTCCCCTACCCGAGGCCAGACGGCCCTCACCCAAACTACGGTTCGCCTTCGCCGTCGCCGTCGCACTCAACTGCCATTCACGGCCCGTGAGCTGGATGTGGCCGCTCTCGGTGATGCTCCCCTCCCGCCGTTCGACGTCGACGCGGCCTCGATCTCCCGGCCGTTGTCCGTCGCCGACTTCCGGGCTGCCGGCGGACGTGGGCGAGTCTCGAACTGGGGCTCTTCCGCGGCATGAGCTCTCGTCTTCTGCCGAGAGGACACGTGGTGGGAAGACGTAAATCTCACTCCGCCTTCCTCCGGGTGCGTCTTCCGGCTCGTCGTCTTCCAAGGGCTGCGGGGATTTGGTCCTCCCGGCGGCTCCACTGGCGTGCATTTATTACTCGGCTCTCGTTCACAGATCCATCCATTCGGAGGACGGACTCCGCAGCGGAGAGAGGGGCCGCCGGATGGCTGCGTCGATTTCTTCACTGCGATGGAGCCGACGGACGACGGCCGGAAGATGGCGTGGTCGACTGAGCTGAGCTCAGCTATTCTAGAAGCTTGCGCCCGGTGACGGCAGCTGACAGTCCGCCTCCGCTGGAAGACACGACGGCGGTCAGATTCAGGGCTCGCTGGGTCGGTCGGTCGGTCGGTCGGTCCCTCGATCGATCGATCGATTGATCGAAGGCTTTGCCTGCGGCTGTTCGAATGAGCCTCGATAGATAGAGAGCTGTGCATGCATTGTAGGTCGAGGATCGATTCGGCCGCTCAGGCGGAGCGTCGTCAGTCCACGGCTTTGTCTTCTTCACTCTCGTCGTAGCAGAATCACGTTGCTCCCGATGATCAGGCAGGGGAGAATTTTAGAAGCAGAGTTTTTTTCTTCGAAACTTTGATTGCATCTTATCTGTGAAAGTGGCCGAGCGACGAGAATGGGAATGGTGAAGGGTGGAATCGTGTGTCGGGAAGGGGAAAGCGGAAAGAGACGTTCTCTTCGTGGAAGGTAGCGACTGGCGACCTTGAAATATCAGTAACCAATCACGCTGGCGGATGATGTTTCTCCTGCCGACTGAGATTCTCTGACCGTAAAGAGTGGAAGAGATAGTTCCTCATGTCTGATAGCGACGCTCGACGGCCTAGGAATTTCGCTTTGCGAGTGGAGTCTCGACGATGCATGACCAGTGGATTTTCGCGGATTTATCTTTTAATTTCGAGCGAGCCCGGGCCAGTACATGCACTCCACCTCTGACTTCCATCCGCGCGCGAACTTCGGGATGCAAGCAGTACACGTTCAAATTTGCGAATTTGTAACGAGAAATATCGCTCTAAAATTGCCCAAGATGGACACAAGAACGATCGTATTTACCGCCGTACAGGCCAAATTCTGGCTCAGAGCTCGGCCGAGAGTTAATGAGAAGAGGAGGCATCCACCCACAAAGTTCCTCAAAGAGTCAAGATGTGTACTTGATCCCATGTGCAGATCCGTGAAATTTTTTAACGATATCCACGTGTCGACCCGTGTACGGACCCTTTACACTCTCCCTTTCGGCGTCCATTGTGGTGACCGTGCTCTAAAGCTTTGATTCAGACCTTTTGGGCCAGCGGATAGAGACCAAGAAACGGAATTTTATCAGATCCTATCGGTCATGTCTTCTCTAAAGGTCCCAGTCGGGGCATCGTGGCCGGCGGTGGGTGAAATGATATCACAGCACTTTACTGTCACCGGGTGCCACCGCCGCTCGCTTCTCCAGTGTGCGAGGACTAACTAACTCGCATATCCGCAAGCAATTTCGAGCACAAAAGATGTTCCGGACCAAATTATCATCGAGGACATACGGATGATATGTGCAGCGGCCAAGATCAGGTCACTTTCCAAGAACCTCGTCATGCAGTCAATTTCTCGGTGGCATGCATCGCAACCTGAATTTTAACTCTTTAGTTGCAACTGTGCCATCTGAAGTACATCAAAGCAATAGTTTTTCCCTACCACTCAGGACTTGTGGAAAAGTTATGCAAAGCACAGCAAAGTTGGCAAAAGGGGCTGTCCTGCCCCCATGAATGAATTCAGTCATGAGAAAATGATTGATGAATCTGCTACGATAATAAAACGGGGTGGAACATCATCCCCTCTTGATTATGGCATCTTATTTTCAGCGTGTTTTTTTATTCTGGCGAGCGGAGCATCCAGTCAATAAAGACATTACTGCAATGTAGAGAAGATTAATCTGATGCTCGCTCTATCTTCCTCGTGCTGTCGACGGTAACATGAAGAGAGAACCCTAAACCACAGTCGTGTTAATAACTAGGCAGGCAACGTGTGAAAGTTCGTTGGTATATGTCTCTCGTGTGGAAATCAGTGGTGGTAGTCGGTATATATACCACCTGCCTCTGTTGTGAGTTTCTAGAACTTGTGTGATGTGGAGTTGCGAAATCAACAGAACATTGAATTCAGGGTTTGATGAGTCATCCATGTCACTTGGAGAGGGCTGCTACAGATAAAATATCATGCTCTACAGATCGAATGTTGCGTTCGGTGAAGTCCATATAAGAAACGTCATGTCTGCAGTTGTACAACATTGCTCTATCGGATAATGTGATATATTTTTCAGCTCAACAGGTAAGAAAAGAGTGGCGCGCTGAAAGACCTTCTCCTGCTGAATGATGTCTATTTCCTTGAAGAAGATTATATCTTGTTCTCCGGAGTTTAAAACACAAAATAATGTGCCAAGAGAATGTGTATGAGTAAGCTGTGGCTCGTCTTTTTCCCGTCGATGAAACCAAGAGGATATGAGGGAGGTTTACGATAACCTCAAAATGAAATTTGTTACATAGAACCGATATATTTAAATTATGTAGATAAATCGTTCTTCAAAGTACTGAGCTTCCGAACATGCTCTCTACACACTATAAAAAACACAACAAAATCAATATGTCAAAAATCAATCAAATTTTACTTTTTCAGAGTTCCATCCACCTCCACTTCCAAGAGAATTATTTGAATGATTAATATATATATATGACGACTCTTGATATATATATATATATATAAAACTATTAAAATAAAATTATAAAGTCAATAAGGTTTTCATTACGTGCAGTCTACTAACCGTTCATAACTGACTCAATTCGGCATGAGTCGGCGATGAACGCTCTGTAGGATTACGATGGACGCTTGGGGGTTCGCTGGGAACACGAGAAGCTTTAGAGTCTAGCGTCTTCGCGCTTTACGAGAGACAAATTTTACAAATGGTGATGACGTCACGTCAACTACCTCCCGATAAAGTGCTCACAAGCAACCTTTCAGGTGTGAAATGCTACAAGAAACAGTGACTTGGATTTAATAAGCTCGAACTTTTGAACGAGATGGGGCGGCAACGAGATGGCCTCTAGTCCCTCTACAGTAATCAGAAGCTAAACCTTACACAATAACCACCGAGAAAAGTACAGGGATCCGCACAAATTGCTGCTCGTAGCTGTGGTAGAATTAATCTTCTGACAAAAAAAACATTAAGTTCGAATATTTATGTCAAACTCTTATGGGAGAGGTAGACTTTGCTCTGTGCATGCAATGCAGTCACATGTTCATGATCACTTGGAAAAGAAGTTTAAGACTTGGGTTTGGCACCCGGAAGCGCCTCCAGCTCCGGCGAACAGTCAGCAAGGAGAACAAACATTAATTCATTCAGAACTTCGGACAAATTACATTAAAAATTATGAAGTTGATCCCAGTGCTCCATAATGCCCTTCCAACAGTGGCTAATTTGTCAACAACCACTTTGTTGAAACCTGCACCGCGATCACTAAAATATTGTTTTGGCACCGTGTCAATCGTGTGAGTTACCGCACTTTCTCGACTCCTCCTTAATGAAATCTCGAATTTCATGCCGTTAATAATAATTAGATGGTGAAATGGGAGTCGCATCTGCAGGTGGAGGTGGAGGTGGAGGGGAGGGCCTGAAGAATGCCGAATCCGATATTTGGACATTACCTGTCCAAACGACAGTAGTCGAATTCTGGAACCACCCTCGAGTTCAGATTTGTCGGATCCTGGCCGATTCTACATCCGTATTTTGTTGCGCAGAGGAGCTACAATGCTGCCACTATAAGCCCAATCGCACCTCTCCCTGAGCTACTGATCATGGCGTCTGAAATTCGTAGATTTTTCTTAAGCTTGACTGGTCATATCTGCGTTCGGGAAGATTTAGTGGCTAATTGTCTGTAAAGCCGTCGATAGCAGAGATAGATTCTCGAGATGTCAAGAGATCGCGATTCTCGGGTCCTTGCATGCACAGAAGTAAAAGACCAGATGTGCATGACTCTCACCTCGCGGTGGTCCAAAGACATAGTGTGGCTGAGACTCAACCATGGATTTGGTTCATAATCTTGATTTGATTGATGCATTTGGATTTCATTAATCGAGATATGAATCAGAAAACTCAAAGCGAAGCACAAAAGGACAGATCCTTATAGGAATTAGTCCATAATTTTCCGTTAAGGAATCTACGGTAGAATCCTGAATGTAGCTCTTTTCCTTCCTGCTAAACTGGATGATGGGTTTTCAGCACCCCTTATTACTACCAGATCTGAAAAGTAGAATGCGGAAAACCGTAATTTCTCTTAAGAATGAGCATCCTCAATCCTCTCGTTTGCCTTTTGCATTGAGTGAGTCTCCTTTGGCCTCTTTTGATGGCATTTGCAGTCGGGTTTTGTTCCACGAGAGGCCGATGTTTTTTTGTTGGAATGCTTTAACGGCCTTTAATTTTCTGCAATTGTAACAAAAAATACTTTAGACTCAGTTACTGTCTTATAATATAGAATAAATAATTTTCTTAATGCTTCCTATATGGCCAAGATTTTTTAAGACTTAATGGACTTACAAAAGTGAAACTCACCGTGTTCATCTCCCATTTTTTTTTCGTTTCACGAGAAGAAGCTCACGAACTTCAATGAGCATAGGATCCATATTTTTCTTGGCCCATGTGGGTTGTTGTTCCATGAAGAGATAAACCGACCTTTTCATTCGCTGCATGTTGTATAATTTCGTTCAAGGTCCCGGGTTACCCTTTGGACATCTAGTGAGCTAAGTGGGCTTTGATATTAGCAGCCAACCTACAACCACCAACACCAAGCTCGAATCACAAACCGAACTTCTCGTATCATCATCTAATTCTTTATCTCGTTCTCAGAGTCAAAACAACAATTTGCCTCGAAATTGATGCCAAAGTCAAGACCCAGAGCCTAGTCTCTACTAGAGGAAAATGGCGACCCGAGGCTCCAGTAGAGCAGAGCGTCAGGCTCTCGATGACTTAAAAGGTGAAACGATGAACTGACCATACCTTTCCGAAAGAATCGATGATGCATGACACAGCCTTGAAAAGCTCACTTTCTCCAGTGTCTAGATGGACAAACCAAGTCCCAGGCTACGGATGCGATCGAGAAAAACTGCATAGTTTCGAATAAGACAGTTGTGAGGACAGCAGATTTCCAGTCTCCGAGTCTAATGTGAGCTGATCGCTGGTTAGTGCATCATGTTCTCGTCATCACCAACCCAGTTGCACAGGAGTGCCCTTTTGCCTGATTGTCTCGTAATAGAGAACAGTATCAGAAGTATGGGAAACGAGGAACTGAAGTACAGTGGCTCGGACTCTACGGAGCAACTTGACATCCGATCTCCTGGTGAAGGAAGGTCTTTGCTTGATTGATTGATTGATTGATTGTTTTCACCATGGGCCGATGTCCCAAAGCTCACTGTTGCAAGTCACACATCTTGGTCCACGTTCTGGGGCCCCCAGTGAATAACATTCTCATCTGGGGGAGGACGAAGTCTGACGAACCCCTTCTCGCATGACTTCTGGAGACGCAAGTTTCTCCCAGACCAAAATTTGAAGTCTACCTGTGACACGGCTTCTGTCTATTGGAAACCCCTGGCGACATCCTCGCTCTTCACTCGATCTGAAAAGTGGATATTACAGAATATCCACACCAGCAAGTCCTGCAGACCACTCTCATTGGAAACGAGGGCAGCTAAATTAGCTGATCCACTCAGTATTCGACCTCTCCACTGAACGAAGGAAGGAATGAGACCTTTTTTATAGCCACAGGTTCATCCCATGAAAGTAGGCGAGCACAGTCACAAAATTAAGTCTTGTGCCGTGCCATGAAAGTCCACTGAAATGGAGCTAGATAACAAGGAGAGCAAAAAAGAACCCACGAGGTTGACTTGAGCTCACCCTTTGAAATCCACCTAGAACGAGCACATGTTGTACTTGTAATGATTCATTCAGTGCAGGCCGGTCGGCTGGCTGGCTGGCTGGCTGGAAAATATATGTGATGTCCTTTCCTTTCCATTCTATCTACGTGTGCTAAAATCCTCCCTTATCGTCAAAAGAAAAGAAGGAAGAACGTGTACACGGACAGGGAATAGGAAAGCCCCCACACTTTCAATGCTCAACAGAATGCATCGGCACCTCGCCGAGAGTTCAATGATTTTCGCAAGAATCTCGGACCAGCAGAGGCATGTCCTTTCAGGAATGCACTCCTTCACTCCAGAAAGATAAGATTGCTCCAACCAGAAGACCGACAGTGGTCCCAGCAGCAGATCTTCTGCTGATAGAGCACACCAGTAATGGACACACTGTGCCCATCCGGATTCTATGAGCAGCAACGTTTGACTCAGAACTATAGACCCTTGGATTGGCACCCAATATGAATAGGAATCAATTGATTAATTGCAAATCGTTCTAGCGGAATGCACGCCATGATTTATTCAATTTTTTCTTAGAAAAAAAATATAGAATTATATTATGCACTTCAGTAAGCCTTACAGGAGCTGAAGTCTTGACCCGTATTCCTATTGATGATTTGACCAAATGCAACAGCACCAACAACAGTTCCAGATTCACTATATCCTGGCAATATGCTTCCAGGCGAGATCTGGAGATCGTGTCACCTTGAGGCCCCCCTTAAGCATGTCTGCTCCCTCATCTCCGTTGCGCTGACTTGGTGGTCCGGTGGACTGTGACTGGCATGTCAGCATTTCGACCGCAGCTCACCGGGACTTGTCTAGGCAGGAATCCAGCATGGAGGACTTCGGGTCTGCCGGTACTTCAGAGACCGAGATATCTCTGTCCGCGAGCAGGACCCGGTCACCCGGCGGTGGTGACCGGCTCAGGCTGGAAACCTATCTGCCACGTCGGAACGGGTTATCGAAAAAGCGCTGAATCCTTGGAAGGGGAACGAGGAAGGGGAACGAACGTCCGCGCTCGTGGCGAGGAGTGTGCGCTCTGCTTCTTCTCTCGGCCACATGCTCTTCGGCCTCAATCTCACGGATTCGAGGTTCTGAGCAGCAGAATTCTTCGGGATTCGTCTTTTGGACAGTTTCACAGGTTCCATCCTTTCGGAAATTTTGATTTTTTTCTCGGCAGGTTTCGGTGTCGTCGAGAGCTTGCTGCGTGCAGGGTTAAGGCAGTGCGAATTCTACAGAGTTGGAAAGGGATTCGAGGTTCAGTCGGCGGGTTGGTTGATTTGCTCGAGGTGGGCACAGAGGGATGTATACAAATGCGGGTTTATCAGTGAGGCCTTGGGTGATATCGCAAACTGCTGTTGCAAGTACGTCTGTCACTCGCCTGTCCAAATGGGCGTCAATGGCTTCTCCACTTTTTTCTGCAGGGCTTTTGCCCACGCCCTCTTCGTCTCGTGAAAGCTGCAGAGAAGGAAGAATATCGGGAAATTGTGAATGGGAACGTCGTAGAAACAGTGGAATCAAGCGCGTAGGGCTGTTGAGGGCCAAATTGGGGCGCGGAGATTTTGGTTGGATTCGGAAGCAGAATGGACTAGGGTTAGGATTGCAGACACAGGTAAAGGATGGCAGAGATTTGCTTGTACCGAGTGCCCGCAGAGGATTTTTGACGGAGCTGCAGAGTCTGAGGGAAGAGACAGAAAATCCCCGTAAGTTAACTCGACATATTGCTGGGAGGTGCACAGGGTGGCCTAATAATCCTCCTGCAAGTTTCAGATAGATACAATCGGGTTTCAACATGTTCAATGAGTCGTCCTCCCAGCTTCTTGGACTCGTCTATTCCGGTCGCTGGGGTTTTGAAGTCTATTGGGATTTTTGTTGGGTTTAAGAAACGTGTGTCTGTTTGTGAATTCATTGTCATATTAGTCGGGTCCGAGGATGAGCCTCTGAACTATGAGCCTCCCTTGATTTCATAGCATGAGTTTTGAGCTTTTTTTCCTTTTTCTACAGCTGGACCCGTGGAGTTTGAATCACCTTTGGGTGTCATATTGTACCCTGATCCTAGGTTGAGGAAAAAGAACAAGAAAATATCTGTCTTCGATGAAAGATTGCAGGAATTGGTGACGGAGATGTTCGACGTCATGTACAAGTAAGTTGTGGCTTGACCGGTAACCTCACGTTTTCGAAATGAAATAGCAATAAGCACAAGTTTTGCGTTAAAGGATATCGCAGTTGCTAGGCTGAAACATATTCCTAGTTAACTGAGCAGGTGGAGTGAAGACCTTGGTGAGCCTGTGTTCTGAACCGTGGGTCTCATCGCTTACTCATCTCACCAGAGCTTCCAAACCTACGAGTATCCAGATTAGATCTTCAGACTGAGGTTTATCGAGGATCTTCCTTTCCTTCCGCTGATTAGAAGGAACTTTGTTTTTCTTCAGGACAGATGGTGTCGGATTGTCAGCTCCACAAGTTGGAGTTAACGTACAACTAATGCTTTACAACCCTGAAGGAGAGAGGGGTAAAGGACAAGAATATGTGCTCGTCAATCCTAAAATTGTAAAGTACAGCAAGCAGCGAGACATATTCAAAGAAGGATGTCTGTCGTTTCCAGAACTGGAAGCTGATGTAGAGGTACACATTTCTCAAAACCTTCAATTGAATATTCATTTCAAGCTTTGCTTTTTCCTGAAATTCTTTCATGTTAGTGCTTTATATCTGGAAATGAGACCTTGAATCGAAGGCAGCAGAGAAAAGTATGTATCTCATATTCAGGTAGTCAATAAAACTTTCAATTTTTTAAACCTTTTGTTTACATCCAGAGGCCCCTCAACGTTAGAGTTGAAGCTCAAGACGTGAAAGGCAAGAAATTTGCCATAAGTTTGAAAGGCTGGCAAGCACGCATCTTCCAGCATGAATATGATCACCTGGAGGTAAGATTTCCGCCGTGCATTTGTGATACGTCCATCTTATTACATACATTTAACAGAACCAACTTTAGCTACCTTGATGTTGATTGGGATCTTGTATGCTCTTCATTATAATCTATACATTTTCGAATTAATATGTGTGGTTGTTTTGGCTCTGTGCATGTATAATGTTTTGACTTTCTCTTAACTCGTTGTTGACAACTTCATTGCAATCGAAGTTGATGAATCAGGACTTCATTTTTTGAATATCTCGTCCCATATGATACTGATTCCATTCTGAAAAATCTCAACGAGCTCATCATTTCTATGGTATTTTATACCTGCATTCTTGCCGTATTGTTTCTCGTGCAGGGTATTCTTTTCCACGATAGGATGACCACGGAAGCTGTCAGCACAATTTTGCCGGGCTTAGTGGTAAGGAATGAAAATATTACGTTTTATTTCTCTTCAACAGTGTCTTCCTTTCCTTCAAACTAGTTACTGTCTGTCTACGTGTCAGATGTATAAGTACATCTGCCACATCTGAAACTTTTGCGATTTTGACTTGTTTTGTATCGTACAGCAACTGGAAGAGGCATACGAAAAGGCTAGTGGGCTTCCTGCCCCTGAGAAGGTCAACAGAGTGTGATTGCACAGGTAATCGATATTCCTCCTTGATCGTGATTTCCTACCCCAGGACGTCCTCTGAATCCAAGTCACACTCAAAGATTACTTATTTACCCATTATACAAGCCGGGCAGGCTCATGTAGATCAACTAAAGTTTATGTGGCTTAAACGCTGTCGCTCGACGATTGGATATCAAGCTGTGGCGCGATACAGGCAATAAGATGAAGATCAACTGCTGGCGGTTTTAATGCGCCGGTGGGGCTTCCGTAGTACTTGGAGAGCTTCTTCGCAAAGTCATCAGCAGCAGTTATTCTTTCCTGTGTCGGTGTGGTTGCTAGTGCCAGCCTTTAATCTAAATTAGACCTCAAAAGGACGAATCAGATACCCTTTTGGAGCTGATTCGCACTCTCCCTTATCTGAAGGAGGTTTTGAGTCACTCTTCGGTCTACAGATATTTTATAAATGTACTTTTGATTCAGTACAACTTATTGTCTCCTCCTATTCATTTTCTCGTGGCAAGCGTCCTGATAATTAATCAATGCCTGATTCTCTTCCTAGGGCTAAACGGTGGGAGTAATTAATCAATTCGAGTCTCACGGTGCGGTCTTGGCGAGTAGTGGCCAGGATACAGTGCACATAAAACAACACGCAAGTGTCGGACGATGAGTTGTTCGTTCAGCATCCATTTATCACGCCAATTCCTAGGCTGACATGAATGAACTTGATAAATCGCTTTCAGCGTTGACTTGGGATATTTATTGGACATAACTCGAGAAAAGGTTCGTCGGGATGTTCTTTTCCCTGCGTCATGCTTAGTCGACTATGTGCGTTAAATTCACTTTCACGATTTGACCATAGTGGTGCAAACTTTCAGTGCAAGTGATGTGTGAAAAGTTGGAAAGTTTCTGTGCCCGCAGACAATTCTGCCAAATCAAGCCACCGCCCAAGCCACTGCTCATTCGATGGGGACTGGGTGGCAAACAAATTCGTTAATGGGCTGTGGACGGAACACGGATCATGTACGGGAGAATACAAGCAAGCCACGTGCTCACATTGTCATTTCTGCATCCATTGGTCATACCCATCGGAAAGGAGGAAACACGAAAATGTGAGTAGAAGTCGGCCACTGTATTGACGACTTAGGACCCCAGAAACTATTTTCTTTACAAATCGAAGTAGACATGACAGTCTATCCGATGACGACGCGCTGGTCTTCAGCTTGTTTGAGACTAAAAACTATACTCCGGTATATTCTTGCTGATAAGTAAGTATCACACACACATCTGCATCTGCTTGAGCGTCTGGTTCTGGGCGAACTATATCTGCCTGAAAAAACTTGCGCCTCTAATGATTGGCAGGAATATTGGTCGCTACCGGTGTATTAGGGTCCATACCCCATTCTGTCCACGACCCGTCGTATACAGCCACATCTTTTTTGCCGAGTCGGTGAAGAGCCTGGAAAAGCATCACAGATGTTAAAAACCAAGCTAACCGAAAACAGGTACTTGCATGATCGACAGGTGGTGAAGGTCTACTTACAAGGGCAAGGATGCATGCCGTTACCCCGGTACCACAAGATGCGACAATCGGAGAATCCAACGAAACACCTGATAACATTTACAATCTGCATCAGAGACAGCGTGTGGACTACTCGAGTACAAGACATGCTCTGAAAAAGAGTGTCAATCGTGTGCACAGAAAATACTTCACTCCCATTGAAAATATTGATAAACGGAGATCATCTTTCGCAAAACTTTAAAGCCGCGTATCAGACCTGATCCACGAAACTTGCCAGCAAGCTCACTGGCATCGAGTAGTGTGCCTTCGCTACTCAACACCTGCAGTGCAGTCACCTTGTGTTCAGGACAGTCTCAAAAAGGAAAGAACTGTAAGATGGAAATGGACAACAGGGAGAGTTTGCAGTTTGTGTACGGATGGAAGAGATATGAATTACCTCCGGAAATGGAACACAGGTGCTTCCAGGGATGTGACCGCCTCTGATGCCTTTGCGTGGCTCAGGTGCCGTGCCGTCAAATCTACAAAAATATTAGCGGAGTTCGTTACACCAATGAATGCAGAATTCGAGTCACAAGCTTCTTCAATCTGGAAAAACTTTGTAGGATCAACCATAATAGCACCAGGAACACACCTTCCCTTGCTGCGAGCATCGACAAGCTGAAACTTCTTATCACCGATGTTGTTTAGCACCTGATGCATAAGAGCAACTTTTCATCATCAGCAGCGAAAAAGAATTCAATGGGTTGCTCCTACAGCTCTTTTTAGGATGCTGTGGTTTGTATTCAGAATTTGAGAATGGAAACTTGCCACCTACACGTGCTCACTCTTTTGTCCCATGGCCCCGTCGGGCTTTTCCCATCATTCATTATACTATTGTCCGTTGCAATGACTGGGTCATACCTGGTCACGAGACCACACTAGGTGTGGTTGCAGTTCTGCTTTGAACGTGCTGGGTTCAACCTGTGAAGGATTGGGCAATTTAATCAGATCTATTTAATTTAGAGATTCAAACACCACCAAATTCACAAGCTTAATCTCGACGAACATTCACGCTATGAAAGGCTTCCTCAGTGAACAGTCCTAGGCTCAGGCCCTGAACAGGACATTTTACGTGTACTTCACTGGGAGCAAGAAGATCACCTTTTCTTGGGTGTAAATCTTCTTAACAGAGCCGGATGCTGACTCAATCTTTTGCAAAACATCCGGAGATACAGTAGATTCAACAGGGTAGTTCTTTGCTCGCCATTTTGGAAAGCCCCCATCCAGGACCCACACGTTTTCGTGGCCGAAAGCTCTGAACATCCTATGTGCGTTCCATCCCTCATCAGAATGAGATGTCAAGCGTCTAAAATTGTTGCTACACTTCTAGGAGAAGTTTCAACGTGACATTTGCAAAAATTGTTGTCTGTATTCAAGTCTGCCCTGGCTATTTTCTAGAGGAAACTTGGGACATATGTACAAGAATCTAGTAGAGGGAGTCAATGAATTCGCAGTTGTAACACGGAAAAAGTCGCTGGCAACATAGAAATCTATCAGACTGCTGGGCTTCTAGTTCATATATACCTTTTCTTTCATCGTTTCGAAGTTCATACATGGCTTCATTTATTTACCAGCGGCTGTCGAGACTCGAGATGGCAAGAAGTACTCACCACCAAACACGGGCAGCACTGAACAGTCCCTTGCCGTCGTACACGATCAAGTTGTCTTCATTGGATAGCCCCAAAGCTGATGCTGCAGCAGCAAAGGCTGCCTCAGTGGGTAGCATGTGTGGCAGCTACAAGGTTTAGGACAAGCCTTAGTGAGAAGATATCCCATTAATATCGTTCCAGTTGCAAAGTTTCACTCAGATACTTCTGCCTTAACATCTCGTTTTTTGCTTGTCATTGCTCTAAGTTACAGGTAGGATACGATAGTGGAATGTGATGGAGAAACTTGCAAATGTACAAATTTCCTTTCAACCGTTATTGGACTGATTCATTGACTTCAAAGTTTTACAGCACCTTTGTGTGTACTAAGCAGCACAGGTCAAATCGTGACCTGTGCTGCTTTTTTGACGTGTGAAATTCCCTTGTGAGAACTACATACCTCGGAAATTGGATCGACAACACCATCCACGTCAAAAAAAAGCGCCGATGGTATATGGCATTCCTGCAAAATATAGTAAAGTCGAACTGCAGGTCTCAAAAAACCTGAATCTGCAGCATGCTGCTTCAGATGTCAATTATCTATAGCTTTCTGTTCACTAAGAAAACGTGGCCACTATGCAAGGAGATCTTTCCAATTAAGTATGTGAGCTTAAGCTCTAATTTCCCAAAGCTTGGATTCACAGTCTTGAATATAGTCACAATTCTTTTGCTTTCGATTACGCCCCTGCCAGGAACAAATGTTTGCAATGGCCATGTCAGGAGCAGGAGACTTGCCTGGTACTCTTTGAGAGGGTTTCGTTGATCTCCAGGCATGTACCAAGATGCATCCAAAACCTGCACGGATGAATGAACCGTACAAAACAAATTAACCAAAAATCTGGATATAGCAAGATACTGATACCCAAGCACGATATAAAATTCTTGGGTCCTGACTGCAACGGAGTAGTATATCGTGCAGTTGGTTTTAAGAAGACGTCACTAGCTACGAAGACAATTATGCGTGGTTTGGTGTTTGACTGAACGACAGCAAGATCAAACTTTATACTTCGATCGAGTTGATAGCACGAAAGAAGAAAATACAAACTGATAATACATTGTTGAGTTTGAAAGTCACATTGGAGAGTCGTGATCTATAGTATGATCCTTTGCTGTACCTTCACGTTCGGGTCCTTGAGATGCTGGTGTAACCAATCTACAGAGACCACAGGGGACTTCAGATGCTCGCTACTATCAGGTCCACCTGTACTCTGACCGACAGCAGAAGCAGCCACCTCGCTCATCTTGCGTGCGGGAATAGCCCAGTAGAAAGCTTGCGACCTCGACGCAGCAACGACAGATGCTGCAACTTCCGCAGATTTCAACGACCTCTGCTCAGCAGTTCTCGTCTACACTTAAAACAGAGATTGCTCAAATCAGACAGCAATGTGCTATAAACAGAACGAGAATCGGTGCAATCAGATGAACCAGTTGGCAGGGAGGCATGAGCGCCTGCTAAAGACTGAGAGACGAGAGCGAAACCAAGGGGGAACTCACGAGTCCTCGAAACTGGGTCCTCGAAGCACGAGAAGCGGAAGAAGGAGAACAGAAAAATCGGCGAGAGGCGATGGCACACGAGCGCCGGAGAGGAGCGATTGCGCTGGGTGAGACGAAAGAAGCAACAGCTGCCATCGCAGAAACTGATGACAAGTGCGATAACGAGACATAAACCTTCACCAACTCGCTTTTCATGCTCCTTCCCCCCAATTAGTATGAATTAATAAACTCCCTCCTGCATCTGCCATATATCCTCTCCGCCATATCTTCCTCCTTCTTGATTCCACGAATCAATCTCGATTATCAAATTGATTTCGATCGATTTCTGACAAAAATCGCTAATCCCCAAGATGATAGAACAGTCGTGCGCGGCGTTGAATGCGAATGCTCTAATCTGACTTCCTTAATTATTGTTTCTGTTAATTATTGCATTGCAGACTTCTCCTTTGCGCATGTTGGAGACCTGGAGCTTTTGTCGCCCTTTTTTCTCTAATCCTTCCTCGCATTGCCCTGAGGTTGGCGCGACGGGGTTGTCATGCTAGAAGTTGAAAAGTCCAACGAAGTACTAAACATTAGTTTGATGGACAAGGTTGAACCTCACAAAATTACTGAACTTACTTTTGTATAGATTTCATCTTGATCTATATCACGATACAAACATCATGTTTCTCTGATTTGTTTATCATTGTTCTTAATAGACTTATAAGCCCTTTCCTGTCATATATATATATATATATATATATCTTCTAAGAAATTTAAAGTTATATAAAATCTAGAAATTTCAATCAGATTTGTCACTAACTGAGTTAAAAATATCAGCAATCTGGTACAAATATGTCTTTCAGTCTCTCAAAGTTTCTCATTTTAGAACTTGGTGTATACCAACGGATGTACATTTCATATCATTTGGATAGTATTGACTTTTGAAACTAAAAGTTACAGTTATGAAAGTGTCTATCTGATGTATGGATTATCATCCCAGAGCTAATAATCTTATCTACCGCTACCTCTTCTCTAAATGATGTTAACTTTGTTAAGTAAAGAGATGTTTTGGAAAGACGCCACATTCTTGTCCGCAACTAGCGTGGCCTTGTATGTTCCACGCTAAATAATGACTGGAAATGGAGTCTAGACAAGCACACCAATTAGGGTTCAAATTTTGTATTTAGAGGCTTCTCTAAAATGCCAATTGACAAGTGTATGTACCACAAAACACAACTCCTTGTCAAGAAACTGATTTTAAATAAAAAAATGTATTTATATTTTTGGACAGAGGGGGGAATAATAATAATGCATCATGGGCTCCTTCATCGGAATTTTTTGCTCAACCTAAGGTTCAAAATCGACTTGTTACCCCTATTGTGTTACAAAGTTTGATGTAGAAGCAAGTGAGTAGAAACGGAGGTAGAAATTGGAAAAAAAGAAATGGTATGTATGATTTGAAAAAAGAGAAAAAAAATCATTATTTGGAAAAACATTATAATGTTTTTACATGGCTGAGATTTAGAATAATTTGAAAGGTTTTTTGCAACAACCATAGTTCTTTTACAAATATATTTTAAGGAAACTTACAATCCAAGTCACATTCACCTTATAAGATAATTGCAAAAACATGACCGCACTATTAACTTGTATGATTTAATACTATACGCAACAAATTTGTAGAAGGTATGATATGATACTATCTTCTACTAATTTCGTTCGTACAGGATGAACAGAAAAATGTTCTTCTAGGTTATATATTTTGATATACACAACACCTTGATAATCTCAAAATCAGAAAAAAAAAATTAGAGAATATTTTTACGTTAAGAAAGTTCATATTATGATTTAGAACATTGCAAGTGTTAAATGAAGATGTCATATGAAGTCATATAGCTTTAGCTAGGAATGTGGAGATTGATATTTAGCTTTGATATTGCGATAGAGTACACCAATGCCACTAAGGATGTAGACATATCTAGTAAGTGTAGAGTTTGACATATCACCTAAGACAGTTGTTGATTGATTCTAATGTTTGGCAATATTGTAAATTGTCTTTGGACTATACTCAAACCCAATATTGAGATACAATTTATCCTTGTACATAGTGGAAAAAAATAATGGTTGAATGATTATACTTTCATCAATAATTTAGCATTTTTAAAATCTCATAGCATAAGCTAATGGATGTGAGAATTGACCAAAATTTTTTAAGGTTTGATATCGCGATGACATTCATCAATGTCAGTACGGATGTAGGCAAGCAAGCAACAGATGTAGAAAATGTAGAAATTTGACATACATAAAAAACATAGACTTATCTATCTAATTGTAATGTATAGCCGTTTACAATGTTGGCAAACATTATCAATCACATATTGATAATTATAGAACATAGTCAAGCACGCAATTGAATTCCATATACTCATTGTATGTCGTAGAAAAAAAAATGTCTTAATGCCACAATATTAAATGATCAAGAAGTCGCATTATCTATAGTTCTTGATTACTATATACATGTGTAGTTTTTTAAAGATGCATATGCATATATCATTATATCAATCATTATGGTGACAACAACTTTTTTCACAATTGTCTCACGAGTGGATGTTCCAAGCACCTTGATAAACTCCACAATTGATCAACATCACATTCTCTTAGAAAGAAAGTCCACTTCATCATAACACAATCCATTATCATATGTCATTGAAACTATGTACCTTGAAGCGTTGAGAATGAACTCAATGATCAATAATATCGAGAACATATATATTAAATCTTGGAGTTCTCTTCCATCAACATTTTAACATTTCCAAACTTGTATAGCTTTCGTTGATCGATTTGAAGATTGATCAAAAGTTTTTGAAATTTCATACTGCGATGACATTCACTTATGCCATTATGGATGTAGGCAAGCAAACGATAGATTTGATAAGTGTAGAATTTGACATAAATCAAAAAACTTTGTTGAATGATTCAATTGTAATTTTTGGCACTATTGTAAACAATCATTAGAAGATACGCTAAATATAGTTCATTCTTGTATGTAGTGAAATAAAAAAAATGATTGAATGCCAAAATGTTAGATAGATCAAGAAGTAACATAATCTATAGTTCTTGATTTTTGTTCCGCTTATCCTACAACACCTGTTTGATTGTCACTCTTATAATTAGTATTCATGAACTTGATTTGCTCACAAGTGAATAATCCAAACACCTTGATAATCTCCACATGTTCATCAATATAGTTGTCTTCTAGAAAGAGAGTCTGCCCATCATATCACAATCTATTTATCATATGGCAATGATTGTTCTATATTTTGTGGTGTGAAAGAAGAGCTCATGGATTTGATAATATTCAAAACATACATACAAAATATTGGATTCCACTTTCATCAACACTCTAGCCTTTCAAAAGGAATACAGCTTTAGCTGATGGGTGTGGAAATTGACTAAAAGCTTTTGAGTTTTGATATTAGTATGGAATACACAAATGTCACTATGGATGTAACCAAAACAATTTTCAGATCTGATAAGTGTACATTTTGATACAAATTAGAGGCATTTTATGATTGATTCAATTGTAATGTTTGACAATTCTGTAAATTGTTTTTAATACATACTTGAGCAGCAGATTAAAACACAGTTTATTCTTGTATGTGATGAAAAAAAAGTAATATTATGATGCCACAATGCTAGTATGAGAAAAGAGAATGCATTTTGAAAATGCAATTTATATAATTCTTGTACCGCTTGTACCGCAACACCTTCTTCAATATATTATTCAAGAAGTTGTTGGGATAAGCATTCATGCACTTGATCCTAGGTGAAAAAAAGATCTTGATAATCTCCACAAATTGATTGATATCAATTCTCTTTCAAGGAAAAAATTGATCATATGTTACTACTTGTTGTGTACAATATGGCATTGAAAATGAACTCATGTATTAATAGTGTTGGAAAGATATATACCAAATATTGGATTCTACTTTCACAACACTTTAGCTCTACCAAAGTTGTAGAGTTTTAGAGCAAAAATTTTGAGATTTGATATTGGTATGATATTCACCAATAACATTGTGAATGAACGACATATAGTAAATGTAAAGTTTGACATAAATCAAAGTCATACCGCATAATCTGATTGTAATGTTTTGCAATACTATAAATTTTGTCTAGAACATATTCAAAATGAAGATTGAAATATCATTGTATGTAGTGGAAAAAAGACAATGTTTTAACGCCACAATGTTAGAGTGATAAAAAAACACATTATCTTATAATTTATCTTACACATCTATTACATATAATAACTTTTTAATTTATATATCATTATTTATTATCAAATTGTTTTTATAGTTAAATAATATTATTTTTCCTTTTTCATATATTAAAGTACACAAATTGCATATCACAATAAAAATATTATTATAAATTTACTGTCAATATTATTTAAATATATAGCATTTTCAATTTTGCAATAGGATATATCAATTTGATACGTTAGATGTATAATTTTTTATTATATGTATCAATGTTGTCTCATTAATTTATTTCAAATCATAAAAAAAAATTCAGGTAAATAGATTCAATGATTTCAATATTGAAATGAAACAGAAAACATGAACCAAAAATAGTATAGATTTATTTTTACTATACTAATCTGTTAGATCTATACTAGATAATAATCAATGTTGAAATATGAAAATATTGGTTTTGATTTGTGTGTGCTTTGATATAGATTTGTTATTGCCAAGTTTGAAAAATATACTGTATTGCAGTAGAATTTATTATTTTGTATTTTTTAATTGGAAATGCTTAATGAAGATTGGAATTGATACTATAGTAGCATAAATTATAACAAACAAGAATGATTTTTTGGTATTTTTAAATATGCAATGTCTCTCTGATGAAGATTGGATGTGATGCTATAGATTCACAAATTATAATAAACAAGAATGAGTGATTAAAAGAGTTATAAATGTGAGTTGTTGTGGGCAAAGTATATACAATTTTAGCTATTAACTAAGCAGAAGTAAGCAAAGATTTCAATTCTTCATTTCCTTGTATTGGAGTTAAGGAGAACTTTGGATGTTCATGAGGATGTGCACAATAATGTATCATACTAGGGTATAGTAAATCACTTTTTAGATCTTTTGTGTATACTGTACTATATTAGATAAAGTGTTTTCATTTCTCCATATAGATCACACAACTATACACAAGGATAGATCACATCAAAATATGAAGCATCAAAATTTTTTGATGATTGTAGACTGACTGATATAAATAATTTGGATATTTTAGATGATGAAGTATATATTTTTCATCATGATTTTATGAGGTATAGCTTAATAGTATATGGTAATTTTTTTTATTGATGTGATTTTTTTTTATGTAGTTTTTTCCGTACATTTGAATTCCACCTATCGAACAGAAACAATGAAGATGAATTGTAGACCAAAATCTGTGTGGGCGATTCTATTACATGTGATGGAGTAGACATTAGAAGACTCTTCCTGCTAAAAATGCTTGATCCGTGAATTCTCGTGCTCGGGAAGTACCCGAGTAAGAACATAAGAGTATATTCACTTTTCTGTACTTTCACCTTATCCTTATCTGTTATATGAGGATATATGATGAAATAAATCAAAACCTCCTTATTTTATTTTATTCATTTCTTTCTCGTACACTGCTTGTACTTCCAACGAATTATTATCGTCCAACTGCCGTCCAAACTGTCACGGCTTCATCATTGGATTGATGTGATGATGATTTCGTGAACTGAAAAGAACGTGAACAGGTGTAACTGGTCGGATTGGGCAAGCCCGAAGGACTGATCAAAGGGTGACTTGGAGAACTTGGAGCACAGCTTCTAGATTCCTCGCACTCATAATTTTCAGATCACTGCACTTCATGTTCATCAACTTAAAGTGGTAAGATTCCGATATTGTATATTATTGGCCGTTAAATAAACATTTGCATCATCTTTTTGAACATAGACTTACTGTTTGTCATTTTCTAGTTACTCAATTCTGAACTTCGAACATGCTCAATTTTTAGAGCATGTTCGAAGTGTAAATATATAATTTTTTTCTATATTATAAATTCTATATGAGATGTAGTTCTCTGGACTGTTTCATTATATTTCTTCTTCTTTTCTTGAACGATTCTTTCAATCACTAGTTCAAATCTATGAGTGACTAGCTAATTTTATAAGAGTAAATACATATATAAAACTGCATGTTTGCGTTTTCCATTCATGAGGAGCTTTTCAAGTGTCAAAAAGAGACATTGTAGATCAAGTTGGAAAAAAGATGATTCATTTCAGGGTCAGTACGTTGTGTATAATGAGTATTGAGATAGAGGATGCATCCTTGATTGTGCCTTTGCCAATTTGGTTTGGTATGTGTCTCATTATCTCTGATCTATTATTTGCTTTAAATCTAATTCTCCTTTGTACATATGCACACACAACTTTTCATCAATCTTATTGTCTAATCTGAAGTATTTGCTGTACTGTTTCCCACAATCTGACAGCATCCTTTTAGTCATCAAGAAGAGTATTTAATCAGAACGTACTCTATTGTATTATGAATCATACTGCATGAGACGGATGGTGCATGTTTACTTTTGCGTTCCTTACTTTATAATATTAACATATAATTTATAACATGCTCGGTCTATTCCCTGATTGTTTTATCTCTTATGTGTCTTCAAGTTTTCCGAAAAGTGACACCTTCCCGCCCGTTCTTTTGTAGACGTGTTGCTGGCTGGCCTTTGGAACCGATTAGTCTATCCTATCCTCTGCCTGATGTTTAATATTCAGTACTCTGACCTTCATGTCCTTCCCTGTCTCTTATTTCAGCTTCGTTTATTTATATTATTATATCAATTTTTGCATCTTTTGATGTTCAGGTACACTGAACCTCTAGAGCTTTAGATTGGAGATCTTCAGGAGGAGAGTTAGATTATCACTGGAGTATTTAAAGTGGAGGATCGTGGCAGAATGATTGATTACTTTGTCGCACGAGTGTTGGGATAGATTGAGCCTGTTTAGCTTTGCCCTTTCTAATTTGATTCTTGTGTAGCCCCTCGATATGCTGGATTCATCCTCAGTTTCATGTCTCGTGATATCTTTGCGCTGTGATTTCCGTCCCCAGGGACAATAATAGTATTTATCCTTGCTCTCCTCCGTCATTGTTCTTGCGTGATGGATCTGCATTGCGACCACGTTTCAACAAAAGCCCTGCAGGAACGAGAACCTTCACGCTTCACAAACTGCAATTCTACCACTTTACTGTCAAAATGATTGAGTTCTGTACATCTGTAGGACCGAAAAACTGGAATCGCCTGGTATCGAATGGGTGTCATCGCACTGCATTTGCAGGGGACTCGTGAATTCCTCACTGCCTGAACTAATGCTTCCAGGAATTCGCAGGGAGGACCTTGACTGACATTGGGCCTGAGAAGACCATTCCACCACTCTATGGATCGAATCTCGCATTCAGTGCTTGGATTAACATTCAGTCCGAAGCACATTCGATTGGGCTTCTGAGCTTTCGTCTCAGAAGCCACGCGAGCCAGCAGACACTTGCAGTGGACGTGCAGAAATGGTTGAAATCGAAGTCGCATATGGGATGACAGAATGTTTGGATTTCGATAACTGTCGATGACTGCCTTCGGATCTGATCCAAAATGTGCGTGACTGAGACGATGGCAGTGACGAGTCTTACTGGAGAGATGAGGTTCAGAACTCTGCAGGAAACCTTTGAGCTAGGCCGAACAGGCCCAATGTTCCTCCTGTGTGCAGCATCACCACTCGACTCGCACCTCGACGTTCGACAGAAAGCTTCACTGCACTCTGCCAAGCGGCCAATGTGTAGATCGGGTCCAGCAATATGCCGGTCTGCCGAGCTATGGACCTGCAAGTCTCGATCTCACCCGGAAACACTTTCCCGAACTTGCGAGGGTTAATCCGCTGCTCCCATCGGAGAGGCAGCACGAGGCCCTCCGCTGGAGACGAGCAGAATTTCGTGCAGAAATCAGCGACCAAGCGCAGCCGGTGCTTCTCGTAATTCTCCACCGAATCCGCGAGCATTACTGCTGTGACTTTCCACGGAAGGCCGAGCAGAGCGATGGCCAGAGCGACTCCCACCGCCGTCGTCCCTGTGCCTGTATCCACGACGAGGTGCACGGGATCGTCCCTTCCAAAAGCTGCAGGATTGGACAGGAATTGCACGAGCCGGATGAGTCCCAACAACGCTATGGCATCGCCCGCACCTTCCTTCACCACAACCACATTCCTCTCCCTCGAATCCGCCTTCGATTCTGCAGCTATCGGAGAATTCGGGTCACATTCTTCTTCGTCGAGCCAAATCACGGAGCCACGGCTTCCTGCAATTTGCGATGCGTACTTGCTCAGCATGCCCGCACGATCGGCGTACTCGGATCTGGGAATGTAGGTGACATGCCCGAACATTCCGCAGAGCAAGTTGTACCCTGTTGGGATGGCGGGCCTCTCTCCTCTGAGGAGAAGGTGGGCCGACATTCCTCGCTCGCTGCACGCGAAGGCGAGAGCTGCAGTGTGAGCACTCTGGCTGCCGCCACAAGTGACCACATCGGAGGCGCCCAGCCTTTGCAGCTCGGGGATCAGAGCGTCCATCTTCCTGAGCTTGTTCCCGCCCAAAAGAGGGTGCAGTAAATCGTCTCGGACGATGTGAAATTCTGGACTGTCGCCTCGATGCTCGAATCGGGCATTCTGCGCATTAGAGTAGCGTGATTCCTCCCGAAGTCCATGGAGAATTCTTCCTCGGGAAGACGATTCGAGACGGGGTCTGACCGTCGCCTCGGAGATGTCCTCGATTGAAATCTTGGTGATTTCGGTGCCGGGTTGCGGCATAAGCCACGGGCGGCTCAGCAATTTCTCGACGTCCAACACTCCTGACCATTCCGCTGGACAGCTCGTGACATCGCAGGCCGAGGTCTGCGTCCGAGCTCCTGCGCAAGTCCGCACAAGACTTGCTGCGATGTTCCTCTTCAGCAATCGAGGCGACTGTGGAGCAAAAGCAGAAACCGAACACCAGCTCGACATTATTGCTCCTTACAGACAGCCTCCGCCATTGAAATCAATTCGTGCACTGCAGCATCGCATGGCATGGCCCACTCCTGTCACCATCACCAGAGCCCGCAAGAATCATCGACTGACTCACAGACATCACCCAAAGCAGTCCAAAGGGCATCGAGCCAGAATGTACCCTAATCGTCTCGAGCGAATTCCAGCAGTCACCGCAAAGATAACGCGAGTACAGTTGCCGACAGCTCGAAGGTATGAACACACCCATTCAACCCTCACGTGCGATGGCGCAGAGCGAGGAAAAGCAAAAGCTCACCATCGCAAGCGTCCAAAACGAGATCCCAAATTACGTGTTCCCGGCTGGATGGTTCGACGTCGACGGCATGATGCAAGACTCGGGACACGCAGCGCGAAGCTCGTGCACGAACTGCACAGAGGCTTTTCTTGCATGCGCGATGCTGATCTCGAGATGGGGCACGCCGATTTCCTCGAGAGCTCGGGCGATTGTGGGAGAGAAAGATTGCGCGACGAGTTCGGATATTCTTTTTAGTGTGAAGCTGGCGCAATCGCGCGAATTTGTGCTGGACGGCATCGGTCCGGACCTGACCCACCACCTCACGCAGATGGGCCCGAGGCCCGTGCCCCGAGAGGCGAAGGGCGAAGGGCAAATGGCGAAGGGCGAGACTGGACAGCGATGGACGGGAGATCTGGGCCGAGGATGTGCGGTATAATTAGCGGGGGCCCGGAGATGGAAGGGCCAACAACTGCGAGCGATTTGCTCGGCTAATAATGGCGTCCTTCGGAAGTGCCAAGGAGGCCGTGGTGGTGCTGGCGCTGGCCCTCATAGCCTTGAGCTTGAGCGTGAGCGTCGAGATTGGGGCTGCTGCTGCTGCTGCTCGAACGCCAGAGGTTTTGTTGCGGAGCTCGTCATCCTCGTCGTCGTCGGTGTTGGAGAGCAAGATGGACGAGATGTACGTGAGCGTGGACGAGGTGGATATGCTGAAGGTGTACACATTGAAGCGGGGCAAGATGGAGGTGAAGATCACCGATTGGGGGGCGACGGTGATGTCCGTCAAGGTGCCCGATGCGCGAGGCCAGGTCGCGGACGTCGTGCTCGGCTTCGACTCTCCCGCCACTTACATGGATCCCAATTCGACTGCCTACTTGGGGGCCATCGTCGGCCGAGTGGCCAATCGCATCGGCAATGCCTCCTTCAAATTGAACGGCAGGGTTTACCATCTTCCTGCCAACGACGGGAACAACACTCTCCACGGCGGGCTCGTGGGCTTCGACAAAGTTCTATGGCAATCTCAGCAACTCGATCTCGGGCAAGGGCCGTCCGTCCAATTCTACTACAACAGCTTCGATGGCGAGCAAGGATTTCCCGGCAGCTTGGAGGTCTCGGTGACCTACACTTTGGGCGAGAATGGCGAATTCAAGATCGAGATGGAAGCGAAGGCGGGGAAAAAGGCCACACCTGTGAATCTCGCGAGCCACACCTACTGGAACTTGCGGGGCCATGACAGCGGCACAATTCTTGATCACTTGCTGCAAATTTTCGCCTCTCATTACACACCCGTGAACGAGAAGATCCTTCCGACCGGGGCGATCGACCCTGTCCAGGGCACTGCGCTCGATTTCCTCGAGCAGCGTCCCGTCGGGACTCGAATTGACGAGGTTAGTGTCCCGACGGGCGGATACGATCACAATTACGTGCTCGGAGGCGTGGACCACGGCGATTGCGATGGGCTGAAGAGAGCCATACGAGTTGTGGATCCGATGTCCGGGCGTGTGATGGAGATTTTCACCTCTGCGCCGGGCATGCAGTTCTACACGAGCAATTTTCTCGATTGCTACGGGAAAGGAGGGGCTCACTATCAGCCTCGCAATGCCTACTGCTTCGAAACGCAAGGATTCCCCAACGCCGTGAACGAGCCGAAATTCCCCACAGTCATCGTGCAACCGGGCGAGATTTACAGACATGTCATGGTCCATCGATTCAGCACCTCCTGACCAATTCTGCTCGAGACATTTGCCCTTTATGGCTGAGGAGCTGCGCTGTCGTGAATAATTCTGGCAATCGATCGACTCCTGTTTGCTGTATCTGTGAGACTAGCGAGGACAAGAAGGCGACGATGCCATCTGTAGCGAGGTTGTCGTGTGTCAGCAGTGGACTTGTTTTTCATGCCAATCTCAATCTCAATGACATTGTGAGCTGAGTGAGATCATTGTGGACTCATGATCCCAGAGATTTTAGTGAGATTGTTCCTCGGTATGGCCGAAGGTCCTTCAGCAGTTCAAAGAGAATAATTCTGAACGTGACCGTCCTGATGAGGCACTTCCTTTCACCCACCATCATTTTCCAATATGAAAAGTACCAAATTGGCTGGGCCAGCCTGAGAGGATCCCCGTCCAGAAACCAAGGCTGAAACACTGCAATTCTGCAGCATTTGGTGGATGTGTGCAATGACGAACATCTCTCTCTGATTCTTCCGAGTACCTTCGTGCCGCCGTCACGAGGTATGTCTGAGGTCTGCACGAAAGGCAGCGCCATCTCTCAATGCCTGATGCATGTTCCACACACATGACGTGCCCCACTTGTTTCACACACTGATGGAATGTTCTGTTGTCACTGAGGCTCATGGCCAGAAGGAGCGATTACTCTTTGACGGCCAGAATCGAAGCCTCGATTGTACTGTCGATTGCTCGTGCGAGCGTTGCATGAACTCCATCGGCTGACAAGTCCACCAAACACCAAGATTGGGTCATCAGTTCATTCTGCCTTATAGAACTGTACGTGCACATCCCTTTTGACCACTTACTACTGAAAGCAAGTAAGGTTTTATATTTATGTATGTACATGTCTGTATTCACCCCGTGGGGGCATTGAGGATGGGCTATCTAATTCTGCTTGCTAGTAGCAGCAATAGATAGCTCTTCCTCGCCTTCAGCACGATGTGTTGAGCAGGATTTGACAATTGATAAGCAATCCAACGAGTGAATGAATGTAATAGTGGACACATGAGCTCTTCCGCCGCCTTTTAATTCACTGATTACCCTTTAACATACCACAAATACTATGAATGGTTAGGGTAAACATCAAATCATGAGACTTGAATTACAATATTTTTACGGGCTTTTTGGAGTTCCGATTGTTGCTAAGTAAATTTTGAAGCTTGAAGAACACGAAGATTTTGGGTTATCATCTATTTAAAAAAAAGTTAACCCAGATGGTTTAGTACTTTACTACTATTTCGTGGTTTTGAAATATTTAAATATATTTTATTCGACTTGTTTTCATTTCCCGAGATTTAATTTCACGAATTACATACTTTAGAGATTCAAAATAATATGGAAATTCACCATGCAGTTGGTTGTTACTGCAGCACATGGCGGCAGTAAGATCATCACTGAAATTTTCTACTACTGCGCATGTTTGCTGGCGCTCTGTGCCTGAGCTCTCCAGCAGGATGTTTCTGCAGGATGTGTTCTTTGTCTTCTCCAATCGCACATAGAACTGCAACCCGGCACCATAAAACCACAAACATTTTTCATGTCGAGGTGATGATGTCTCCTGCTTGGTAGTTGGAAGCAAACACTACTTTACCCGTAAATATTCAACGTTGTGTTTTTTTCGAGTTAAGTCTCCAACTTCTACGATCACAAACAAGATTGCAACCCGGTACCACACAACGAGAAACATCCCTCTTGTGCAACATGAGGTTGTCTCGTGTGTAGAGGTAACTCGAAGCAAACACTACGTTGAAATAACTTTTCATCGTATTGTGTTGTGCTTCCAGCTATCTCTATACATGGAAGTCAGGGCAGGAGAACTTGCATAGTGTGTACAGCTAGCGCGAAGCAAACATTACGTGTAAGCAACTTTTCAAAGTACTATCAAGTTCCATCTACCTCTACACAAGGAGGGAAGAACAACAGAGTTTACATCCCCGTAGGTGGAGGTAGTTGGAAACAAACACGACGTTGAAGCAACTTTTTGATGTTGTGTTTGCTTCCAATTACCTCTACAACTTCTCCGATCAGAGACAGGATTGCAACTCCATAACACATAATCCAACCATTTCTTATGTTCTCAAGCAACTTGTCAACGTTGTGTCAACTTCCTGCGCCCTCTAGACATGAAAATTAGGGCGCGAAAGCTTACATGTGTAAAGGTAGTTGGAATCAAACACTACGATGAAGCAACTTTTCACCGTTGTGTCCACTTCCGGCTACCTCCACGCATGGAAATTAGTAATCTACATGTTACCTCTTGTGTAAAGGTAGTTGGAAGCAAACATTATGTAGAAGCAACTTTGTAACGTTCTATCAATTTTCAACTACTTCCTTCCACACATAAAAATTAGTACGCGAGCGAGAGGTTAACTAGTGTGAAGAGGTAGTGGAAGCAAACATTACATTGAAGCAATTCCAACTATCTCCACACATAAAACTTAGTACACAAGATGTAACATTGTGTGTAGAGTTAGTTGCAAACAAATACCGTGTTGAAACTTTGTTTCAACACGGTAGATCATGCTTCCAGCTCCCTCTACAAACAAATCAAAATAAAAGAGTAGTACGCAAGAGCTTGCGTAGTGTGTAGATGTAGTTGGAAGCAAATATTACATTTAGACAATTTTTCATTGTTTTATCAAACTTGTAACTCCCTCAGTACACAAAAATTAGTACATAACCTGCAATTGCTACAGCATAACCTCCTTTCACTGAGAGTAGGACGTGAGAGCTTGCATCATGTGTAAATGTAGATGAAATCAAACATTATGTTGAAAGATTGTTTCAACATAGTGTTTTCTTCTAGCCACATCTACACAAGATGCAAGAACCTTTCAACGTTGTGTCAGATCGTGTGGTTCAACGTCCGTGTGTAATCCTAGGGTTTAAATAGAAACGCATTTGAAGATAGATTCATAAATTCTAAAGATGAAAAATACCAACAATGGTTCTACTTTTCTTTATATAGCTCTTAATAACAAGTACAAGGAAACAATAGTTTATATCCACTATCCATTCCATTTTTAATGGATGTATGACGTGGCAGATAACCCTAACACGCACACGTGACGTTCCCAACTATCACTCAATACACTAACTACCAAACTCAATCTTTATCTAACAAGCACATGTATTGAGTACGTTACTTAAAAAATTTTTTATACAAAAGAAAAATTAGAAAAAAAATTTTATCGAGCAGACCTCATACTTGCAAGAATATTATTTGATTTGTAGGGAGGGACTTATGTCACCACAAACGGAGACTAAAGCAGGTGTCACTCTCAACTAACACATTTACTCTCTATCTACCCGCTAAGTTGCTACTCGTCCCAAAAAAGTTATAACCCTACAAGACCAATTAGGGAAAAGCCTTCAGTAATGTGAGGGTTAATTAAACTAAGTGAGGGATAATTAATCCCTCCCTTTCAACTTTATATCAACTTCCAGCTCACTCTACACACATTGTACGTCAAGCTTGCATCATGGTTAGAAGTAGCTGGAAGCATATATCAAATATAAACAAGTTATCTACATTTTGCCAGGTTCCGGCCACCTCTACATATGAAAATTAGTTGGCGAGAGTTAACATCTTGTGTTTCAACGTTATGATTTCCTAACTTGATCTTTACACATAGAATTTTGTGGGCACAAAAAGTCTTGAACATGCTTCAAATATATTCTCTATTTCATAAAAATCAAATTTTTTTTTTGTTGCTCATAGAACTTACCTTGTTGAATTTACTATATTACTATATACTCTATTTAAAATCGGAAGAAGCGCTTTGTCCATAAAACAAAATAGCACAAGGTTCTTGATAACTAAACACACTGTCCATGACTTATATCTTGTACAATATGTGTGAAAATGATTAGTGTGTAAATATTTTTTTACAAAACTATAGTATCATGATGATATAATCTTTTCTTGGTAAGAAAGTTTGTTATCTACTAAGTTTCTCTTCTAATCTTCTTTACATAAGAATGCATTGTAATATTAAATTTCTTTATACAAAGTGAATTCAATAATATTTTGTGTGTGTGTTTAGATTTGAATATATTGAAAAATTGCTTACAAAACATTTTAAGACCCACCCATTACTTTATTTGTAATGTGTAATTGTGAAATATTTTGGGCAATATAAATGATTCGAGCAGATTAGTCATTACTTTATCTCTAACATGTAATTGTGACAATATTTCGGTCAGTATAAATCATTGGTGCAATTTAGTCTTGTTGGTTGGAGTTTTTTTTGTTAACGTGAACTTCTTCAAACTCGGAGTATCATCCTAGATAGCCAATACTTAAAATTAGTTTTTTTAGAAAACAATGAAGTATTGCGACTTTATATTATATACAAACATTAGATTGATAGAATAAAACCCTAACACAAATAATAAATATTGAACTAATACAATTTGTATTCAATTGTTACAAGAATATATGAGTGAAAAGAAAGATTTTCTAATCAACACAAGCTAATAAAGAAAGTAGTAGATAAACTATCAAGCTATAAATGAAATTAAGTAAGTTTACATTCATGTACATATAATCAAACATTTGTCGAAGAGTTTGCAACAAAAAAAATTAAACAATACAATTAAAGAATGAAATATGTTACATTCATATCATTAGAAAAAAAGAATTATCTATGAATTTAGTTCATATATTTATCCGTCCAAATGTGGTCTTTACTTGCATTTCTCGTTGGGTAAATTTAGATAAGTAAAATAATATATAGTCATGATGTCATATATCTCACGTCATTTACCATATTTGTCTTTTATGGGTGATGAGAAAGTTTTCTCGAGATAATGCACTGTAACAACGCTGAAGTCACATTTCTTGGTCTCAGATCTACGTTGAGATGCTTATAGACTCTGGCATACTCGCTATATATGTAGAATATGCACTTCACGAAGCATTTGAGAAATTCGACTTTCTTAACCGGAAATATGCATAAACTAAGGATCATATTGAAACTTTCGAAGATAAAATTTCTTGATTACTTATCATAAGACTTACAATATAGCCAATATAGCAAACACGACTTTGTAACCTTATTCTTTACAGGTACTTGGTGAGCACCCACATATGTCATTATGCACACCAATCTTGACATATACTTACCGAAAGTTCGATAAAGTTAATTACAGATAGACCAGAACTGGGAACAAGAATACGACACAATTGAAAGAACTCCCATTCCACATCAAATACCATACCCAATTTGTTCTTCGATAAAGTTTCGTACAACTAAGACAATGTACCTTCACGCCTGGTCCAAGATATCCTTCCACACAATTCAGGGAGACCTACCAGGAACGATTTTGATATCTCTGTTTCTTCAGATCCTTGCAAACTGGCAAAACCGTCGTCACGCACCTCGGTTCGCCTCAGAAAATTGAAATCCATGATTTACTACGTGTCGTGTGAACAAACACACGTCATATCCGATCGAAGATAACAAAAAGCTGAGTTATGACATAACAAATTGCACGAAAAACTTTCATGTTTAAGGTTGAACCTATGTATCACAAATTCTGGTACCTCTTCAGAGTCTCGCGTCGGGCTTCGATACACTTACTGGTATCTCGTCAAGCTTTTTGTTCAGCCTTTATGTGGGATGTGAAGCATGTATTGAATGTCTGGGAACTGACACTCCCGATACGTATGACTGAGAGAATATGGGAATCACATGACACACTACGAGTGACCAAGATATCTACATATCTTATGATATGTCAATTACATACACGATGCTTCAAGGTTACACTGCGTTGTTTTATAACAGCTTTCATTTAGTCCCCAAGATACACCTCGTCAGCACGTGGGACGTTCATGACTTAAGGCCGCAACCAGGTGAGATGTCCCAAGATAAAAAATGTAAAATGATATCTATTAAGTGAATTACAAAATTCAATATCCCAACTGGCAACATACGCCGATAAGTGGGTAACAGTATATGTCAAAATCTCTACATTGAGCTGTACACATATTAATCCTGACAAGAAATGTAATAAGGGAAGTACTGAGTTCGGAAACCTTACACACCATCTAGGAACCTTTCCAGTGAAAATAACCTCACCGAGATCCAGAAAATTTAGATCATGTGGAAGAAGGAGCGCCCATCCTCAGAATTAACATATCATCTGGTACGTTACACTGGAAAAATGAGAGACATAGACTACCGTTATTCTGATCATCTAACCTCAAAGAAACTTTTTATGACCTGTAGATATGTCGTTCCAGGAAATATGTTGCTTACAGGAGTTGCACAAGATCTGCTCACTGACCTCTACTTTATACTCGCTGAGTAGGGCAGCATGGTCTTTGCTGGAACAGGAAGGCCGGCTGTGACCAGATGGGGTACTATGAACAATAGTTAGATCATCCAAGGATTGATAGTAGCCACTCAATGCAACAGTTGTCACTACATTCTGTAGTGGATTATTCTGTGCTCCCACCTCTATTGATGACCAGGCATATTGTCTCTCCTCTGCAGACAGATCTTCCTTCTCCTGGTGTTCCAGGAGAGGTTCATGCTCGTGATACCTCACGACCCAGCTGTTCAAAAGGACACGGTTCAAGATAAATTCCAATTAGGCCTGCTATAATGACCAGAAAACGACCACTCTATACTTTTCACGAAACAGCCAAAATCGAAAGCTCTGCTCCTTGTGATGTTCAACCACAAGAAATATTTGTACACATATGCAACATATAACACACGTGCCAAGTTCAGAACACCGTAGTGGTTATCCACGAGCAGTAATCAACGAATGCATCACTATTCTAACTGTTGTTTGAACAAGCATGTACCCCTAATTTGAATGGACTGGTGGAGAGGGCAATCATATTCTCTAAAGTCAGTTCGGTTTACTTACCGCGGACGATGATCAAGGAGTAACTTGCCCATGATATCATCCACTGGTGGCGCGTCATCAGGAACGTTAAAAGAAGATAGTTTGTTTTTTGATGCCGACACGATGGACAAGAGGCCACTAGAAGACGACGTACTTGCATGTTCCATTGAAGTGTCCAGTGCCGAAGAATATCCATCATTTTCTTTGGAAACAAAATCGTCGTCATCTGGCTCCAACCTAAAGAGGAACTCTAAATCATCTCCATTAAAAATCCTTTCAGGATAGTTCTTATCGAGAACCCTCGCAGCTACTCCTTCCTTCGCAACCTGTCGACAATGAAAATATTAAATAAAGCTACTGCAAACATATACAGGCGCATCTGCACCACAGATAAATCGTGTCCAGTGTTCTCCTAAACATAGTAAATGATATCATCTGTGCTGTCCAAGATCCAAGGATCCGGTGACACTTCCTACGGAACGTCCACTACGGATATGCGTTAGTATTCAAGAACCACATCTACACCATAATGAACTCCAGAAATAGTCCTCCTAAATCACAAGGTAACTCATTATACACAAGTGATCACTATGAAACGGAGACTGTCACACATTGAGATACAAGTCCATAGATAAGAGCATGACACGATCATATGCAAATGTCCTGGTATAACTTATAAGTTGTGAACTAGGGAGCATATAGCATTAACCCAGTAACTGGATTTATAGAGAATTGATGAGGAGATTTATGAGGAAAATGTAATTTGGATTGACGGTAGGTTGTAGGTTGTAAATAGCAATTTACTTCAGGTTTAGGGCCTATCGTGTTAAGAGTTACCTTTCTAGACGAGGACTCATCAACCATTCTAGTTTAGGATTTTGGATTTGTGTGTGCGGGCTCAAAGTCTACTCTGAAAGTTGTACGTATTGCTATCTGTTAGTAAAACAATCACACTAAGAGTGTTCGCCTAAAGAATGTGAACATTCATGTATCATAAACTGATCACATCTCTGAGTGCTCTGAGTGCTGGGTTGCTGACAATTGCGAGAAGTGAGAATTGTTGCTGAATTTGAGTTGGTTTGTACGTAAGTGTGGGGAATGCTAGCAAGAGACTTCTGACCTCAGTATTGCTGCTCATAGTCTCTCTGAGGGGAAAGAACGGTCGTAGTCAACAATGACAAGTGCTAATTTTCTAAGATACCAAGAGTAAGAAAGATTGAAGTTTAATAAAAAGCACCTATACTATGATCATAGGATGAATAAGCTCAAAGGCGGCCAAAAAAATTAGATAATATTACCTGACGGTTATAAATTTTCTCCTCCATCGTCCCACACGCGAGAAGTCGATATGCAAATACTGGTTTTCTCTGGCCCAACCTTCAATAAAACATTGGAAAAAACATTAGCAGCCTTTTACTTCCTAGCGTTTCAAACTGTTGCCAATCAACACAGAGTTCAAAAGCTTGTCTTTGATCTCACCTCCACGCACGGAACAACGCCTGCAAGTCATGAGTGGGATTCCATGAGCCGTCTACAATGACCACACGGTTGGCCGCAGGTAAATTTATACCGAGCGATCCAGCACGAGTTGAAATTAACACGCACTTGACATCGGTGTTTGTGGGGTTATTGAACCTTTCGCACATACACATTCTAGCTGCAGCAGGTGTGCTTCCATCAAGTCTGTTCATCGCAAACGCATCAGATAAGCAATACATTTGAACCTTCTATGAAGAACCATACAGCATGTTATTCAAAGTTCTCTGAGCAAAGCAATCCAGCAATCTACATCCGAGATTAAATAAGAAAAAACTGAAAATATTGAGATAACTTCGGTGACTCATGATTATTTGACAATTATAAAAATAGAAATAAACTATTCAAAGGACTGTAGTCACCTACCTGTACCAATGTTTATCGTGTTCCCAATATCTACCCTCTGCAGGTAAAAATAATCTCGTCTCCATGAACTTTTCAATAATATCAAGAGTGCCAAGACTTTGACTGAAAACAAGTGTCTTATCCCCTCGAGCTGCACTCATCGACAGCAGTTCTAGTAGCAACACCATTTTACCACTAAGGTTCACGTCTTCTCGGGAAGAACCTTCCATTATATCTTTCCACCATAGAGAATTTTCAAGCTGAGACCCATTCACCATTCAAACTATGAGAACGATGAGCTTCGTGAAAAACATCATACTTTAACCTACATATTGCCCAAGGACATGGACACATCCTTTCTCAATCCAGATCCTTTCAAAATAAGAATGTAATAAACACGAAACACTAGCATCTTCTCACAAAGATCAAGGTTAAAGGTCCAATCTTTCACAACTGGATTTGACAAAGCTATCTTCGTGTTGACATGTACAAAATCAGCTCAAAAGGATGTCCTGGAAGAGATCTAACGTCGGACCGTGACCTTGTCATTCGAATATATGAGCCTCAGAATCCACCCAAACCTAGAAGCTTCAACTACCGTCAAATTAAGAGCTTAAAATATATATGAGATGCAATCTGAATTAATAACCGGGAATTGAAGTGAGTGATATCATTCAACACAAGTTTGGAGTTCAGCTCATAAATAGCTATGCGACATTGAACATTGAATTGTCTCTCCATCATATATGAAGAACGCCCGAGTCCAGATTCGAATAAAAAATCCTAAAATTGATCAGATCCAAGTGCAGTATTTCGACTCAAAGTTTCATAACATCTATGGTACAATAGAATTCTAATTCGCTACGAGGAGGCAAATCTCAACAGAGCAACGGTTCCAAATTGTTGGACTGGAATAATAAAGATTACATAAATGATTAATTTAGAGCAAACTTACAAGTATCTTCGATCTTTATCCAAATTCAACTCTCTTACCTCATCGTGGTCAGTAACTCCTTTCCTCTTCCAAGAACGATTACCAATGCCAAACTTAAGCTTCACGTCAGCGCATGAAGATGTGTTGCCTCCAGCTGTAAATAACATCCCATAATAAAATCTCTCAATCTAAAATGATCACCCACGGTCTCAAGAACAAGAAGGAAATGCAAACAAGTGATGAGAGAGACGAATACTAGCTGCGATGAGGATTATTATAGGTTCTTTGTAGGCACACGAACCCAACAAGATAAAGCAGGGAACTTGCAGCGGTCAATGAGAGAAAAACGTCTGCTAGAGAAACATAAACAAAAAGTTACTGACATAATAGCTGAAAGGTCAATATTTGTATTTCAGACACTAGACGGTGTTGGGCTGAGATCAACTCAAAGTTCATCAAGTCAATATTAGGTCATGTATCGAAGAAAGGAACTCCCTGTAATCCAGTCCTAAGCATATTCAGACTAACCTTACAGTAGTCTCAAACCTGAGACTATAAAATGTGAATTTGGTAGAACCTTGTGTAAAATGGTAAAGCATTAGTAGTCTCAACTGTGTTGGTGAAAAAGGTATGCGGAGAAGTGAATTTGGGATTTGAGGTAAACAGGCTCCAGATCCGATAACATCGAAAATTTGAAACTGTTGAATCTCCAATCTATGCGGAGATATTCTGATATGAGAATATTCTAAAATGGATGTAATTGATATTACTTTAGCTACTATAAGCAGTGCAATTCATTAGTAGTATTGTATGACACATCCAATGTATATATCGACAGTGCTGACAATACAAGAGCAACAAATGTGATGTCTGACCTGCATCAGTTTCACTCAACTTCTCTTCATCCGACTCATTGGCAAATTCATCATAAGAGTCTTCTTGTTGTCTACGAATCTTTTCCTCCTGGGCAAGGAGAAGAAGGTCTGGATGATTCCATATCTGCAAAAGTTCAATGGCGTGAAGTAGTTAGAATCTGCAAGTCATATTTTACGATTCGCAATAGCGATTGAAACGACACAAAGAACTTCGTCTAAACGAAAAGCGTCTGATGTTTGGAAGAAGATAATCCACGCTCTCTAATAGATAAAGAAATCATCCACTTATTTTGCGTGGTACTATTCATTTTCCGTTTGGGTATAGACTATTTGGTGTCAGTAATACTCCTTATGAATCCAAATCCGAATACTTAAGAGATTGAATATTAGAAGCAGAAAAGATGAAGAAGGCAAGGCAAAGAGTTAAGGATTATCTGAGGTGAATTCTACACTTCAAGTGATTTTTGTCTGCGTCGATGAGATTAGTTCGAGAGTGTCAGAGTATGAACAAAATGGTATAACCATTAAATCCTCGTCCCAATTTCCCTCTCACCTCACCGTTCGTACAGCAACGAGTGAGTGAGTTCACCCATCACAAGATAGTGAGAATATCAATGAAGGTCAGATCGATCTCAATAGTGAAGATAATTTAATTAAAATTAAAAAATTTGGAAAAAAATCAGTAGAACAAGTTTTGGAAGCGTATAAATTCTATCCTACCAAATGTAGTAAGGTACGGCAGTTGGTAGCAATGCATGGCATGTAACCAAATACTGTTGACAGATTCCATAATCAAATTTCGGGAGACAAAACTGAATCTTTCAAGCTATGGTATCAAGTATTTTTATAAACGAAAACTTAAGAATATTGATTAATAACATCTCAATCATCTCCAACCCTATGACAAGATTACAATTTCAAATCCTTAATCTGAGAAGCACTATCAAACCAGATGGGAAAGAATACGTAACTTATTACATCAGTCATTTCTTCCAGCTGTGACCGGATCAGGTAAGAGTGAATACATATCCTTGTAATCTGGGTTAGGTGTTACTGTATGAGGCTACTTGTAACTATGTTTTATTACGTTCGCAAGTGATCCAGGCAAGTTGCCAGATTGGTAACTACTAGCTATTGCCAGTAAACTCCTTCCCCTCGATCTATTCACAATGTTTTACAGTCCAGTACCGTTCATATACCATTGACAATCACTCTAAGGAAGAACCTCAGAAAAAACTCAGCTCGCTAACCGTACCATCATCATATTCGTTATATTGTTGACGCAGGCATTTAATAAAATTGTTAATCTTGCAGTCAATTTCTCCCTGGTCAATGGGAATGATGAGACCTCTCATATGTTACAACAGTTTCTTCAGAGAAATTGGCTGATTATATTCTGAATTGAGAGGTATCAACTCACTATGGTACTGTCATAGAAGAAGCCATATCTACTTTCAAAAATGATGAACCTATTTTCATATGCTGAGGCAGCAAATAGATCAAGCTGGAAGAAGTGGAAACAAGCTATACAGGAGGAAGAGAAGGGATCTCCTAGTAATATCCGCACATGGGAGATCGTGGATCTTCCACCTGAAAGTAAGACATCTTTCCTAAATAGAGATTCGGAAGAGGAAATCTACATAGATGAACCTGATGGCTACATTGCTTCAGGATAGGAAAAAGTTAATTTTTGTTAAAAAAGCACTCTATGGGCTTGAGTATGCACGTTAGAAGTTGGTACCAAAAGTTAGATAATATCCCAGGAATCAAGGCTTGAAGAGAGCACATTCAGATTTAAGTGTACGGCACGGTTGAAATGCTTTACATTGCAGTGTATGGGGAATGCTTTACATGCTGCTTATGGGGAAGTGGGTCAAGGCAATGAAACATGCTATCTCTTACTTTGCTTTGACAATACTCGACTTTGCTAAGTTCCTGTTAGGGCTAAAGATTGATAGGAACAGGAAGGAAGGGTGGATTGAGAGTGTTCTACAAAGCTGTAAGATATACGTTGCACTAAGAAGGTCTGATTAAGTTCACATTAATCTATAGACAGGAGAACATGAGATCGAACTCACGAATAGCATAACAATTGATCATCAACATCTGGTCAGGAGATCGGTTTCTGTTCCTAAACAAGCAACTGATAAACTCGAGGTTGGATGTGAACAATTAAAAGTTAATGAAGAGGACCCCACCGTTAGTTCCCAAGAAAATCCCAATTGTGTGTTCATAGACACCGTCTTTGAGACACAAATGTAGAAATTATAGAAGGAATTCCAATCAAGTAATTAGGGATCTGGGGACAAAGACCGTCGCAGTGATGAGGGGAATTCAGGACGCAAGCGAACCCTACGAGATGAAGTAGAGAACATGAGAGGAAATTTTTGGGCTTGCGAAGAACCCTGACTAAGAAGAACAAGATATGAAACGTATAGAGATCAGACCTGTCTTACTTAGCATGTCCTTCACCTCCTACGTAGATGACATCTCTATGTAAATATCACAAAGCACCAACATTACAATAGTACGCAAGGACATATGGACAATACGAAGAGTTATGATTCTCCATTTCTTGATGAGGAATGAGTCGACTTCAGGTTGGTGAGAAAATATTACTTTGGAGAACGAATGGTATGCATTGAAGAGTAGACGCCGATGAGTCTTATTCTCCAAAGCTTCGTCATCATCGTGCATCATTCCATGGATTTGGAGGTAATGCTCGTACAATCTCCTCTGTAGATTTGAGAGCCTCACAGATATCACATACACACATTTCGGAGGTAGTTCACCCTTCAGGACACTGGAATCCTTGCGCTGTACAAATCCCCGCAGGGTTTTATTGAGGACGTGAGCGCGCATCTTCATCACTCTCACGTCGCTTGCGGTCGAATCACAGTGTTGACCATTTTCAATAGGATTTTGAAACCTGCACATGCATCTTCCATTATCTACATTGCATAAAGTAATTCAACCAAGTGAACATGGAACATGATGTACATCAATTAAGGTACTTGCGCAAGGCATACGTAAGATAAGAGTTTAAAGTACGCAAAACAAAGCATGAGGTATTGGAGAAGAAAGAAAGTGAATATAATCAGGCTAAAAGGAAAACAGGGAGAATATGAATCCTCGCATTGTTGACGTGAATGGGCATCACCATACGATCCCATTAAAGGGCACTATGCACCAAAATTTCTGTAGGGACAATCTTCCCTTCCATAATTTCTTGTGGAAGCAACAATAGTTTAGTTGCCTCAGATGGTAACAGTCTTGGAAGGCATGAGGACGTCGATGTTTGATAATATGAACTTACCTGTTCTTGAATACTGTAGGTGTTCCCAGAAAACCTTCCCTAACAAAGTCCACCATCTGTCATAAGTTTCACAAGCGATTGTTTAATTAGTAAGTGGGTATGTTTCACATGGATTCAGCATTATCTGGCCTTGGCAGTGTGGAGTATATAGTCGTGTAATGAGTTACGAAAAATAGCTCAAAATACGTTTTCTGGAAGCAACGTACACAATAATACTCCATCAAGTTGTTTTGAAGTGGAGACCCTGTCAAAGCAACCCTGCGCTTGCTCCTCACTTGCTTTAAAACCTGGGTAATGTCTGCTTTCCCATTTTTAATCATATGAGCTTCATCGCAGACTAAAATGTCAGGACCTGGGTTCTGCATGGAATCATAAAAACAGTACAAAATCCATCAGTCTTCGCTTTTCGTAAAAGTTGACTTTCAAAGGTCTAAATATTCTTTCACATCATTACAGAGATTGTGACAGGATTATAAGAGTTATTTTACCTGGAGGGATTCACAAAGAGAGTCTCTAGTTACTTTATCCTTGACATGCTTTCCATTAGAAAGATTTCGAAAAGCCGAATAACCTATGAGCATGACTCCCCCTCCTTTATGCCACGAAATCAACAACTGAGCTCGCCGAGAGTTCTCTCTGCAACCATGAATCCATCTGTTAGACTCGAACCACTACCAACCAAAACATTTCCACTCTTCCCGACCCGCGCAGCGTCCTAGCAAGTTCTCTCACTTCTATCAACTTGCTTTGATGGCTGAGTCACCGAAGAATCTCTTCGCATACATCAGTACTTCAATTACGTTAATCCTCATTACTCACAGATAATAAAGTTTTAGAAATGACTATTTCAACAATTCAAACTTGCAAACGTACCGTATTGAATCATCAAGTATGTACACCGGAATGGGGTTATGTAGATTGTCTTGCCACATCTCAAATTCTCTTTTCCAATTATGCAGAACGTTTACTGGAACTACGATGAGCGCGGTTTTGAACCATAAAAGCTCTGAAGTCAGTACTGTGTGCAAAAAAGTGATAACCTGCCCACGGCAATGAGTGTCAAAAGGAGGATCTTGGGTTATAGATGGGTCAGAATGCTGAACTTTTTCCAAGGCATAAGGCCCATGTCTTCTACGACAACATATTTGAAGATTCTAATAAACAATAATACGATAATCATAAATAGATTCTAGTTCTGTAGTTTTCTAATATGAGAAAACAAAGCCTCGAGATATTAGCCAACATCACGTCTACATTTTCTGATATCTTTAGAAATGAACTAAAGTAGATAACATGTCCTGAGATTTCTAGGAAGGTTAATCCGAAGTAGAATAAAGATGATCTCATAGAGCTACTTACTTGCAGGGTCTTTCCAAGACCCATGCTATGGGCCAAGATGCACCCGACACCATCAGGATCATTTTTAATCTTCTTCAGGGACTCCATGCAGTTCTGCCACATAAATTGGACTCCCTCAATCTGGAAAATTCAACGTTTTTTCACAACTCAGAAAAAATCAAATCTTGTCGTTGAGAAAATTAATTTTTATGTTTTTACAAGGTTAGAATTCACTCAAATGTATTTCTATCGAAGATCTTCATCCACTTTCATTTCCCACTGAAACCGTTAGTAACATGTGTTTGTCATACCCTGAAGATCATTATCCATATCTTGATGATGTGGTTGTTCCAATGAAGACAGTGAGTATCCGGTGGCATACGGCATAGAAGTACTAAATTGACAAGCTCTCAGCAACAAGTATGCTTCATGAAACTAGATTATAATATCCCACTTTGTCAGATCTCTGTTGTCGTGTTACTTGGAAAGACATTCTGGATTGTTTCGTCATGTGCAATATATCAACATTTACCAAGTCAAATTTAAAATAGTCAAGAAGTGTCCTTGGATTCGACTAGAAAACCCATTCTTAGCTTGTGAATAAAGTCAGATAATCTGCAACAAGAAAGACTTGTAACTACGCTACACGCAATCCTGGAAAATCTTACACATAAGTGTCTAGTTAAGACGTCCCGTACCTGATGGGGTTTCAAAACGTCAGCGAAGCTTGGAGCGATAAAGATTGGTTCCTCGTCCGGATCTCTGACAGCATTGATAGGCAAGCCAACGATGGTGACCTCAGGTTGACTTTCATATTCTGCAGGTACAGTCTCTCTCTCTAGTTGAGAGATCTCTCTTGAAGCAAGAAATTGGTGGGGTGGTACAGGAGAAACTGATTGCCAATGCTCCAAACGTTCTTGGCGTTCCTACAAATACACATTTTCAATCCCATTTGGAAAACAAACCGTCAGCAAATACACTCAAGTCTAATTGACGGGAGTCAACCATGCGTGACCAATGGTGGAATGTTGGAAGCAATCATCTTCTCAGTCCTCTATAGCCTCAAGTGGTAATAGAATTACAATGAAGCATATTTATATTCTCTAGGCCAATATTTTAAGAATTTTAATGGATCACCATGGATAACAAGAATCGTCATTGCGGCAACATGCGGTACTCACCGATCTTATGCGTTAGATTTGAGGAATCATTGCCATATTTCTAGATTGATTTCATTTTACATTTTTTATTGCCTACAAAAGCCCAGGGCATTTCTAAAACCACAAAGGGTTAGGATATATTGTCTACCTTCTCACGAGCAAGTAACTCCTTTTGCTTCTCTTCCAGCTCGTCATCACTGAGCATCTTCCGTATGTTTTTGCGATGCCTTCCTCTTCTGAGGGACACACCAACCGTTCTCAATATATTCAATTTACTACTATATTCAGAAAATTAATGAAAAACTCACAGAAAGTCTACCGACACACAAAGATTTTGAATATTTTGCATCCAGGTATACATCAGTAATATTATCATATGAACTACTGAATTTCTGCAAAGGTAATCACTTACTTTGTATATTTGAGAGAAGATTCTTCATATCTAGTTGGTTCGTCAGATTCAACATACACAATTTGTCGATCGCCAGCAATTAATCGCTCTAATTCTGACTCGGCCGTTACCAACTCTTGGGTAAGATGGGCCAACGGCGTATCGTTGCAGAAAAAGCATAACCAATAATCGTCAGCACAAACCCTCACATACTCTTTCGCATCAAAGTTCTTTGTAATGCAGTTTTCGCAGAAAACCTTATCACAACGTGAGCAGCAAACAACCTTCCCTCCTTCTCCACACCAGCTGCATTCAGAATCTGATCCATCCTCATCCTGGATCATATCAAAACGCAAGAACTTTATTATTAGGATGTTTTGCGTTAAAATAGATGCCAAACAATATTTACTTTGTCTTCTAGTAGAAAGCAATTGCTTTTGACATAAACTCAAACAAATTTGTCATCAAAGTGTAAAACAGTTGAAATGTAAGCAGTGTGAAATGGATATCAATCTACAGTAGATTTCTTACCGTCACCTACTAACAAATCAGCAAATCTAGTCCTCAAAGTAAAGTATGCTTCATTCATCAATCCCGGCAAAGATCTACGAAGCAACAAGAGAATCAACCAGGAAAGCTGCAAAGAAATAGGTTTGAAGAAGCCGCAAACTAACCTTCCTGAAAGGTCCACTTAGATAATGCCTCGTGCATTTCTTGCATACTGCAACGGGAAGTCTCGGATTAGGATGCCTAAGCACCTCATAAACCTTCATTAACTGGTGACAGGAAGTGCACTTCACTCGCATATCACTTTCGTATCTGGCCTTCCTCTTTCTACCATTTGCTTGCATTTGCCACGTCTCAACACGGTCCAACTCTGGGTGCGCTGGAACCGCGTGGGTCAGGGACGATTCTATAACTTCATGTCCTAACCTCTCATCCTTCACGTAACAGACCAATTGTTTTGTATCACAAGTGACTTCTCCCCTTGGAGAGTCCTTTGACGTCGGATGTCCTGTCAAGGCCTCTTCAACTTCCCTCTCTCCATCACTATCGATCACAACCGTCCTTCTCACTAAATAGTTTTTACTCGAAGTATGTTCAGGAGGAGGTTGTTTCAACTCAGTTTCTGACTCGACAGGAGATTCTACTTTTGTTTCATTGACTAGCCCCGATTCATCTACAATGTAAACAGATTTGAACTTTTTAGAGCTAGATTCCTCATCATCCCCCGCTGAAAATCCCTCAAAGGTTCGTTTCTTGCCTGAGCCTTCCTCACTTAAGATAGGCGACTGAGAGGAAGGACCAGCAAGTTCACCATCAAGTCTGGAACTAGCCTTCCATTCGACAATAGACAGGTCAAGATTCTCCCGGGATGCTGCAGGTTCATGGAGCAGCCCATTCCTGGCATCTCCACTCCCGTTTAAAATGTGAAGAATAGGCTCGTATTCACCGGCCTCGACTTTCAAGGTGGCGACAACATTCCTGTTTCCATCTGGGGAAGGTTCTGTTCTTGTTGGTTCAAATGGATGAGAATTCAACTGCTTCCTTGTGCTGCGGATGTCACCGTGATCAGACTCATCATCACTTAGAAGGTCTATCACCTCAGTAACATCTTCTGACTTCCACTTTGGTCGAGACTTCGCAGAAGATGTGCTAGTGTTGGAAACAACATTTTCTGACGAAGCCTTTCCGAAAATCGACATGGAATCTTCGAATATAGGTACGTTATCTGCTTCCTTTGCTGTAACAATATCTCCCAATGAAGTCCCCGGAGGCCGTTTGTCTTTCACATCGGGTAAACACTATCAACAGAAGTTCAGATTAAGAACGAAAACTCTAGTTAGGTTAGATTGGTGATTTCAAACATATCTGGACAAAACCAAAGAGAACATCTTGCAATCAATGTAGCTCTGACCTAATTTACATGATCCTCTACAAGACTACTTTGTTACACAATATACGAAGATGGACAGAACAATCGAGAAGGAGTTTCATACGGACATACCTTTCTAAGAGTGCAGACATGCTTTGATACCAAAGACTTCTGTCTCGAACGCTTTTGCCGCCTTCGAATTTTTCTCACATCGTCTTCCTCTCTTACCTGTCAAATTACTGCTTCAACCATCAGTCAAGTGTGTGGATCACATCTGACAAAGGATCCTCTCAAGCAAGTATGACGTCGTTGGCATTCGACTAAATCAAATATGGTATCATTACCTTCTTAATAGACTTTTTCTGTCCCTCGGTCAGTCCTCGCTCGCGTTCATTCTTAAGAGCAGCTTTGAAAATAGCTCCCTTCCCCGTCTCTATATCCCCAATCTCCTCCACCTGCTCCAACATTCATGTAAGTGTGAACACTTAACTGTCTATCTATACGTCTTTCTGATTTACCTATAGAATATTGAAAATATGCTTGGTACATGAAGAATATATAGTAGTAGCCAGTAACAACTACTGAAGCTCTATACAGCCGTTACAATTTTCAGGATGGCTGTTCCTAAATTAAGACAAGTTTTACTAACGATGTACTTACAGTGTCAATACCGGGTAATGTCAAGCCCAGCTGCGCTGCTTGCTCGGGTGTGGAGGCAAGGTAGACAGCAGCCCAACGTTTTGTACCCATCAGCTGTCCTGGCCCAGCGCTCTCATCGTTATCCAGAAAGTCCTCGACTTTGGACCAACCATCATCTTGAGAAGATTCGTGCGTGGCAAAGCCTCCTTCTTCCTCAGCTAGTTTTCTCTCCAAAAAACCACTTGCCCCCTCATCTAAGATCTTCCCTCGGTGACTGCACTGACTCACCATCCAAAAAAAATGTCATATATTCATCAAGATCTACTTCATGTGTTAGAAGTATTACTACCCACTTCTTGGTCCTCCGTGAACTCCGTTAAAGAACGTTTGTAATTTGTACTATAGTCAGTGGTCGTGACTAAGTGTCCATTAGGGTTTAGGGTCCTGTCACTGTCACGACCACTGTCACTATTGGGTATTTATCCCCCATCCGGGTTCACTCCCCAATAACTAATATCTTCTCTCCAGGACTCACTAACTGTGTCTCGACCCTTTCATGCATTGTTTTACTTCCTGATATTGTATCAGAGCTGTAGGGTTTAGAGTTCAGAGTTCGAAGACTTTCGAAGACTTACTTGGGCAGAACGTGAAGCACAGCACAGAGGATAGTTCAAGTTCTGGAAGATGACTTCTCCAGGGGCTTCAACCCATGGAAAGATCTTCTCAAGTTCAATGGGGTGCAAGATTAGTTTGATCCTTCAACTGGAAGGATTGATGGGCATGATGGAAGGGACTGAAGTTCGGCCAACCATTCCACAGGGTTCTACAACCAGAACTCCAGAGTCATGCGCAGGGAGCAAGCAGGAATGGGATGTTAAAAATCTCATGTCCTTGGCGGTGTTGAGTAACTCGTTTGGAAGACCATCAACATCTATTGATTGCTCGCCATTCTACAGCTGCAGAGGCCTGGGCTGAACTGAATACATTTTTTGAATCCCATGATGTACCAATGCAGATGCACTTGAGAGATGCATTGCATTCTCTCAACATGCAGTCAGGCGAGTCTGTAGCGAAACATATCTCCAAGTTTCGTCTACTTCTTCACCAGTTGGCATCTATAGGGCAGACTATTCCAGAGGCAGAAGCTTATACCCGTCTCCTTCAAAGTCTTCCTATCGAGTATAGATCCTTTGTGCACTCCATGCGGACACACAACCGTTGACCACTCAATCTGTTATTCCTAGTGTTCTTCTTGAAGAATCATACCTCCAAGAAGAAGAACAGTTGACCGACGGAATGGCAGCACTCTACACAGCAAAGAAACGAGGGGGTACGCCAAAGATGATGCATCCAAGACAGGTCAACCGAGGCAGGTCTTTCATCATTCACCTCCTGCCAAACCATCTATTCCCAGGCAAAAGATGAAATGCTTCTATTGCAAGAAGAAAGGTCACCTTGCCAGCGAGTGCTGGAAGAAGAAACACGACAGCGCTTCTTCACATTCTACACCAAACAATCACCAGCGGTTGTATGTCACTGCTCTAGGTTGTATGCCACTGCTCTAACATCAATCGGGATGGATCCGGCCTGGTACGTGGATTCTAGTGCTACTCAACACATGGCATACAACAAAAATGCCTTTGTGATATATACTGAACTACCATCGAAGGAGTTTGTATATCTAGGCGGCGACAGTTGCCAACTCATTCAGGAATAAGGTAATGTCCTCATTTCTTTGAATGATGGACAAGAACGGATAATACCTGAAGTGTTACACGTTCCTGGTCTCCACAAGAATCTCTTCTCAATACATCAGCTTGTTCAGCAAGGAGGGAGTCTACTCATTGAACGTGATCGATGCATCTTGAAGGACAAGAAGTGTAACGTCATTGCTCAGTGCATCAATGACAACAACCTGTTTAGGCTGGAAACGACTTCTTTCAAAACACCTGCAGTTCCTGCTAAGGTTTGTTATTCGGCTTCCAACACTGAAGAGCTGGACACCTATCAATGGCATCTCAAGCTCGGCCATATGAGTCTTCCGCGGATTCAGCAAATGAAGCAGCATCATATGGTATGGTAGAAGGGTTGGAGAAATGTTCCTTTCGGACTCTCCCTTTCTGCACATCATGTGCTCTAGTGAAGTCTACCAGAGTCAAGTTCCCAAGCAAAGGAGCCACTCGTGCTAAAGACCTTCTTGGTCTAGTACACACGGATATTTGTGGCCCTCTGAGAACTCAAACATTCTCGGGATGTAAGTACTTCATCACGTTCATGGATGATGTGGCCCTCTCAGAACTCAAACATTCTCGGGATGTAAGTACTTCATCACATTCATCGATGATGTTTCACGATATACGCGTGTGTATTTGATACAACAGAAGTCTGAAGCCTTTGCCAAGTTTCAGGAATTCAAATCGATGGCTGAAAATTACCTCAACAATCAAGGTTCTGCGATCAGATAATGCTCTTGAATACAAATCTCGAGCTTTTACTGATTTTTGTACACTTCACGGCATACAACGACAGTTTTCCATTCCTGATACTCCTGAACAAAACGGAGTAGCTGAACGGAAGAATCAAACTTTGATCGATTCTGTTGTCGCTATGTTGACACATTCTGGTCTTTCTCATGGCTATTGGGGCGAAGCCATCCATACGGCCGTTTACATGCAGAACAGATCTCCATCGAAGGCTCTACCCAACGACAAAACCCTTACGAACTTTGGCATGGGCAGAAGCCGGATCTGCGGAACCTACAAGATTTCGGATGTACTGCCTTTGCTCATATTGAGAGAGGCCATCGGGGTAAGATTGACCCCAAGAGTGTAGAATGGGTTTTCCTTGGCTATTCTACTACAGCCAAAGGATATCGCGTATAGCATAAGGACTCTAACAAGATTCCTGAAAGCAGATCTGTCAGATTTATGCCTCTTGCAGTTCGGGAAGCTACCTCTCACCATCAGCAGGCATCAGTTGTTCCGCCTGCTGAGCAAGAAGGTTTTACTCCCTTTCGCCCTGTTCCATTAGCTCCATCGACTGATCCAGTTCGCAGGAGGTTACCAGCAGAACAGCCACCAGCAGGACGGCCACCAGCGGTAGGAGAATTCAGTCCATTGACACCATCACATGCAGTGGGAGTTCCACAGGCAACTTCCACTTCCTCCGTAAGTCATCCTCCAACTGCTGAAGTCCCTGCAACTTATCCAGCCCGTTTTGGCCAGACTTATCAGAGGCGCACATGGAAGCTACGGGAGAATTCTCTCTCTTCTGCTCCTCTTGATGATACAGTGTGCAACCTCGAAGACTTACTGGAGAATTCTCTCTCTTCTGCTCCTCTTGACGATACAGTGTGCAACCTCGAAGACTTACAGGGAGAACTCCGAATTCACAACACTGCATATGGGGGCTGCTTCATCGTCTTCCCGCTCCATCGATCCTCTCTTTTGAAGGGGGGAAAGAGTAAGGAAACGTGTCGAAAGATATAATCAATTTTTGGAGAAGAGGAAGAAGCAGTGGCGGAGCTAAGGGGAGGGGGGGGGGGGTCCCCTAAGCCCAGGAAGGGTCTCCAGATTCTGAGCTACAGATCGTGAAAACGCGGTCGAGAAATTTTTTTGAGAATACCTGGCGGAGCCAGGTATTTGTAAAAAAATGTCATATATTCATCAAGATCTACTTCATGTGTTAGAAGTATTACTACCCACTTCTTGGTCTTCCGTGCACTCTGTTAAAGAACGTTTGTAATTTGTACTATAGTCAGTGGTCGTGACTAAGTGTCCATTAGGGTTTAGGGTCCTGTCACTGTCACGATTGGGTATTTAACCCCCCATCCGGGTTCACTCCCCAATAACCAAGATCTTCTCTCCAGGACTCAGTACCTGTGTCTCGACCCTTTCATGCATTGCTTTACTTACTGATATCATGAAAACCCCTATCAGCACGTAAGCTCCATCTAGATGAGACAACCAAGGTAACCTCTAGATTAACCGTTCAGACTGTCAGCGACATAGCTGACAGTCAGATTCATTACTTGGAAGGCTCTACTGAGCACCATTTGTAGAGAAAAACGAGTATTAGCACAAGTTTCACATCATTCACAAATCAATGATCCTTAGACGCAAAGGTTAAAAGAGTGAATTCATAATTGTTTGCATCTTACTAGTTCAAGGTCGTAGATCTGGCCACCTCGCAAGCGATGAAGACTAAAATAGCTACAAGACAGTACCAACTACAGCCATTTGCTTTGAACTGTACCTTCTCGTGGGATGTTTAATCTTGAGTTCTTCCGATGCAGTATTCAAAACCTTCTCAACCTCCTCAGTGGGCTCATGCCCAACCCAGAGAGTTCTCCTTTTCCACGCCTCCGTAGTGCACACTTCCGGAATTTGCTTCTCAATCCACTTGAATAGATGTGTCAAGCTCACCCCTGCGTCTTCCAGTTTCTCCTGGGTAGGCACGTCTACATTTATTAAAAATCTGAAACAAAATTTGATATCAAATAATCAACCGCATCAAGCGAGGAGACCGAAGACCGTACAGCAAAGGGCTCAACTACAAAAGGGCTAAAGAACGGGTTCGAAAAATAAGAAAATAACTTTGGCAAAGGATAATGTCTTATCAATCAAGAGAATGTCTTATCAATCAAGAGAAGAACCAGCCGAATCATTCAAGACAGAAGCAAAAAGTAACTTGCAGAAAGGGAAATCTAGCAGCAACAAATCAAGCATGAAGAGCACGTGTAAGACAATATATAGTAATTATGTCTTCAGAAGATTTTAAACATTAGACGACGACGTTGTGGGACTTTGATTGAACTGCCCATGGCGACTCTGTACCAAGGCGGCAGCCCTTCTCCAGCCCGGAAACAATTGCAAATTTCGAAATTTGAAATATAACAAACCTAGAAGAACAAACGAGAGCGTATGCACGGGTTGTTCCTCGATCCCATACTAGGAAAGGAACCGGAACCATCAACAAAATCTACAGACGGGCATCACTTCATCGACATAAAATTCTGACTGCTTATATTGGAGGACTCCCCGAAGAACTCTGTTAAGATAACCCACGGTGTTGCTACTTGGGACAGGAAAAATCCAACTCGATGGGTAGCAGGGGAAAATGTTTCTTCACCGAACATCATACCATCGACACAATTCCCAGATGCTTTCACTCGGAGGACTCCCCCGAAGAAGGACGGGTTGGATCGGCCATAGAGCTGCTACTTAGGATATGAAAAGTCCAACTCAGTAGGTACCAGGTAACTAGGTTTCTATACTGGGCCCCGCGGGTTGAGGATTACTAAAAACAACAGACTATGGAGTGTTCTCATGACAAAAGTAGCACGGAGTGGATTTCAGATAGTGTTCGTGTAAACTACTGCACATATACACTGTGGATATTGCATATCACCAGGTTAGCTTTAGATCCAAAGCATCCAGATCCTTCTAGAGAAATGAAAGTATTCATTGTCTAGGAGAGAACAAAATTCATAGATAGAATCCACATCTTCTCTTTGAAAAGAGAACCTAACAAGGACGGCCCATGCGCATAGTGTAGTGTTAAATTGTATATTGGTGGATCGAAGGTAACTATTGCCCCAAAAAAACTTTTCCTACAGATATATATCCGCCAGCTTGGAAGTATGTGAGATGCTGGAGGAAACGTGAGTTACTGTTATAAGCTTATGTCTCCTGAAGTGTTGTCTATGCTATCCTTGACAGCAGTGCAAAGTTTGGGGTCGACCTAGTAAAGCCTAAAACCTGAAAGTAAAAAATAATTCTGGAATCGGAGACAGAGATCTCCAAGCAGAAGATCTAACAAAGATATTGATGTTTCCGGAAAATGGATTCTCTTCTGTAAAAAAGGTGGCTTCAATCCCTGAAGCAGAATTACCCAAAACGAAGAAGATGAGTTGACGATCCAAGTCCACGACTGGTGGAATCTTTCAGTGATTCATAATCGAAAAACTGACGGATAAGAAACGCCCTGTGGAGATCAACAGATTTATTATCGTGTGAAGGGCCGTGAAACACTTTAAGCGGGCAACGCAGGTTTCTCGCAGCAGCAAAAGGGCGATGCGGCTTCAATCAATCAACATCTAGCAGTCCCCAATATATATCTAGGATCCAAATCTTTGATGTGGAACCTGTTTAGTAGAGGGCAGGAGAACATGTGCCATGGGCAGAAGTGCCTTGTGAGGTGCACATAGTCAGTTGGCAGATAGAAAGCTATGAAAGTGAAGAGCATAATCATAGATAATAGATGAATGGCTTGAAAAATGTTTTATGTAGATTTTAGGACAAGAGAAAGAAGGAAAGGGAGTTTTCCCCTTAGTGAGTTGAATTGTACGTTGTTTGGAGAAATCAGATGGACTTTACAAATGGAGTGCTCAGTGGAAAGGATTAGAAGGAAGTATTAAAGTCACTTGTACTTAGAGATATCATCACGTGAACATAGACTATGAGTATTTTTCTCCATGTAGGCGAAGATGAGTTTTGGAGTAATCTAAGAATTGAGAGGTCTACAGGTGGTGTGTGACCTGCGAGGGCTGAGGCTAGATGAGAAGACCAGAGGGGAAGGTGGCAGAAGAGAGAGCCGGGCTACCAGTATCCCCGCCAACTCCTCCGAAATGAGAATACGAGAAACCGCAGACTTAGGTAGAGATGGGAAGACTGGAAGAGGAGGGGAGGCTGAACGAAGGAGATGGAACATACGAACCGGTAATTTTAGAAATGAAATGGAGTAACAAGGACATACTGGAATTTGGTAGGTTCATAAGATCAGATAAGGCGGATAACAGAGTAAGGTGGAAGAATCACACTATATTAGTCCATCTTGCACTCATTATGAATAACTCGCATTTTAAATGTATTTGCACCTGTAAAACGGCACTTCTTTCCTCAATTTCTTCCGCGATGTCCTCCCATTGCTCAATGTAGGCTGTCATTTCTTCTTCCACGGCCAACTTCAACTGTAGCAGAACGATCAATGCTTGTAAGTAAACTAGTTGGGGATCGGGAATCAGCTTACTATACCCCTCAAACAAAAACTGCAGGAAAGAACTCAAACGTTACCTCCTCTCCAGAGAGTGTTTCGCCCAGCTCTTTTTCAACTTCATTCCTTAACTGAAGAAGAGATTCTTCCTCCAAAATCTCTTGAGCATGGGTTGCCTAAACACCACAGACCGACCTGCTATCAGTATGATAACACTTCAGCACTGGAATCGATTGTAGAACTTCTTCATGACAACAACAATTTTAGAGAGACAACCAATACCTCGCTTTCAGCCACCAAGAGTAGTTCAACGAGTTCTTCTATATCCTCTTCCTTCAAAGACCCCTGTGCAGAAGATTTAAACAAAACAAACAAACAAAAAGTTATTTGCGATACCATGAGAGCGAACACAGTCTATACATCAATAAGTCAGATATCTAGCACCATCAAATACAAAAAGTCTCTTCTATCTTGGCTTCGGGATTCATCTATAGATTTTGTCATGTATGCTGAAGACCTCACAAAGAGTGGATGCTCGACAACTAATGTATCCAGCTGAATCCCTTGAAACTGAAGATCTCTCGAAGAAATATAACCCAGGCTTCTACTACATTTTACGAGGTATATCACAAATTGGACACATAACGTTCTTTGGTTTGTTCTAGATTGAAAAGCTCCAAATATTTTGGCATGCTCTAATCATTCCAGTCAGCTGTCAATGTCATGGCTGAAGAACTCTTTAACTTCTACCGGGTTCTCAGAATCCCCTGATCGTGAGGTGTTTATGAAAATTAATTTCAAAAGCAGCTGACGAGACAGGTTAACATCATAAGATTCACGCTTTGGATGCAATCTTCGACAGGGTCGATATGTCATTATGATGAACAACTTAAACTGCAAGCGCACCAAAGTCACACCTCACTGGTGTGGAAAGTCTCCTCGGATTCCTCCTCGTCATCATCATCATCAAGATCATCTTCTTGAGAATCCCCTTCAGAAGAACTCTGTGACGCTCCTTCCAGGAGATCTGTGTCGAGATTTCGTTTGGCAAGGTCTAAATTTGAATCCATCAATCTGCACCACACATAAGAAGCTATGACTTTCCATAAAGCGACAAGAAGCGACAAACCGTTGGAAATCTTTAAACAGAGGAATTGCAGTGGCGGAATTTGTATATATTTGTGAATTATAAGGATTATATCTGCTAACTTTTAACTAAAACCAGCTCCGGTACACGCACCTCATAACGGATCCCATCTCACCAACCTTGGATTAGAAGGCAAAATCCACATATCAGCACACGGCACAGCTAGACCTAGTAAGACAAAATGAGTAAGAACAGAATTACCTTGAGCTGGAATGTAAAACTGCCTTTGCTTCTACAACTGGGTTGAGCATATCGTGTGACGAATTGTTGACAGTCACACAGAGACTGACTCCAATCGTCGGATCTTCTTCTTCGGTCTTTTTAACTTCCTCTGCTGTTCCAATCGGTGGGCAAGAACCCCCATCGCATGCTTCTCCCGCAGGTTCTATATTCATCACAGGCTTCTCAGCCAGCTGAACATCAACCCCTGGCTTGCAGTCTGGCGGCCTGGAGAGATAGGTGAGAGATGTTCTGAAAGAATCCGAAGAGAGCGAATTATTTAGGCATGATAAAAACTTGAAGATATTCAAAGATCTATCTAAATCCTGATAGCAATGGGTAAGTTGAGTTCAAAGTTTTCCCGTTCACGTAGAAATTACTAGCTCCTGGAGAAGCAAATGTATAAACGCAGGCGCATAAAATAAATTATAGGCTCTTGAAAGTAGACGCAGGGTATGTTTAGCTAAACAGCCCGCAGAGCCACAATGTGCATCACTCCTCTACAAGGATAAATTGGCTCAGGGTAACAGCGTTCCCTTCGGCCCCTACCACAAAATTGCGTTCGTACAGATACCGGGATGTACAAGGACACTCTTTAAGACTTCGACATGGAATTGCAGACCTCAAATTCGCTCCCAACATAAATAGACTCATCCCCGGTTTTATACACTGTGCTTCTACCTGGAATTAGAAAGAACAAGAGCTTCTGCTCCTCCACCTTGACTCTGCGTTGAAGTCTTGCCACCCGATGAGGAGTCGACAACTACATCTCTCACAGCCTCAGCGATTTCTGAAACTTCACAAGGTTCTTCAACAAGGTTGACAACTCTAACAATCGTGTCCCTGCACATCCAGAAAGATCAAGTCCTAAATTTTACAAACATGTCTCTGTTATCACTAACTCGATAATTAGACGGCAAAGTCAACTCCAAACATTTCCATAAACCTCAACTCAAGCACCACGTAAGGCAGTGGCTCCCATCAAAGGTTGACTCAACAAGTACAATAATATTAACACAATCAGCGATCATGGACGATCATTGATTCCCGAGTTTCAGCCTTCCTATGAGACGTCATTGTCCAAATGACGAAGCTGAGTACGATCTGATCACTTCCGACTACACTGTTTTGCTAGTACAGTTTTGCATTTCATGGACCACACTGGACTCAAATGTGGTCAGCCTGAGTTCTGCCAAAGCTCTGGACCAGCTCTACAAGGAAAAAGGCATTTCTCAAAGAAGCACACGTTGAAGGATGGACTTGATTAGACAAAAAGAACTTAAACATCACTTAAAATAGCCCAAGACTTTAAGAATGACGGACTCAATATTCCACAAAGGCACAAATGTGTAGAATAATTCGACGAAACCTTGAGAATACCTATGCTGAAGGAGGTTTTCCGCCTGCGTGTCAACACATACTCTGGAATCCTCTGCTAGAGATTCGTCACGATTGGCAGTAGTTTGAAAGACATTTTCTTTAACCACTGCCATCTGCTCCTGCTTTTCCAGGTTTCTGTCCAAGTTCTGGCATGGAGCACAAGATCCTGAGTCGAAAGTCCTGAAAATATAGGAATCAAGTTCAAGAACCACCTCAACAACTTTAAACCCATGTATTAAGAAATCGCATATTTTTCGACAGCGCAAAAGAAGGCTTCGATCAACATGAGAACACATCAAGGCAAGGTTACACCAAGTAGACAAACAACCATGAAGAAAAAAAGTGAAAAAAGACTCAAAACCTCGAAGAATTCAAAAGCTTGGTCTTTAAGAGTATGTTAAATATAAGCAAAACTTTCCATGATTTCGCGTCTGAAAGAATAGGATGTTTCCTATGTCTAATGTCAAAGCCTTGAACAGTAAAAAGGTTCTAGATTGAAATAGATGTCCTAAACCAACGCGTGGGTTCTACTTCAAGAACAACAGAATGGATATAAAAACCTCAAACGACTCACCCTGAACGATGTGAACACACATCTTCGTCGGCTTTGGATATATTTCGTAATTCAACAATTTACAACAATTCGCAAATAGAAATAAAACGAATTTATTTGTATTTGCAATTATCTAGATATTTCTTCAAATCAGATGAAGTCATGAGATGAAGAAGTTGAAACATATAGCTCTTACTTGGAATCATCGGATAGAATACACGTTGGCACCACTCGACGAACTTTCGATTTATCAACTTTGACAACCTGTTGATGACTCGCGATCGAGAGAATGTCATTGTCGATGTTGAGGGCATGATCCTGCAGCCTGCTGATTGTGAAGGCCAATGTAGCCAACTAAGTATTCTCAACTATTAACGACAATAAACAGTCTTCATAACCACAGCTTAAAATAAACTGTAAAATATTGTCCTCAGCCTTAGCTACATTGAGCAGGGACGCAACGAGCAGATCCTATACAATACTAATCTGCTCTGTACAAGCTACTGTTCGACGACAAAAGACAAACTTCCAACTTATCAACCTGGAAAGACAGCTGCTTTCTCAAGAAAATGGTGTGTGAAATCCTCACTTCGCTCCAGCATTCCGGTTTCTAATAAAAACGAATATTCATCTTAATGCAACGCGCAAAACCTCAAACTAAACAACAACGCGAGTGTGTACCAATAGAAGAGATATTGAAATACTCTGATAATTATTTCCTAGTATTTCCTAGAAGCGAAAAGGATTGTTTGATGTTTTGTGAATTGTAACTTCCCAAGCCGCCATACCGCCAGGCTTGTGTCCACATGTCCACTCTAAAAACAACTCTGAACTATTGTGAAGGAAGAACATGTAGCCAAGACTGAAAGATGTAAATTTGTTAAGGTACAAGTAAAAGATGCAGATAGATATTAACTGTGAAACGCAATCCTTAAAAAAGAAATGTCCAAAGCATGATCGCCCTGATAAATCATCACACCCAAAGGTCATAGCAGTGGAGATAGTACATGATCAGACGCAAGGGCTTAGCATCCAAGATTCGGAAGCAACACGTAATCTACGTCCAACGTCTCAAAGTTTATGGCAAAATGTACTAGATAAAAAGTAACAAGAAGACTACAATAGTAAAAGTGGGACGTATCATGAATGGACTAAAGCTGTAAGATGATTAAAGACAACCAGATGCATCAGTTCGAAAAGCCTAGTAGCGGCAGATCGGTGGAATACAGTGAGGAGACCACCTGTCGTAATGACAGTGGTGGGAGAACTAACTGTGCAGTATAGATGAACCAGTCCGACTCAAGATTATCCTCCAATGACCATAAGAACAGGAAGCGTCATTTCCAGTGGCGTAGACTCGGCTCCTCCATGAGTGCATAGCGTGATGCATAGATTTCGGTATTGGACCGCGAGGGGGCTGAGAATTACTCAAAGCACAACAAGCCATTAGGTGGAAACCGAGGTTGTTGCCGAAACCGATATGACATATTGCCTACTACGAACATGACATGAGGAAGAGCGAAATAGCAAGTGCTACGACTGGAAACAATAGTGATTGAAGAGCGACGAAACTGGAGTGAAATAAACCATGAATTATAACCAGAAGAACAGTATTTCACTGTAAATGACATTCAGAAAAACCATCAACTATATATTCGACCGCCGAGAAGTCTATACAAAGGTCGTGGTGTTCCGGAAATCAGAGTAAACGCTGTATGATGTTCAATCTATACGTGATCTTCCAGGGTTACTTCGATACTCATGTACATATTATCTAGAATGAAATCTAACCAAGTCATGAGGACTTCTGGAGACAATGACAGTGCGCGACAGTCGGAAACCTCTGGACAGGGTCGAGCCCAACCAGATGCAGTGGTGAACTTGCTGTGGTCGATGTAAAGTAGGTCCCTCTGTTTATTTAAAGAAACATGAGAGAAAAGATTTGAAACTAGGGTGGCCATCCTCTGTTATGCATCAATAAGGTTAATATTAGTGTAGAGGGTGGTAGAGCAGTAGCATGAGAGTATTGCTGGAAGCGTCGTAGCCTAGATAGATCTGTACATGTCAGCTGGATATCATTAACAGCACTTGGTGTAGCACCACACAATCGCATCGAATAGCAGCTGCTTTTAAATTAAAAAGGAATCGTAAAAGACCAACGTGAAAGGATCCGGAAGGCGCCGAAGTGCTCTTCGTGAGATCTGACGAATCTGTGAAAACCAGAAGTAAAAGCTTGAAGTGAGATAGTTATGGGCGGAACTGCGGAACTTTGTGAATCATGCGTATACAACAAGGAGAGTGGCAGTAGAAAGCATGTGACAACAGCGGGTAAAAACATAGTAAGTGATGAGATGAACAAAACGAAGAAGTTAAGATAAGAGTTATGTGGAGGGTAAGAATGCAGGAGGAGCCACTTGACAATACTCACATAACTTGTGGCCCATCGTCTTGGAATATTTAGAAACAAACAGGATATGATGGAAGAGAGAGCGCGCAACCGAGGGTAGCGTTACAATAACCGAGGGTAACAATAAAGATCGAATTTCTTGATAGACACTATGGGTTGACAAGATAGGTGAGATCTCATGGAACCAGAGGACTATAAGTGATAAAGGGGGTCCAGAGGTTGTAGTAAAATATATGATGAAGTATCTAAAAATAGTCGCATATGTAATAAAGATTGTCTACAGGCCAAACAGGATATATTCCGATCTATAATACGCACTAGAACAGACAACGACCAAAACGTAGGCATTCATCCCAATATTGAACTCAAAGATAATTTTAGTTTGTCCAAGAGCAGCGAATGCACATTCTTAACTAAGACCACAACGTCAGAAAAATCACCGGATAGCGTACGAAGATGACTATTCGCGCAACTATGGACGGTCATGTGTGCATCCAAAAAGCAAGAATCACCATGAAAATGTCCGGTGCAGTCAGAACAAAGCGAGGATGTAATGATTTATGTAAACACTGTAACATCATCAGTTCCCATCACGGTGCGAAGTAGCTTGGCAACAGTACAGTCCCACATTTTGTATTACTCAAGACATGCAAGGAAGCAAAGTAGAGGTCAACTGTTCTGCACTTGTAAGCTCCCCCCATCCTCTAGCTTCAGAACTTCCTACCATCCTGTAACAGGAAACTATCCTCAGAAACGCAGAGGAAGGGAAAAAAACGCAGGAGTCATTGAACTGTATTTACAAAGTCCGCTAAACACAATTTACTTATCGTGGTATGAACGGCTTCCTAGAGAATATCGAAGCTAAAACTCTATGGGCTAAACGCATCTTGTAATTTGGTGTGTTATGATGTGTGAACAAGGTGACATTTGCCTGAACTCAATGCTTGCCAGAAGTTGCAATTCTAGAAAGTCTCTGGTCCTGAGATATTTCTATCTCCAGCTTCAACTGATATTGAAGAATGGAAAGTAAGGAACATGGGGCAAAGAGATAAGAGAAAGGGCTCGGTAATGTGAACTCCGTCGTTTTTTATAGACCTCTCTGTGGATATTAATTCAACGTTTGTGTAACGCCCAAGTCCTTGAAGTTCCGGGAAGATGTGGATGGTAACGTTCAATTTGCAAAATTCTTCAGAAATACGATTCCGTTGGAATGCTGATTATAGACGACTCTTATCATCGAATCCTAGATCATCTACATGTCTTCTGGCATGAAGTAGAAGGCTGATCAAATGGTCCTGGCCAGGGATCGACATCAGGTGTTCTGTAAAGACAGCTCATATGCAAAATCCAAAAAAAAAAGTGACTAGACAGGCCAACTGAATTCAATAGTAGTGGAATACATCTTGCTTGTTTGTAGATGGATGGAGCATCATCGAAAAATCGAATTTTTTTCTTGTCCGATGAGATCTTACCAAAATTGACTCGTTCCCTGAAGTGATGCGCTGGTGATGCGCCTTATAAATGATTTCAGATTTGCTCGGAATTCACCGTGAGGCACGGGATCCTCTTGATGTCTCAACGAGGTGAGGAACCAATTCGTGAATAAATTGAAAATTATTTAGATAAGACAGGAAAGAGACACAGTGAGGCTTTAAGGGTAACAAATCAATGAAAGCAAGTATATGAGCGAGAAATGTTCTAACAATGTTCTAATAAAGGGTACGTATTTGTCGTGGCTTCAAGAAAATCGGTACCAATAAATCATTAACGCAAAGAAGAAGGCGAAGCAGGAGAAAACGACATTGAGACAGGTGAATCAAAAGTGGCATAAAAGTATAGTTCATAAGTATGTACAGAAAAGTTAGTGAGGAAGACTGCGCAGTTAGTCTCCATAGGGATGCCTATGACTCGCTTAAAAACCTCATCATGAGAAGTAAGCTGTAAGCTGTAAGCTGTTCACTAAGTAGTCTAAACATTGGTTCAGATCTGAAGCACAAACAAATCGCTGGTCCTGACTACTCTTAGTGAAGTCAGACGGGAAGCAGAACAATTTCCAACAGACAGCTAGAATTTTCAATAAGAACTATGGATCTGGCATTTCACAATTCCTGGGAACACTACAATCTCTCTATTTGATCCTGGGGATTGAAGTCAGAAAGCACAATATCGGTATATCAAAAAGCAGAAGAAGCAAAGGAGAAATGGTTCTGAGAAAGGACTAGCCGTATTCATTAAAACGTCAATGACACTTGTAGAATCATTTAGCATCCACAGAACCGGAGTTCGAATTGTACATAGATTCATGACAGCTTGTAAGCAATAAGAACAATGTGGATCCATCATACTTCAGTAAAGAGATGGATCCACTCTTTAGCCATTCATTCAGTCTGCATCTACAGCCTCGCAGAGAACAGAGAATGGAGCTATCGTAGTCGAAAAATAGTTCACTCCGTCCTCCAGGAAACATAACAATTCACAATATTTCAAACCACATTCCTCCAAATCGTAAAATTCTCTACTTCGTCGAAGCCTCGCTGGGCAGAAGGTCGTTGGAGAGCCAACCAACACAATAGAGCACACGCAACTCATCCAGAACCATGAAATGCATATCTGTGATGGCACTCGTTGTCTCCTTCTTCTTAGTGAGGAGATTGGTAAACAAACTTCTCATTTTTCGTTCGATCACCTTGAATTAAGAGCGCCCTCAACCCATAGTTTGATGTAAATGTCCACATTTCAAGAATGCAGGACTAGCATAAAATAATACAGGGGAAAATGAACGAAACAACAAAAAACTCGATCGAGCTTACTCACCTGTTTACGGCACCATGAGTCAAACATTGGGAGCATTGATCATTGAGCGAAGCACATCCTTGCAACAGCTTCTCTGCAAGAGCTGCGCTGGTATCATCAAATTCTCTGGTCCGCTCCGTGGCAACAGTTCCCGACTGTAACTCCGAACAATCATGTCCGCCACCACTCGAACTTTCAACTTCCATCCTCCGGTCAAAAGCTCCGTCCCTTCTCTTTCTGCCTCGTCCTCAAATTGACCGCACAAAGAACGACAAAAAAACTTGCCTCCCAGCGTCACTGACAGACCGACCGACTGTCTGAAATCTAGTGCGCAAACCATTACCTCAGCTCAAAATCCAATAAACACCAACCTAAATTTTGCGCTGTTATTCCAACCGATCAGAAGCACTGCGTCTGCGAACTAGCTCTTCCGAATCCAAAATTGTAGCCTGACTCAATTCGATGAGTCGACATCACACGAGACTCGTTCGTGCTCCTGCGACAGGCGCGAGTGACAAGGAACTCGTCAGAGAAGAACGAGGCCTGCTTTTCGAGTTTTCCTTGTTTCTCAGACCCAAGCTAACGGCCTTAGGCTAATCTTCTTTCTCTTCATATTTTCAAACTAGTCCAGCCATGACTTTGCTTCGAGTCAAACTCATGCATTGCATGTCGTGTTCACAACAACCAAAATTGTACCCCATCCCCTACGGTTGGGAAGGCAGATTTTAATTTCTTCCACTGCAACTTCACGAATAGTACAGTAAAATGCTCCACTGCATTTTGAATGGTGATATTGGAATTTCAATGTTGAATTTTCTTATTTCCATTTTCTTGTTATTACATGTGATTAAGCTTTATAGAATCTTCTTATTTTTCCTCTTTATTTATTCTCCATTTTAGTATAATCACATTTCCAACAATCTTTAAATATTATGTTGAAAATTATTTAAAACTGAATAAATTATATTACGGAATAATTAATTTCTACAAAATATGACAATTTTGAACTTAGATCCATATATTTTGAGTTAAGTCAAGTATTAGTCAGATCTAATTAATTTATGAATTACGATATAAAAAAGTAATCATATAATGAGAAATTTAGGGTTTCAATAACTGATTTGTAATGTTTCCTGCAATTATGTTACAGACACAAATTGATTAAGTAAGTTTTTGACGATGTCTGTATTTGTGAATATTAAATTTCATCCAATAAAAGTATTAAAAAATGGTACAAATAACCATTTGCAATGAGTTGTTTTCAATGAGTACTTTGATTTACAACAATATGTTTTTTTTTTTATTTCATTTTGCAGATATGAATCATATATTCATAAGTACAACATAAGGAGAAAATCTTGTCCAACATGATTTTTAGTTTCGGAACCAAATAAAATTATCACTATAGTTAATTAAATAGTCATGCATACATATTTTAACTTTTGTCATTATAGCTATTTTTTACTTTTTTTTTCAAAGTCACGTAGGTAGTCAAAGATTAGATTCATCGTTGAAAACATCCGTATTGAACACTTCAAAAATCATTTTCTTTTATTTGATAGCCAAACATAATACAATATAACAAGGTATTTGGTTTGAAATGTTTCTCATATAATTTTTTTAATTCGATAATCTCTGACAAATACTATTGATAATTTTGATCATCAAACTTATTTATTTAATAATAAATAATGATGCAAAGTGTCGAAATGATGACGCAAACAAACCAAAAATGATTAATTTTTTTTTCCTAAACATCTATAATAATTTACTACAACATTAAATTGCACATCAACATTTTTTATTTGAAATTAGTCACATAATGAATGGCAATATCAAACAATTTGGTAGTTAACAATGCTAATGTTAATAAAGAAATAGTAAGAGCTACGCAAACAAGAAGGTGGATGATTTGATGATTAATACAAAGGTACTAACTATATCTTAAATATTATATGAACATGAAAATTATTGATTACATAGATAATAATGATTACAAATGTTAACATATGAGAGAAAAGATTTCTATCTAACCAATTTAAGAATAATTATTTAGATCATTTAATACATGATTATATCAAGTAAAACCTGTTGAATATTTCAAAATAAAAGATTTTATTTTTTATATTTGAGCACATGAATTTGCAGGAATAAATCAGATAATTTTTTATTGAATATATTTATTATAATCCACAATATAGTAACGTTGAATCAAAATCTTTAAATCAAATTGGCAATCTCAAGTTTAATATTGTATGAATTTTTTTTAAATGTATTAAACAGTATAAACAATAAACTAAACACGGTAAATTTTATTTTATATCAAATTAGATTATATTTCAACAATATGTAAAAATGTTGATTATAAATGCAACATTTAATGAAAATAATTTGTTATTTTATTATTAATACTTTTCTTGAATAAATGTATTCAATTATGTATAAAAGAATATTTTTTAACTGAAATACTTATGCTACTTAATTTTCATAGACAGACATAATTTTGACATTGAATATAATTACGATTTAACTAAAAACTAAAAAAAATTTGGTTTTAAAAAATTATTATCCACATAAGTTTTAATAGATAAAATTGATAATTCAAAATCTAGTTGTTGTTTATGTCTGAATCAATTAAAACTGACTTATTTAATATTTAGTCTTTTATTTTGATTGTGATCTACTAAAAATTTAAACTAAATTTGGATGCTCGGATATTCATGTTTCAGCCATTAGTTTGATATATATTTGTACATGATATAAAATTAAATAAACGAATTAAACATTTAAAAAATTTATTAAAGTGCATTTCTGCATTGAATTTTAGACTATTCCTAGTATAATCATTTTGATGGAATTATGAGTGGATCAATTTTTGTAATTGGAAATTAGAATTACAATTTAATATTAGTATTTTGTAATTGAAGCTAAATAGCACATGATTTCTATATTAGACAAAATATAAGTTATTACTAATATATCTATATAAATATATATATATATATATGCAGTATGCTAGACGCTGTCATCAATGACATTATACATTCGAAATGCATAGATGAAATTACTGCATTTGTAAAAACTAATAACGTTGTTACTCAGAATGTTATTTGCTTGCTTGGAATTGATTTCAAAGTAGGTATTGAACTAATTTGACTCTTTCTAGAATATTAAGATATAGATGTCTAAATCAACATGAGGTTATAATCGTTTTTATAGATAATTGATTCAATACATAGATGAACATTAATTTCTGAGACTTTAGTAAAATGTTCTCACATTGCTTTATCATAAATTCGATAGTTTAAAAAATTTCAAATTTCTCCAAAAAAATTTATTCAATATTCTTCAAATAAATAAACTTAATCAACTCAATAGTCATTGTTCACACATGCAAATTTTTTTTATTTGAAATCTGAATTTATCTACCCATATATAACAATTACTAATCTTGTATCAACAGCTACCCATTTACCATTCTAACACTTGATTCACGTGTGTGGCTTACATCATCAAGTATCATAAAAAACACTATATACTTGTTTGTATAATGAGAAACTTTGCTTTTCATTTTGAATATTCATTATCCATCTACAAACATGGTTGATTCTAGATTTAAAAAACATTCACACACTTAAGCTATGAAATTATAAAACCAAAGAATCTACTCGGTGAATATAATATAATGAGAATTTTCGTATACATCGGTGGGAAAGTTTTAATAATGAGAAGTTTTGTACAGCATGTTGGAGTTTGATGAGATCTGGGATTATAGAGTAAATGATCAGTCTGTTTTTTCCAAAGTGAACTAGCTTTTTAGTGGACTTAGGAAGAAAGGTTGTGTTGTGACATATTGCGTGAACAGCGTTATTTTTATCGGATTTTTTTGAATTTTGGTATGTATCCCGTCCCTTAGTTTCCATGGAAAATTTTCCATGGCCCTCTACTCGTGGACTGATTTTTCGGTCAACATCCCAATCATTATATATAAAATGTTTCGCCGGACAAACTAAGCTCGGCATCCCAAAAAAAAAACGGTAACAACAACGGATATGTATGGCCCTTGTCTCTTTCAATGCCAACACCGACTTGTCACCTGGTGCACAAATCACAAACCTTTAACAGGATAAAAGTCAAGACGATTTTTATATTTCTCGTACACCATGCTCTCGGGAAAATTCTGATTCTCCTTGAAACTGGCGTCTTAACTCTCCCAAACGCTATCTTCTTACGATGTACTTCGGTCTTGATCACTGCATTTTCCTGTGTGGTCACTTCAGCTAATTTTATCACGCTTGTCGATGCTGAGAAGTCTCAGAGACAGTGGACAGAATTAAATTTCAAGCAGAAAGCGACAACGTAGTATACAGTGCACAGAGTGTCGAGGAAACAATTATCCAAAGGTTTTGCGCATGCACTTCGATCGCTGGTAATAGAATCTTCACCAGCTGAGCTAAAAAGATGAAAAATATACCTGACATCAAGTAGCCTCCACAAAGCTTCGAGGTCATAGGTTGAACCTCATCTAGAAACTTTAAGATAACATAATCTTCTATAGACTATTGTGGACTCAGGAGTGCTAAATTTTCTGGAAACTCTACAAACTCTTGCTTTGTGCTCAAAGAGCACAAAGCAAGTCAGTTCAAAAACCTGTTATATATGTTAGATATGTACAGTTTTTCTGATGGAACTCACTTCAGTCTTCTCCTGAAGTAATAAGAAGATGCGATTGATGTAAAAGATTAAGTCTTGAAATCACACTAGAAATCACACTCTCATCAAACAGAACAATATTAGGCAACGAAGTATAGTTATCCACTGCAGAGCGTGCTGTAACATTGATAATATGACTGACATTACGAATTTAACGATAGTAATATCAAAGACTACAAACTTTACGAATTATATTACACCAAAAATGTATACTCAGCTGGCAACAAGCTGCATGTCCCATCGAGACCAACGAGTTGAGAATAAATGCTCCTGTCCTTTTCAGATCCTTATTCTCTCAATCGATCGTGTCCCGGTCTCTCCGCGGCAGGCTTTGCCAGCAGCTTCCAAGGCAGTAGATCCAGAAAGACAAATCTCAGGAATTCAAGAAGCAGTACTGTGAGCTCTCAACTTGTCTAAATTGCTGTGGTCACTGTCGGACGAGTGGTAAAAGTGTGACTAACTCTGCCAGACTAATTTTGATAAATTGAGCTCCTTTGTGTGGTTTGGTCACTGGTCATGGCTAAACCCTATGAGATCACGGACAACCCTGAAATGTCGTCGTAGATTACACATTGGCGTAATCTCCCACTCTAACGCCAACAATCATCCAGCACCCCTTGTAGACACCATTCACCACCTTCTCGAGACAAAATGTGTAGACCGACGATACTCCTGATTGAGATATGGTTTTCACAGCCTGGACAGCTCTCTTGTCACTGGGTCCATGGAAAGTCAGTGGAGATCCCATCTCCCAACTGACGAAGTCGAGCATAGGTGAGTAAGTGGATTCGCGAATGACATCCCCAAATTCGCTCACATTCACGTATTTTTCCGTAGCGTACCAGGCCCTGGCCGAACGGTTCGCTTTGCCGACATCGCTGACAAGCATTTCGTTTGCAGCAGGAGGCATAGCGAAGGCAAATGCAGTGCGAATGCCACTGTCATCTTCAGGCCAATCGTTCCGCATGAGCGCCTCCATCAGAGTTTTCACAACCGTGGACGGAGGCATGAGGTGGGTAGGACGTCTCCCCTCCAGAGGCCAGGCCTGTTGCGTCGACTCGACATGTCTAATGAATTCGGCCACTAAAGCATCCCCGTCCGCGGAATCTCTCCCTAGACAAGCTTGGGCCGATCCGGGTCTCGGTTCCGAAGGCCACCGAGTCTGCACAGTACACCTCCCTCTAGAACTAAATTTCCGCATCGATACATCGCTAACGCTGCTTCTCCCCGGTAAGGACGCTGCAGTCTCCATCTGCTGCACCGGTCGCGCCACCGTCACACGGCCTAAAGCCGCCATCGCCATAATTCCAAGCCCAAAACCAAGCCCGAATTCGACGCTACTACAAGAGAATACTAAAAAACGACTAGAATCATGAGCGCGTCAACGAATTCCCCTATCTCTGCACCTCGACAGCGGCCGCCTCGCCTAGCTGCACCTCCTCCATGGTCGTCCGGGACACCAGCAGACACGGCAGAAACTCAGAACACAAACAAACACGAAACAGTGCAAAGGCGACCTTCTATGTGGCTTGATGGGGTCGGGGTCTTCCTTCCGACGATTCTGCTATCCACTCGGGACCCCCCATGAATTTACTGGCCGCGACCGTATTGGTCAGCGGCCATGATTCCTGTCCATATGTGCCATTCTCACATCTTGTACTCTCACGGTACTAAAACTGTTTCACTCTCTCATTGTCTTCCAGATGAGACGCCATATCTGGAGGATGAAAGCTGCACTCCTGTGCCGCCATGAGGGGCGAAGTGAAATATGGCCCATCATTTCGAGCTCCCTAGCCGACAGGATGGCGCCTGCTCGACGAACGACCAGGGCTGGGCTTCAAGTTAAGGGCGGATGGAAAGGTCGACGTGATCTCCTCGTGGAGTTCCACCGATTTGGCGTTAATAAAAATATTTTGCTGGTGGTGCGATGGAGCCAGAGGAATGCTCGAGGCCGCTGCATAAGTAAAGGGCTAATACGGATGAACAAAATTTAAGTACTAAGTCCCATCGAGCACTCAAAGATGAAACGTGAAGTGAAACTCCTGAATGTTCTCCACACTATCTTAATAATATGTAATTCACCACCTACAGTATTCAATCCCAATCCTCATCAGGTTGTTGCATGTGAAAAAAATCTATTCACGCCCAAGCGTGTAGTTAGAGATGCTATCTACCTTCAATAAGCAAAATTATTAGTTGCGCATTTTGATTTCTCTTCTCACCATCTTACTTTTGAATGATGCTCAAACTCTATCGTGAGAAGTTTCGTGATGGGTAGTGATAAGAACGTCGACTCCAGCACAAATCTCACTGTGATTTCTCATATTTTTCAGGGTGACAGAACTAGTGAACGTAGTACTGGTCTTGATCTATGGCAAAATGCTTCAATCATTTAGTTTATCATCTATTGATCTACAAAAATCTATGTAGAACAACCTTCACAACTCTCAAATGATCATTCTAAATAATTAGATTCACCTATATGTATCTTTATTTGAATTTCATCTCAAAAAATTATAACAAAAATTAGATTTATCCTATTCAAATCATGGAATTTAATGAAATCTAAATTTTTTACTTGAAATTATATCTTCTTCAATTTTGACTCAAAATATCAACAAAATGATCAAATTGTAAATTTCATCAAAAAATAGGTTCTAAACTTATCTGCTGATCATAACTAATTTTTATAAAAAAATAAGAATACTTTTAAGACTTAAAACATGAATAAGTATCCTAATTTCACTGTAAAAATAATAATATTGTAAAACATCAAATGATTTTGTGAACCATCTCTCCTTGATTTTTTCAACATTTATTATAGATTATTTACTCCTACAAGTTCACAATGTGTTAGTTTTTTTGTTAGGAGTTAAGATTCATTGATATTTTTGTTAAGATGTTGAAAGTTAAGATTTTTTTTAAGAGTTAGCTCAACTTTTGATTTATTTTGATTGATTTAATCCAAATGAATTCTAATGATTTATAATAGGATGCTCATCAAAGCTATCAATGATACAAATAAACATTTATCTAGTAAAGATTAAATTGATTCTGTGGCTTTATTTTTTAGTGATAAATTCTATTAAATTTTTGTGTTGGCTATCTGATGCTATTTTAGATGAACCTATATCTGCTTTCGTACATTACATAACATTTTATAGATTTGAAGTAAAAGCGTAACTTCAAAGAAAATTGTCCATATAATATTTGATTTGATATATAATATTTACATATATATAAATATATATATATATTGATATATAATATTTGATTTTTTTTCCTTTTGGATTTTTAACAAATTTTTTCTAAACTGATTTTTTTTCAATTTTTTCTTACTTTATTTGGAAATGTTGGTTTTTCAACAAGTTTATCATTTTTTAATACCTTAGGCTACTTGAAGTATTTATCTTATAGCATTGTGGTATAATCTTTATGCTTTGAAAATCTCACTTTTAGAAAATATGATAATTTAATCACTTTCACTAAATTATTTATTTGACACAAAAAATTTGATGACACAAAAAATAATTTAAAAATAAATCATAAAAGTTTACGCTCAACTATTATATGTTAATTTTCTAGATAGTTTTGCCCTTAGATTTATTTTTGGAGTGAAATAAAATAAAAACCAAAAAATTATTAACTTTTTTCATATTATTTCTTGTGATTTGATAATAAAGCTATGTGCAAAGAAATGAATTGAAAGCTCGTTTTTAATATGAAAGAACATTATTTAACTTACACATTTATTATATGATTTCATAACTATATGCAATTCATTACCAAAAAAATTGTTTAAATTTCAAGTTATTTTTAATGATTTTATTGAGTTGATAATAATTTTAGATTATTTTATTTTATTTTAAAATATACTACATTTTGTTTAAAATTTTGATCTATTAAACCTATACTAGCTTTTCAATATTAGAAATGAAATACGAATTAATTCAAAAAATCAAATTTTAATTATTTATTTTCTTAGTTTGGTAAGTGATTCATATTATGAAGTTTTATGCATATGTTCTCACTTTTCATACATATAATCAGCACATTGAAAAATTAAAAATTAAAAAATTAAATTTAAAAATCGTGAAAAGTTATAGTTGTTATATATTACAGTTAGATCAAATTAGAACGAAGGTTATGCAATATGAAGTTTGATGATTTTAAATCACCTTGTAATAAATTCTTATTTTTTCACATTAGCAACATGTATACATATCTAAAGACATATATTGAAATTCAAACGTCAATAATCCATGTGTTTGTTGTTATAATACGTCATATCATTAGTCAACAAGCATCAAGATGAATGTTGATTTTAATACATTCTGTTTACTTGCATTATAGAAATATTTTTTCTTAACAATGTTATTCATATGTTTTTTATTGAGTGGTTGAATGAATGTCGTGCGAATACATATCGCCATACACTCAACATCGCTGACATGCTACTCACATACACATATAAAGCGTGAGAGAGTACACACTCAAATGTCAGATTTCGAAGTAAACTCGAAGAACGTCAGTTCTTCGAACTTACTTTGAGCCGTCTCCAATCCTGTACCACTCGCGACCTGAAACCCTAACTCAACATATAAATATAGTAAGTACGAGAAACTGAGTGATACGACTCAAAACTACATGACATGACACCTTTCAATCAAATGGGCATAAATGACGGACTCAATTCTTGGCATGATTAAGTTTGAATACTTTGTAAGTATTTGGATGTTTTCTGAAAGTGCGTAACAATTACTATATATGTTTAGCGTTGTTTGAATACTTTGTAAGTATTTGGATGTTTTCTGAAAGTGCGTAACAATTACTATATATGTTTAGCGTTGTTATCCACGCACCAATCATTAACGATGTTGTGCAACGTGAGATTAGAGAAATATGCAGCTATAGAGTTTAACTTTCCAATAGTGTCACTTCATATGAATGACATAATTTCAATAGTGGCATTGAATTTGGGAATTATTAGATTGTAACTAGTAAATTTGTCTAATAATAACATTACATCACTAAATGGCAATAGTGACATGATGTTATCCAATAATGATATATCCAAGTGTAATTTTGAAGTTTCAATTCCTACCATGATCATAAAACAAAGCATTGAAAAGGGTAATGTGACATAAGTTTATTTTTAAATCTATCTCAACTGTTTGTTCTTTCTAGGCTTTAGTCAAATACTTATGGTCTACAAATGATGTTATAGATTTTTTTTTATTCATATTTTGTGCATGTAAGCGTATTCAAACGCAATAATAACATCAACGTGCAACACATAATAGCAAATGAATGAGATATTGCGGTCAAACAACTAACTTACATAATGTTCTCAAACGTGTGGAACTTCCTACAGTGACGTACAATCCTAGCACCAATGTTTGTCATTATTGGGAGTTGACATTCGAGGCTGCACACATTACTCTTGAGAATGACATCTCCCAATAATGATTTCTAACCCTAGCACCAATGAATGTTATTCTTGGAAGGTTAAACTCTACATGCCGGTAATCAAACCATGGAAAAGTGCTAAAATATACACATTTGCATGACCAATATGGTGTGAAGTCAAGTTGGAGCTAGAATGGTCTGTAAGTGAAGCACAAAAGATAGAAACCACCACATGTCTTATCTATAATCCCTTGAATACTAAAGTGTTCATACTCTTCTCAAGTGCTGTGCAAATTTATTGATTTTGCCAAAGTTACAATGATATCATAAATACTTTATTATTCAATAATTTAAAATTTTATTTAAATGTTTAATTTTAAAGTAATTTTTTTGAAGATTTTTATTAAATATGAAATATGTAATTGATCTCCATGTAGAATTCAGAACAAAAGTGTTCAAAATTTCATTTTTTAATATAATCAAAATTAACATAAACTTGATATCATAATGAAAATAAAAAATTTGCATGATAATAATTTTTTTATCAGCATCCATATTCTACAATCCATTATGGCATATTGGAATACAAAATTCATGATTCAACTAATCGAGGTGAAAATAATTATTCTACTCACAATAATAATCATGCGGATTTTTTGTTTTTTTTTTTCATATCGTGCAAACAAAATTCATAGAAATAATGCTCCGGTTTGATAGATATAATGATGATACTGAATATATAATATTTATCTTAGATTGACATGATGTCAATTCAATTGTATTGTGGACGAGTGAAGATTGAAGATCTAAAAAATGTTTCAAATTTTACAGAAATTTCATCAAAGTTTAAAATACTTCTTTGATAGGGTATAATGTTTTTTAAATAATATAAAAATAATTTCAATCTATTAACATTTTGTCATAAACAAAATATGAACATGTTAACATGAAACATGTGTGTGAGTTAAAAAAAATACTTTTTAACTGATTCAATTTTGAATTCTTAGACAATTTGAACAAAATTAGTTACATCATATCAATTTTTAAAATTAGTTTGAGCTTCACAACTTGCTCCTTGTATATAAATGTTATCTGTAAATCATGGCTTCATAAAAATCTATTACTAAATTATACACTTGTTTCATTCA